CTCTCTCTCTCTGTCCCTTGGGGAAAACAGGCCACATTACAATAGATCAGCTTTTTAACAACCCCCGCATGTTAAAAAATTAAAATGCGAATCTCTTAGCAATGCCTAACAATCTTCTCTCTCTCTGTGGCCTTTTCTCGTCCGCCCACAATCTGCCACACCGTATTATCTCCCATTCAAACGAAACTTTGTTGAAATGCGAAAAAAGGACAAAGTTGGGATGCGAGGAAAGTTTGAATAAATGTGAGACACTTTGTCAGTACATAAGAGTTTCTGCAATTGAGCTTTGCCTCAAGTCGCTCAGAAGCTTTCAAGTCGCCAAAGGGATTTCTCCCTTTTCTAAATTATGAAGCGACAATATGAAAATGCTTTTGCAATGTTCGTAGCATTATACGGATTCCATGCATAAATGGATGGACAGGATATTAAAGTGTATAAGAGAATTACTTGAAGATCCCTTTTGAATGCATTGTTCAATGATGTTCGTCAATTTTTGCGATAGAAAACAGGAAGAGAAATTGCTCTTACTTATTTTGTAGTCAAAATGAAGTCTCTAAATTCAGTATAATGCTATTTTGAGAGCTATTCTCAATGTCTCAGTGAAATCCTTGATATAAACGCACGTCTAGAGCGATTTAGAACATAAGTTTCTCAGATTAAGTGCGACCCTTTTCAATCCTGGGATATCCCCATTGACTAACCCATCCATAGCGAAATTGCTCCAATTCTGCATTTCAACATTTCCACCCTGGGCTTGACCTCATCCTTTTCAACGACGGGAAACTTTTCTTTCTCTCGTCGTTGAAACACACTTTCTCCATCTTTTGCGCGAACTTCCCCAAGATAATCCGCCACATTTCCACGGCTGGAGCGGCCAGAGCAGGAGCACCGCAGGATGTTGGTCGGGAGGGAGGGAGGGCAGAAAGGAGAGGACAAGAAAAAGAGATAAACTAATAGGAGCTATAAACAAGGCTTACACATAATAATATAGCCTAAAGAATATCCGAGACAGAGTTGAAATTATCCTCAAGCAAAGATCAGTGATAAGGCTCGTTCGTAAATCAGCAAAATATGCAGTTATGGCAGCATCTCTGCCATTGTGAGGATGGCATGACAAAGGGGCGAATTTCTACTTGATTAAATTTCCCACCAACTCAGCCGCTCCATTTATGAATCGCCTCGAGGACACGAAGGGCAGATCCTTGCTCTGTAGCACATCCAGAGCAAAGGGAAAAGCAAATGCGCCATGGGAAAATTCTCTGTCTCTCCTCTCACTGTTAGAATATTAAATTTTATTGTAGTTTTCACTGTTTGTGCCATTTGAAATTGCGCCATAGAATATTTAAAATGAATTTTTAAATGCAAATTTCCCATTGAGATTTTACAATGTGCGCGCACTCATCTTGGCTCCGACAGCCTTTTTATTTTTATCACCCCCGCAGGGCGAAAACCCTTAGCTGGGGTGATAATGTTTATATCACACGTAATTCACCGCCAAACAATTGCTTCAAATACAAATGGCACAATAAGACCGCATGCAGAATACTTCAGTTGGGAATTCCCTTCACTTTGTCTGGATTTGCATTTGCGAGAGCGCAGAATTATAAGAGACGAAATAATATTTTGACCATTTTCTACACAGAGAGAGAAACGTTCATTACCGTGTGTATGAAAAGGTTTCGCGCGGCTCTCATTAACATATGAATTATCATCTGATGGAGAGGCATAACATGAAAAAGAAACCTTCATCCAAATCTGTAAAAGCTCAAAATTATTCATGTTAATTCAAACATAAAAAGAATGTGCCTCACTCAAAAGGCACCATCGTGACTGCCTCCTGAGAGAGACTGATGTCGCTCCAAGGAGGAATTCGAGGAAAAAGCAATCCATTAGGCAATCCTGACTCTTTCTGTGCCTGCAAACCACCCATTCAACTCTGTGTCCTCCAGAGGCATCATCCTTTTGGGGTGTGTTTTCAATCTTAAAGTCTAATTCCCCATGAAAAGACGATGGTGATTTTCCGCCTTTTCCCATGTTACGTGCGGGTCTCCAGCCCCGCCAGCACCACCCCCCCTCTCCTGAGCATCCCCCTAATAAATAGTCCCCACTCAACCCACCCGTGACTTCCGCACACAATCTTTTATGCAAAGTTTCGCCTCTCATTCGTGCGCTGGGCGCAGAATAATAATTTTGCAAATTTCCGAAAATGATATTTGTACAGTGGAATCAAATATTTTTCCAACCATGTGATATTGTATGTACATAGTGCAGAATGGAAATTTAACCATTTACACCTTAACAGGAGGGAGAGAGCGACAGAGCCAAAAAAGAGCCAAGGTGGAGATAATATACCATTGAATCTGTACTTTGAAACACTTTCAACTTTTCCTGACACTTATAGAACGTGAAATTTGTAGTCTATTTTCACATTAATTAAGTTTACTTAAGTTTTCATTCGATATTTCTACTAAAATACCTTAAAATCGCATTTTTGGGTATTTTTTCCGACCATAACCTCAAAAATATCACTAAAAGATCTTCAAATACTCCGTTTGGAAGCTTTCTAGATCAGAAAATCATCTGTTATGATTCGCTTATGAGCTAAGAATTGCTGATTCTGAGTCAAAATTGTTCAGTGACTATTTTAAATGACTGCTTTTGAGGTTATGTTCAATCTTAGAACAATTTGCAGTGTTTCTTGACATCAAATGAATAATTCTGCCAATGAATAGCGATCTCTCGGACTTGAGCATTGGAATTAATGTGTTAGAATGCGAATTATTCACTAAATCTCTCCGTGATTCGTTACATAACCTAGAAAAAAGATTATCACTTTTGTTTCTGCGTGAAAATCGAAGGAAATCCAAAGAATCTGAATGATTCGTCAATAAAAGAAGCGTCCAGGAAAGGAATATTGAAGGTTTCTTAACACTTCCACTTCTTAATGTACTTCTCTTGAACCGTACACCACTTCTGACTGTATTATCTCCCCCTTGGCAAAAAAAACACACCATGGACGAATACGTGGAAAATCGTGAGAAAGTGAATATTTCCATTTGAGAGGTAGAGAGAGAGAGAGAGGTAAAAAAAAGAGGAGCTTTATTGTTTGAGTTATGATAAAAAACAGAATTGCTCACTTTCCCTCTGTTTACCCATCGTGTATACGCAGTCCCCCCGGCAAATTGGCCCCTCCTTTTTGCCACTCGCCACTCTCTCGGTATGAATTAAAACTCAAAGGGGGCAAATTTCGTATACTATAAACCCTCCAGAAGAAAAGTTCATTACAGCGTGAGGTGGAAACTTTCTCTATGGGGATTTCTTCAGGGCAGAGCTTTAAGCTCTCAAAGGGATTTAATTGATATTTTTTTCTCTCTTCACTGAAAAATCACACATCTTTCCACCACACTTTTAAACACATTTCATCGATAGACTGCCAGAGGGTGGAATTAATTTTACAAGTTTTAATTAGACTCCAGTTTTACCCAATATAATACCTATCATGAATTGGCAAAATTAGCAGAAATAGATGGAAAATGCAGCTCAATATTTTATTTCCAATTAATTTGCAACATATATATATCACAAACTAAATTCACACACGATTGCACTCTATTTCAGCGGAGTAAATTGCAAATGAATACACAAAAAGTGAAATCGATTTCAATAAATACTCGCCAGAGAAATTGTTATTAGTTTGCGCGCGCGAAAATTGCGCTATGCTGTGGAATTTGGAGATAATTAGTTGATAACTAAGTGTGAAGAGCATAAATAATATGTATGTGCGCACTAATTTGTGTGTCAAGATTGCTACTCACCAACCGAAGAGTGTGGAATGCAAGAGTGGGTAAATCCAAACGGCACAGGAACAATATAAAATCCCAATTATATGGCCTAATTTTCCACCCGATTTCACACGCACATCACGATTATCATCACACTGAGAATTCCGTGTCCCTCAATTGCCCTCGAGGACAATTCTCGGTGTTCAACTTTGTCCTTGGCCCGAGGGAGAGAAGGAACCACTTTTGCAAGAAAAGAGCACCACCAGTAATTGCTGAGGAATTCACACACACACAAACACACACAGAACACACGCAGGAGACCTCACAGAACAAATAAAGGATGCCCCTCAGCCCACAGCAGCTCTTGCCAGGAAATTTATGTGCTTTTGGGCTCCTTTTTTCGGTTTTGTCCACGAGAAAAACACACCCTCAAAATGAAATTATCAATTTTTCTCTCCTGCCTCTGTTCAGCCTCTTCGGCAAATATTCACAAGACGCCCTCCTTCGCGCCTCCTCACCGATTCACCATCGCCATTGGCCAGAGGAGCGCCTCCTTTTGATGCAGCCCTCACCAGTGAATCCACCGGCAATTATGTAACACTGCGAGTCATGTAATCTGCAAGACAAAAGTCCTCCGACGCCCCAGACTCACTCGCGCCGCCACACCGCGACTGATCACTGATCCGCTGCGGAGGTGCCCTCCGGGGGCGCTGCGGCGCACTCTCGGGCGCGCGAACAGGCAGGCCAGGCGAGACAGAGCTCGCAGGGATTTTTCTGGGAATCTCCTCCAAATGGTCACCACTTAAGAGAGGGAATTAGTTCGCAAGCACAGGGAGATTCTGCCCGCTCTGGTGGCTTCCACAAGACTGACTTGGCGAGAGTGACCGACTTACGGCCTTCCCAGATGATTCTGCCGCCCAGAGGGTGGAAGTGAGATGAAAGCTCACTGGAAATCTTGCCTCTCGCGTGGCGTATTTGGCCGCGGCGGGAGGAAAAGGACAACTCGTGGCGCTGCATCTCGGGCTTTTCCTCCCCTATTCTCAGGGGTGGATTTAGGGGGTAGAAAACTCACGAGATTGTAGAAATTGTAGTGAAATTTCAGAAGATCTTATCAATTGGGCGGGTTTAGAATTCGAACTGCAGAATTGAGAATTCACAAAATGTCTTCATTTGCTTCATTTCCACTAAAACAACTCAAGAAAAACCATCGGATCATGCTAAAATAGGGATTTATTCAAATTAGCGAAACAATTTTCCTTAAACGTAGATTAAATGAGTGATGAAACACAACATTTCCTCAGTCTCACATCACAAGAGTGGTGGCTCGAGCTCTAGATCTCAATGCAGGCTTCGGAGTGCGCCAGCAGAGCCTTCTCGGCCTTCGTCTGATCTTGCACCACGTAGAAGCGCCCCACGATGCATCCCTTGAGCTCAGATCCCTGCCTCACGATGGCATTCTCGCACACGATGCAGTTCTCCAGCACCACGCCCTCCTCGATGGTCGCGCCCTTCATGATGATGGACTCCGTGATGCGCGTCTTGGAGCTGATGGTGCAGTTGGCGCCGATCGTGCAGCTCTTCAGCGACGTCTTCTCCTCCAGCACGCTGTTGTCCGCCACGGCGCAGAGATTCAGCTGCGTGCACTTGTTGTCGCAGGAGGAAGAGATCAGCGGCGGCGCACCGGCGCCCATGATGTCCGTCCAGTTCGCCAGGACGCTCCTGTTGGCCAGGCAGTAGTTTGTCATGGTGTTGACGCGCAGCCCGAAGGACTCCTTGGGCACAATTTGGGCGTACACCTTGATGATGTCTGAGCTGTGTGGAGTGCTCTTGTTGGTCTTCTCCTTCAGGATCTTCAGCACGTCTCCGTCGCAGGCGTACTGAAAGGATTCCGGGCGTCACAAGAGAGCCTCAGTGACATTCTGCCAAATACTTACGTGGAAGATGTCGTCCAGTCGGACATTGACGTTGTATTCTGAGGTCGCGCGCTCGCTCTCCGGGGGCGCTTTGGGCTTGGACAGCTGCTTCTTCACCAGATACGGCAAGAGTTCGTTCTTGATGGTGCCAAAGTGCCGACTGTTGGCCAGGAAGTCCACGACCCATCGCTTCATCACGTAGATGTGGGAGTCCAGGATGCGCGTGTACATGCACAGCCGGCCGAACCGCCTCAGCAGCCGTCCGGAGACGTCAAAAGACTCCTCGTAGTCGCTGAAGTAGCCGGCGAAGAGCAGCCTGTTGGTCGCCAAGTGCACGCCCACGAGCTCTCGCTCGTTCACGTGCTTCGTGGACTTGGGACCGGGAATCTGGACGGCCGGCTGCTCCTCGGCGTCGAAGAAGAGCGTGGCCAGCGTGGCGTCGTTCTGGTCGAACATGGCCACGAGCGGCTCCAGGTCGAAGCTCGTGATGGAGTCGCAGGAGATCACCACGATGTCACGGTCGATCCTGTGCTGGATGTGAACCAGGGACTCGGCCGTGCCGAAGTCAGAGTCCGCCGGGATGGTGGCAAAGTCCAGCTTCATCGTCAGCGGAGTCTTCTCCAGGGCCTGCTGAATCTCTGCCTTCTGCGTCTCCAGCACAACCACCGTGGCACCTGAAACACCACCAGCGTCAGCCCACTTGGCCAGGCACTCTCCCGGAGTTCCTTACCTTGGAATCCCGACTTCTGGAGCGTGTGCAGCGGGTACCAGATCATGGGGAACGGACCCACCGGCATCAGGCACTTCGGGATGCCGCTCGTGAGCTCTGGGTAGCGCGTCCCCGTGCCGGCGGCCAGGACGACAGCTTGCAGGCTGGAGAAGGGCATCTTTGACCACAATTTGACTCTTTACACGCGGTATTTCACGACTTTTGCACGATTTTTCGTCACACACACGTAAGCACATGAAGCAAAAGCAGAAAAGTGAGAAAAGTGACAGATGAAAGAAGCGATGTTTCATGAAATTTATGATAAGGACTGAAATGTTTCAGGAGGAGGAAAATTTCAATTCTCAAAGAAAAAAGGAGTTTTCATATTATTCTTACCATTCTTACCTAAACCAACAGCAAAAACAATAATAATAAAAGGGAAAATGTTCATTTCTTTAATTGTTTTACATTTGACTAAAAATGCAGAGTCGGAAAAATTATTTCATAATTAATTAACAAATTAATTATTCACCCATTTATAACTAATTAAATCGTTAGAGAAATCAATTTTTTGAATCCCATAAATCCTTCTCACAAAAGTGTTGTGACACTTCTGTTTGACACTCCGATGCAGAAAGATCTACTCCCGCGAATAAATCTTATTTCTGCATAAATACTGGTGTGATTTTTACAAAAACCATCTTAAAAACACCCCCAGCGGGTGCTGTGACTTATCTGTGGTGGATAGTGATTGATAAATTACATAAAATCAGGAAAAACTGTGAAAATATACGTGCCCTGACATCACACAAAGGGCCATAAAACCATAACATTGTGAAATTCCTCTGAGAAGTAACAAAGACTCTACAATACTCAAGTAGTGATGTCTGATCCTGGGGGCAGTCGCCCCCAGGACCCTGGGGGTCCTGGCGGGACTGCAGAAAGACCTTTTGTGCGCGAACCGAACTTTTACTTGGATGGAAGCTATTATGGTGACTCTTTTCGAGTGGTGATTGCCAAAGACAATGCAGTGAGAAACATAAATGACAAAATAAACGATATGGACGTTGGGATAGCACTCAACAAAATCTTTCCGGCTGGAGAAATTGAAGAAGTTGCGAAAATAAGCAGAAACAATGTCGTTGCTTATTTCAAAACGATGACAGGCGCCAATTCCTGTGTGAAAGAAGAAAAGTTAAAGCGCTTTGGATTCAAGAGCTTTATTCCCACGTACTACGTGGCATCACTGGGAATTATCAATGGGGTTTCCACTGAACTTACTGAGGAGGAACTGAAAGACAAGATTCTGACTGTGAACGGAAGTGATATCAAGGTGAAAAAAGTGATCAGAATTACGCGTAAAGATGGCGAGAAGGGACTTGAAGCTTTTGTTAAGACTGAGAGAATCAAAGTTCTGTTTCATGGTACTATCCTTCCCCGAGAAATCGTGTGCGAATCTGCTAAGCGATACGTGAACTATCAAAACCGGAGGATTCTGCAGTGCATGAAGTGCCTGAGATTTAATCATCATGAAAGACAATGCAAAGAGGGAACAGCAATTTGTGCCCAATGTGGAGAATTGAGAGACCATAAAGAACCCTGTGAGAACAGCAAAAAATGCGTCAATTGCTGGAACAATGATACCAATGAGCATGCAGCGACGGACCCAGAGTGCCCAGAAAGGATCTCAATCAAAGAAATAAACCAAATAATGAGAGAGAAAAACATGTCCAGAGGAGAAGCATATCGAGCGAAAAATCACCAAAAAAGTGATGCAAGATCCTATGCCAACATCTTAGCGCAAAATATGTTTGATGGACTTGACCAGGACGAGGAGAACCCAGAACTCAACGCACTGAATCAGAGGAAGCGAAACAGACCACCCCGAAGAAGAGGAAGAAGAAACTTCACCATCAAAGGCTTCAAGAGGAACATTAATCAGGAAATCACCGAAGGATCATCAGAAGAAACAGCTGAAAACACCGGAAATTGTGAGGTAAACACTGAGAACAACATTCATGCTCCATCTACCTCCAGATTCACCAGAAAACAAGCTCCCCAATCAAAACCACAGCAAACTGAACAAGAAGAGAAAGACACAGTGGAAGCAGCCACAACACTGGCCAGCCTTGTGAAAGAAATGAGAGAAAAAAGACAACACACAACGTCATCATCAGACGAACAAACTCAACGAATCTACAAAAAACCAAAAAACAACACAAGAACAGTAAATAATACCAATAATACTCAACAAGATAATAACCAGTGGGTCTTACCCAGCTCAAATAATGAAGATGAAAGCATGTCAGAAGATGAACCTTTGTCCGATTTACAAAACATTGACCCAAACAGGGACAATGTTAGTTTTCGGAAATAAAGTAAAGCAATACAATCTCCTTAATTGGAATATAAATGGATTTTATAAACACTATGAAGATTTAAAAATACTTATCAATGAACTCGAACCAAATTTTATTTGTATTCAAGAAACTAGATTAAATGATTTTAATTACCCTATTCTCAAAAATTACAATATCGAACACAAGAATTATTATGATGGAAATATAAGCAGTGGAGGCGTCCTTATAGCTGTTAAAGAAGAATTTGAATATGAACTAATTAATACCAATTGCCCTTTGCAAGCCATTGTTATTAAGCTCAACAGTCCTACAACCTTTTATCTATGTACAATTTATTTACCACCTCAATATAATAGAGAAATTATCAAAAGTCTGGAGGGTCTTATATTAAGACTTCCTCAACCATTTTTAATAGTAGGAGATTTTAACGCCAAAAATCCTATCTGGGGTGATCAAACTTCTGATAGTCGAGGCGATAAATTAGAAAAATTAATATACGACCATGATTTAGTAGTATTGAATAATGGCGAACCAACCCATATATGGCACAACGGGAAAACATCTTGCATAGATATTGCTCTCTGTTCAGCTTCGTTAGCAAACCTTATAAATTTTCAAACTTACGAAGAACCTCTTAGTAGTGATCACATACCTCTTTTATTAAATTTCAATTTCCTCCAGAATGCCGACTCCAAACTCCCTAATTGGAAACTTGATAAGTGCAATTGGGAAAAATTTTACACAGACTCCTACCTTATGAATATTGACCAAGATTCCTTTGAAAATACATATCAACAATTTTGCACCCAACTAATCAATATTGCCAATAATAACTGTCCTAAATCCAAACCATCAATTAAGAAGCCGCTACCATGGTTTACTAAAGAACTTCGTATGAAAATAAAAACAAGGAAAAGACTTTATAGATCATTTAGGAGAACACAAAATTCGACCACCTTAGCAGAATACAAAGAACTCAAAGCAGAAATCCAAAAATTGTTACGAAGCTCCAGGAGGGATAATTTTGACAAGTACATATCCACAATTAATAGCGAAACTAGTTTGAAAGAAATCTGGAATAAAATCAATATATTTAATAGAAAAATAAACCAGAATGAAGTTAAAATACTCAAAATCAATGGTAACATAATTGACAACTCTAAAGAAATAGCCAATATTTTTGCCCAAACTTTCTCCCTGAATTCTTCTGACAATTACTACAATAGTGAGTTTAAACTTACCAAAACTCTGATAGAAAATAATTTCACACTTCCTCATCAAACAAATAATGATCTCAATATAACATACAACCAGGAAATCACCATACAAGAACTGAAGAATGTCATCAAGGAAGTATCAGGATCCTCTCCGGGACCAGACGAAATTCATTATGCCTTTATTAAAAATCTAAGTGAAAAGGGTCTGGATATTCTGCTTCAAACATATAATGAAATATATGATGGAGCGTATTTCCCAGAATCTTGGAAAACTGCTTGGGTTAAGCCAATTTGTAAGCCTGGTAAATGTAACTCAGATCCATCCAATTACCGACCCATTTCAAGAACTTCTTGCCTATCTAAAATTCTCGAAAGAATTATAAATAAGCGACTAATCTTCTACCTAGAAGAAAACAAAATTTTATCTCAATTTCAAGCAGGCTTTAGACGAGGCAGAACTACTAATGATAATTTAATTCAATTGACTAATGATATCCACGTTGCATTCAAAAATAAAAAACATCTCTATGCCATATTTTTTGATATAAGCAAGGCATATGATCAAGTTTGGAAGACTGGAATCTTAAGAGAACTTATAAAAATTGGAATCAAAGGGAAAATGTTGAACTTCATAAGCAAATTTCTTTCCGATCGAAAAATTCAAGTCTATAATGGAAACAATTTATCAAATCTATACGAAATTAAAAATGGTATACCACAAGGTTCCGTAATCTCGGTCACATTATTCCTCATTTACATTAACTCGATCTTTGAAAATATCCCCCAGGAAGTTCAATCATTAATGTACGCAGACGATTTAGTAGTATATTTTGCAGATCATGACGATAATAAAATTCAAAACACACTCTCAATGACAATAGAAAACTTAGAACAGTGGAATAAAAAATATGGCCTTAACTTCAATTCTGACAAAACTAAAATGATCCACTTCTGCAAACTCAGAAAACCGCACAATAATATTCAACTCAATCTCTATGGAAATACTATAGAATGTGTTGAGAGTTACAAATTTTTAGGAATAATTTTTGACAGTAAACTTAAATGGGAAGCTAATACAAGATTAATTAAGACAAAATGCTCCAAAAGACTAGATATTATCAAATGTGTTGCAAGGAAAAAATGGGGTATATATAGGAAAACTTTAATGATGATGCATAATGCATTAATCCTCAGTACCTTAACTTATGGCATAGTGGCGTACGGCAGTCTCAACAATAATTTCTTTAAAAAACTTAAAAGCTCTTATCATAGTAGTATCAGACTAGTAACAGGGGCACATAGAACTAGTCGAATTGAATACTTACTAGTAGAAGCAGGACAATTACCTTTAAACTTGATATACAAGAAATACACCCTAAACTATGGTTTAAAAGTGGCAACAAATAGTGATCATCCCCTCTTCGATTTATACAATAGTGCCTTAGATGTGTCCAACGTCAATACATTGAGCCCAATAGCAAAAATATTCCGTGATATACTAGATGAACTTAATATACAAACACCACCCTTAGAAGTCAATAATAGCTACGACTGGAACCCACAAACACAAAATAAAATAAATATAGACTTAGCATTAAGTAAATCTAAAAAACCTCAAATAACAAAAAAGGACGTAGACCAAAAAATTCTGCAATACAATAATCACAAACAAATTTTCACAGACGGTTCTAAAACTATAGACCACACTGGGCTTTCAGTTATTCTTTCTAACATTGAAATATCTTTCCAAATCCATAAAGAATGCTCAATATTCACTGCAGAAGCAGTTGCAATATTAGAAGCTCTAAAATACATACAAGTAGACGACCAAGACAATAAAAACATAGTAATTTTCTCGGATTCCCTCAGTACAATAAAAGCAATCAATAACATAAATATAAAACAGAGTCGAGTTATCAAAAATATAGTTGAAACATCCAATACCATTATAAGAGAGCAAGACTATAACATAACAATTTGTTGGGTCCCGGGCCATATAGGGGTTGAAGGCAATGAAATGGCTGACAAAGCAGCCAAAGAAGCTAATGATCTTAACACTGAATATAAAGTGCCTTATTTAGACGTAAGAAATGTTGTTAAAAGTAAACTAAAAGATAGATGGAACGTATTATGGAGTAATCTAGAAAATAACAAGATGTTTAAGATCAAAACTAATGTAAACAAATACACAACTGTAAATAGAAGCAATAGGAAAGAAGAGACTATTTTAACTAGACTTAGGATTGGTCATACTGGTATTACACATAATTCAATATTCACCAAAACATACCCAACAAAATGCTGTGACGTAGATTTAAGTGTTCAACATATATTAATAGATTGCATAAGGTTCCGTAGTATAAGAGGAGAGATGAAATTAAAGGACAAAATAGAAAATTTACTGGATGACGACGAGGATGAAGTACTGAAAACATTGAAATTTATTGATAAGATAGGTTTAAGTAGAGAAATATAAGAATAAGTTATAAGTTATAAGTTATAAGTAGTTATAATAATAATGTACTAATAATAATGTAGATGGCGATACCTTCTATTAGAAGACGTCAAATAAAGAATAAGAAGAAGAAGAAGAAAAGTGTTGTGAAATATTCCAGTGAAACATTCCATGTTTCAAGTTTCTCTGAAACCTAACAAAACAGCCAAATTTCTTCCCTCCGCAAGATGTCTCTGGCTGTAAATGAGAGGGAGAATATCAAATGAGCGAAATTGTAACTGAATTTCTCTATTCCCTTTACACTTATCTTCCAGTCTTTTTCCCCATTGGCCCCATCGAATAGACACAACACTTGCATACAAATGCAAATGTAGTTGTGGGGAATTGTGAGCTCCACAAGGTCACTTCTATCACTCCACTGGCGTTGTCAAACAAACGATCACACAGTTCGACGAGTGTCTTTCATTAGTGTTCTCGTGATTCCAGCGACCGGCAGAAACTCCCACGAAATGGCATCTCTAACCAGGAAAATCATCTCATCTGCGCTTTCCGGGAAAGCCATTGCGCCATACAGGTGAGATTCATCTTGAGATTCATTGTCTACTTGCAGGAAAGATCTTAATTTGGGTTTTTTGCATGAATATTCACAGTCAAGCTATTGTTGTTGATCGCACGGTTTATTTGTCCGGATGCTTGGGATTGGACAAGGATACAATGAAGCTCGTTCCTGGCGGCATTGTGCCGGAAACAGCTCAGGCTCTGAAGAATCTCAAAAACGTCCTCGAGGCCGCCGATTCGGGCATTGAGAAAGTCGTTAAGGTCACGGTGTTTCTGACGAATATCGATGACTCGCCAAAGTTCAACGAGGAGTACAAGAAGGGTGAGTCGCGATGACATAATTCTTCCAAATAATCGCTCTTCAATTGAGCTGGTTTTGAGTGTCTCTGAGATGCAGACGAAAAAAAAACTCGTCTCAATCCCCCGGCCGGCACTTGAGATTGTGTGGTAAACAAGATAAGGTTCTTTATTGCCCTAATCGCCACATATTGACTTCCATTTCATACGCTGTTTAAGTGACCAGAAAAATGCCTCTGAATTAATTAATGTTCGTTTTTCTTGCAGTGTTCACGCACGATTTTCCGGCGCGTTCGTGCTTCGCCGTGGCCGCTTTGCCAATGCAGGCGAAGGTGGAGATCGAGGCGATCGCGCTCACTGGAGACGTGAAGACCATCTCAACATGACGCCAGAAAGCCAGTCTCTAGAAGACACTCCAGAAATTGAATTGAAAGCAACAATAAAAGTCTCTTCCTGAAGCATTTTTTCATGTCTTAATCAGCTTCAATCATTCTTTCGCGGCGGTGATTAAAAATTCACGGCAAAAATAGCTTTTAATAGTTAAGTTGAGGCTGCACAGAAGCCCTTTATTTTTGCAGGAAACACTTTCTGAATTAATGGTTTGCACTTAATGAACTTACCTTTTGCACGGCGTGCCATAATTAAGGACGAAATAGCATGTGGAATCACAGTATTGCATTTTTTTCCCTTGAAATTTAATTGGCAAGACTCTCCTTGATAAAAAACATGGAATATTTTTAATGAGATAAACCTTTTTTTCTGATAGAAATATTCCTAGTATTTTTCTGCTTACAAGACATCGCAAGCTTAATTGCTATGGAAGAATAAAGATGCGGGAAAAACTGAATTTTCTTCTCTTCTTTGGATGTTCACTTTATTATTCTTTTAGAGTGTTTTGCAATTATCTATGAATACAATGTACACAATAATAAGTTTATAAAATCTACCTTAACACATTCACTTAACCATTTTTGGGTGATAAAAAGGAAAAAAAACTTTACAATAATGCATCTCTCCTGTTGTACATTTTGTCTACTCTTCTCTGTGTCTCTCATCATGTTATGGTTAGCATTTTTCTTTTCATTGGAGGGAATAGAGGAGAAAGTTCTGCAGTGGGAAAATGCATCGCAAGTCTGGGGGGACTTTTGTCAATGGAAGAGGAAGGACATTTTTTGGTGAAGCAATAATGCACGCCCTGCGGTGGGTGTGTTAAATCTCAATGGTGTCCGTGGTGAGACTTTCGATGCTTGCGGACTTGGATGAATGCGTGAGCGGAAAGGGCTTCCTGAGGATAGCATCGGCCAATCGCTCCCAAGGAGTCAACTGTGGCTCCTTGTCCACCTTGCATTGCCCATCGCCATCAAGCCAGTGTGAAGCTTTTGTGGGTGAGTTTGCGAGCTTTTCACTCATGTTGCCAATAATTTGTTTTGTGTCTTGTGTATGAGTCGAAGAGCGCCTGGAGGATGTTTTATTTAGGCTTGTTTTAGTGTTCATCACTGTTCAAAAGTAGAGTAACAACATTCCATTCATTTGGGGTGGATTTCATTGTGGCGTGTGTGTATTTATTTTGCCGAGTGTGATAAAAGGGCGAATAAAGTCCAGTGAAAAAGTGTGTGATAAACCGAAAAGTGCCACAAATCGTTAAACTCAATGGCATACAAATTAATGATCATTCCATCCATCCATATTCTTCGCATTCCACTTGCCATTCCTCTTCAGCTCACAGAGCTTTTCTTTTGCCTCCCAAGACTGCCAGCGAGTGATTTGAATATACAACATTTTCGTGGCCCCAAGAAGTGGATGGAAATTGTGTGTGTTGGAAAAAAAGAACAGTGAATTTTTATGACCAAACACTTCTAGTTCTCACTTCCGGTTCTTTTTTCTTCGCTGCGGAGGTGAAAATCGATTTTCCGTCTCCAAATGTGAGACGAAGGTGAAAGTCAAAGTACTCTTATCGGAGAAACTCCTATTTCGAGTGCAAAATTAAGGGGTAAAGAACACACAATCACTATATTTCTCTCGTGTAGAGAAATTGAGAAAATCTAATTTTCCAAATTCACTTATAACACAGAGAAGTGGGAATTTTGAAAGCTCTTTCGTTCTACTTAATTAAAGTTGTGCTCTTGCAAATTTTCCAATTAATATCCCTCTTGTGCAAGCAGAATTTACTGCACATGTTTGATTGCAAATTCATTTACCCATCAGAGTTTTACCAAATTTTACACTTGTCCGCCACCCCTCGTTGTGTCTATACGGTTTAATGCCTGTGAGATAAAGTTTCTTCGAAAGCAAATGCGGTCAAGCACCCCAAAAAGGAGAGTGGCTTTTGAGAAAGTAAGAAAAAGCCATAAATTTCTAATTATTTCACCTCATGCACACTTGAGAGAGAGAAAAACGAGCGAAAGAGTCTCCCTGTGACGAATGAGATCACGATACCACCCTCACTCTCTGGCTCCTTGTCCGAGAGCTTCGGATGGCGTGAACTGGCCAGGAGTGAATCACCCTGGCGGCTCTGAATAGAAATTATGATGGAATATCGAATTAATTTGTACTGTGTTTCGTGTGTTTGATTGTCGACGGTGTGGGTGAACTTGAAATGCTGATGGAAGTGGTGACTGTAATCGATTAAGTGTGTGGTGGTGTCTCTGAGCAAAGGAAAAGTACCACAAAATGAGGAATCCTCTCTTGCGCTCCGGAGGTGGGCAATGTTTAACTTTGGTGGGTGAGTGAGAAGAAGCCATGGAAGGGTGGCGATTGAAGAGACTATGAAAAGTATAACAGTTTGGAGAGAATGTATTCGATAGGTTCTTCTTTACAAATCGATATGCTTTCTATTGTTCGCTGAAGGGGTGTTCGGGGATCTGCAGTGAATTGCCGTGGTGTGGGTGGTTGTGAGAGAAATCCCTTACTCACTCTGGTATCTTTGTCTCGGATGGCGCCGCTGGATCCGCTTCCAAGTCCTCGAGTTGCATGAGGGTGGGCTTCGGGGAGGGTGACTTGGTGTCTTCATTGGCCTCGAGTATCCTCTCGAGTTCGGGCTCTGGAGTGCCGGTCTTTAGGCTGTCGATTGAGTGAACAGGTGTCTTGTCCGCCTCATCGTCCTTAACAATGCCCTCCAACGCCTCTTTAGCACCCTCGAGACCATTTTGTACTTTCGTCGCCGCCTCCTCAACCCCATCCACCATCACATCTTCCGTTTCCTTGATAAGCTCATCAGCCATCTTGTCCGCCTCGTCCGATAAGCTCTGCACTCGCTTCAGCATCTCCGTCTTCCGCTCCTCGAGGTTCTCCATCAGGCCGTTCGGCTCCTTGAGCGGGATGTATTTGCTCTCCGTGAGATCCTCCACCAGCAGGTCGTCTGCCTTCTCCTCCTTGCCACCCTTGAAGGCACTCTCCAGCTCCTGGCCCATTCCCTGGACGGTGCCAACGACTGTGTCCTTAACGTACTCCACTGTTCCCGATATCGTGCTGTTTACATCTGAAAAGAGCGAATAAGAGAATATTTTAGTGATATTCATGTTTCCCAGAAGGCCACCTTTGTAGAGAAAGCTCCGCCCACATGCTCGCCACGCCCACTTGTCTCTGATTGCTGTGTAATTCAGAGCCTTTATTTAATTTCTGCCTCTTCATTTTCTTCAAACTTTGACCCCAAATTGGCGCTATTTTTAATAAAAAGCATTTCCAGTGTTTGCCTATAAGCAGGTTTAGCAATTAATAATCATAAAATTAAAATCCTCCATCTCCTCAGATTCTTCATAGCAATTTTTCATACATTTCCGCTCAATTTCACGCATATTTCTTTTTATAGAAAGTCCCTTCGTTTCCATGCGAAAAATTTTTGCGTGTTGCTCCACTCAGAAGTTTCCTCATCGCAAAAATTGCCTAATTAGTATTCACGGTGAAAATGATTGCATTAAAAGGGAGGGTCTGATGTGTAATTTGTAAGGGTTGATACTGTGATATCCACACCACCCCATCGATGACCTCCAACGCAGCCACGCAGATTTAACCTGTTAGAGTGTTAAAATTTACATAATTTTTTCAATCCGGCACGCCAGACCGCTTCCTACCAGGGTTACGCGCTCTTTAAACCCTTGAAATTAGCGCCCGCTGCGGAATGTTGCCGGCAAGTTGTGAGTGAGATTTCGTGTAGTGAATTTTCAGTCCAATTAGGGTGACTTTTGAGCGGAGTTTTTGCAAAAAGGAAAATCTCTTATTGAATTTACCCACCGCGCGTGCATTGGAAGGATTTTTTTTTTAAATCAGATGCTATTGAATTCCCTTTTGCGGGAGGGGGAGAAATTGGGATCGTTTGAGAAATAACCTGCTTTACCTTAATTTCACATCATTAAGAGAATCAATCTTTTTAAGTGCATTTCCTACCCTCGAAATTTTTGGTGAGTGGATGAGAAAATTACCCAGCGAAAGACACACATTTACAGAGTGATAATGGGCAATTTTCACAATCTCCATTCTCGAGGAATTTTCCATCAGTTCCTCACGTTCTCAGGGGGGTGAGTTTTAGCACGATTTAGCGGTCCTTGGCTGGAGAATAAATAAAAATCCATATCGACTGTGCAAAGGTGGTGTTTTTTTTTCAGGGGCGGCACAGTGATGTTTCTTTGTGACTTCACACCCTCTTATTTGTACTTTTCTTGAGGGGGTTATTGTGTGTGCGCTGAAAGAAGTGCCGCTTGACCTGAAAACCCCAAAAAGGCATCAACCCGCTGTGGGATTTTAATGACTTCCTACAACAATTTCTTTTCCGTGCCAACGTCAAATTACATTCATGAGCAAAATGACCCAGCAATAAGAAGGTACACTTTCCAGAAAGCCACTCCACCTGTGATTAGTCTTCACCCGTTATCATGTTTCACTTGCTTCTTAACACTTGCACGGCCATCAAGTGGATTAACTTACCGTTTAGCACTTCTTCGCCGGTGTGTTTCATATCTTGGGCAGCACTCTTGGCCGTGCCCATGATGTTCTCCGCCCCATTGGCGAGTGGTGAGGAATTTGCACAGCCCATCTTTGATTTCTCGAAGGAGTCTTTTTGATTCTCTCTGTCTTCAGGGTCTCTTGGGACTCGCTAGTGGCCACCGTTTGGCCAAGAACTTGAGATTCACCACTTTCTCACTGCACAAACTCACGCTCTTTAGCACTTTTGCTGTTCTCTTTTCTGCTCGCCAACCGTAAGAAATAATAATTGGGCTTCTGGTGAGCGTGTTAATTTACTGCAACCAACATGAGCTTTCTATCGCGTCCACTCCTGATGGCTGAGTGTGATTGCTAATGTTCCCAGTGACCTGGAAAAGAGAGTGTGGAGGAAAAAAAAAGTCCCATTAAATTACTGCCCATTCATACATGGAATTTTCCCCCCTGTTGTCAATTGATTAATATCTTGAGGAATTTGCTTCATAAACTCGTACAGAGGCTTTAAATAGGAGCTTGAATTGTGACTTTGTGACTTGAAAAGCACTCCACTGAACCTTCAGGCCGTGAAAGCTCCCTCCTCTTCAAATTCACTGAATAGCAGCCCCTGAACTGAGAGTCGTGGATAACAATGAGCGCATCTCGGCAAATTGTCGAAAGTTTGCTAATTACCTGAGTGGAGGTCTGCTGAATCCAGTAACAACTCGCTGAAATATTCAGTGAGCAGTAGTTTTCCCATGGAAGTTCTCTGGATGGCACGGACTTTCACGTCAATTTCAGCCTGTCTCGCAACACGGTTCTACCTGAACTGACCAGAGGCCGAGCAATTTCCTAACATTTACGTGAATTGAACACGCCAGTCCTTTCTCCCTCTCTCTCCTCTCACCCCCTGGCGGCTTTCCGTCGCTGCTCCTCGTCGACAATGGTGGTTTGGGGTGGCCCAACAATGGGGACCGTTGGACGGAATTCCACCTCATTTCTTCTCCACCGCCCAGCGACTTTCCATAAGTGCTCAAGTGGGGCCTCCTTTCCATACAGCGTTTCGTCATCAAAGCTCCGAAAAAGGCACAGAGTTGAGAGGGTGCAAAGTTTACTCACAAATGATAAAAATAGCCCGCGGCAGTGGAAAATTATTACCAGCTAAAATTACTACCAACAATTAATATTGTCGCGATGACTTGTACAACTATCATTAGACGCGTGAGAATTAGAAGGTTCGCGAGAGATATTAGCAATATTATAGGTCGTTTCAAAATTAGCTCTCACTTTAGCGATATTTCTGTAATTAAAAAGCAACGAAGACTTCTTATCGCCGAAGAAGTTTCTAATTAAAGCGACGCTTAGTGATCGTTGGAATTGTGTGATTATCACTGAAATAATAAGATTTTAATAATGTGCAAAACTTTGCCTTTCTCAGCTTTGTGTAATTCATTAGTTTTTCACTGTTTTTTCCATTCCCCTGAACTTCGGCGTTGTTGTTTCTTTTAACAGTGATATTTCATGTGTAGCTTTCTGAAAAATTATACGTAATGCTTTTGGCATAAGAACAAGAGAGAGAAGTCAATATCCTCTCACTTTCACGTTGTCCCCTCAGCACGAAAATGCTAAGGAGTTTCGTGGTGAAGATGGAGAAAAAGTTGTTTGCTTATCGTTTTGGTCACTGGAAAACCTTTGTTTCAACATATCTCTGAATCAGCAAAGATATTGAGCTGTGGCGGGATTCTCTCAGCACAACTTTCCTCATTGCTTAACAGCTTGAGCGGCCACAGAATAATTTATCATAAGGCAAGAAGAGCTGGAGATCAAGGGATAATATGGTCAGAAGTGGTGTACAGATCAGTAGAAGTTTAAGGAAGTGGAAGTGCTTCAATTTATGCAATATTTGACTCACAACTTTGATTTTCTGGTCATTATTTTGTTCCCAGAAATTAATTTTTATCCAAAATCTAATTTTGACATATTTTTCTAGGCTATGTGACTTATTTAAGATTAAGCAACAATTTGAAGTAGAAATTCCTGGGCCTAAATTGAAAGTATTTTCACTTTATTAATAGATTTGCGTCTTTTTACTCAATGAAAATCGTGATTTTTGGAAACAACGCTAAATAAATTGTTGCAATTTTGAGTTAGAAATATAAAAGAAAATTAATAAAAGGATTATGATTAAGAAAAATACGCAAAAGTGTAATTTTAGCGGAAGAAAATCATAAATTATTGTATGGAAATGTGAGATTTAAAGTTGTTAGTTGGATATGAGTTAGTTTTCGGTTAGATTTCAGTTAGATTCTAGTTAGATTCGTGTTATTTGTTGATTTTAAATTATGAGTTTGAAGTCCTGGGAAGTGTTAGGGATTTTTCACATATTCTGGAAGTGTCAGGAAGTGGTGTAAAGATTTTAGCCACATTATCTGCCCCTTTGCTTGAGATGGATTTCCGAAATAATCCTCAGCGGTGTGTATTATCGGGGTAATCTTGGGCAAATATCCTCGAGGAATTTCTCCCCTGAAATTAATACTGCCTATGATCTCTGGAAATTGTTGCTGAGAAAGTCTCCTTCCACACGCCCGGCGCAAAAGGGATAAATCTCCACGAATTATCCCTCAACTATTCCGATATTAACCAATTATCTCGAGCCGCATGTGGTGACAAATGGTGTGTCACCGAAAGTTTCATGTTGCGAATGGGGGTGGACTTTCGCCTTGGGGTGTTTGCGAATGGGGTGAAAAGTGGTGGAAATATCTCAACGGATTAGACCACAATTGTCACGATTCGTCCTCGGAATAGCAAATTGAGGAAACGTCACGAGTTTGCATCACTACTCCTTGTGACGTTATCGCTGGGCGCGAGCACGAAATCTTCAAATGCCCTTTAGTGTCCCTGAGAAAGCCGAGCTTTTTCACCCATTTCGGCCGCTAATTTAATCACCGGTGATAAAAAGTCACATTTGCACGTGAAGTCAAGTGATGACGTGTGCTCAGCCACACTGTTAATATTGCGAATTAAATCTACAATTTCCATGCATTTCTATCTTCAGGAAAAAAAATAATAAATTCATAGCGCTGTCGATGAATTTTTTATCAAAAAAATTAAATTGAAAAAATTGAACTTTCCTACAATTGAGGATATTCTGAATTTCTCTACTTTTTTTTCTCATTATTCCTCAACATCCAATGAAGTTAGTCATTTCTTTTTGCCAACAGTGTACATGACTTTCCACTCCAAATAGCAATTGCTTGCGCGTTGATTCGGCGTGTTTGTGTTACTGACGACGCCAGAAATATCTCTAACAAGTAGCAGAAAATGCAAAGTTGTCGTCTCTATCTTTCCATCAACATTGCAGGCGAACTTGTTGGCTGAGCCGCACTTTGAAAGCAGCTTTTTGGATCGTTCCAAGTTCAGGGGTGGAATGTTGACTCGCAGGACAATTTATGTGAGCAGTGACTCTTCAGAAAAGGGAGAGAGAAAAAAACGTACAAGAAAGTTGACAAAGAACTTGGCAAGTTTATTTCTGGACATGTGGGAAATGTGGAAATATGGAAATTTAGAAATTGACTTCCTTGCTTTTTGTACACAGATTTTATTCCCTTTGTTCCTAATTCACTCTCTCATTCGTACAACTTGGCATTCCTACGAATTTTCCCTTTCCTTCACAACAATTTCTTCAGTTTCTGGGGGGGTGAAAATTATGTGATATATATACCATGTTACAACAATTACCTCATGTTTTATTTTTTCACTAATTCTGGGACGTGGGAACAATATTTCTCCTTAAAAATATCTCACTGAGCATTGCAAACAGGGAGGTTTTTCTTTGTCTGTCTTCTTTGGTACACATTTAGGCAACAATGACTGATTAAATTCACAATGTGAGAAACCCTGTCTTGTTGGGGAGGAAGCTCATCTCCCTCTGCAACGACCTTACATATTCGCTAAGGTGAGGAGAAAGGGAATTTCTAATAGAGCCATCACACTATGAATGACTCACCATTTTCTGGGGATGCTCTGCGGAGGATGAGGGTAGAAGCTTGATGTGGAAAAATCCACTTCTCTATGTTATTTTCAACAACACTTTTCACTCTCTAACACACTCAATGGGTTTTTTCTTATTCTCTATTTTTACCATCATTTCACGCTCTTGATTGTCCTTCTATATAGTGTTTGTCCAAAAATACACCAAAAAATGCTTGCGGGAAAAGCTGCGATTTTCACATTTTCTCCTCACTTGCGGAGAGATTTATACTTTGCTGAGGTGAAAATGGGCCAGCCCAAATACTTTTCCCTTTTGTTTTCGGCGTAAAAAGTTAGAAATTACAACAACTTGAACGCTCTTTTTTTGCGCCACAACATCGCGAAATGGCTGTTTAAGTGGGCTTTTTTCACCTGGCTCTGGTGGCAAATCAATTATAATTATGGGATTGTGCATTGCTTTTTGTCTTTGGAACTCAATCGAAATTTCAATTTCAAAATCCGGTAATAATTGAATAATATATTTGGATTAAGCATGTCGAGAATCCATGAAATTATCTATGTTTATTCAACATCACAAAACTATTTGTTTGATTTTGCTATTTGCTAATTGTGTTGAATTTATGCATTGAATTTAGTGTTATTATTTCGATTCTGGGTAATTCCATCGTGTTCCTGTGGAGAATATTTCCCAATGATATATTCATCGGAAAATGGTTGGAAGACAGATGGTAATACGTGTCAATATACTTTTGCCAATAATGCAGCAGAACGTGTAGCATCGCTGTTCGCCCCATAAAATATGCCACCGAAAGCGCTGTTGGGGAGGAAGTTCGAGCGCGACTGATAAAATATGATGTATGGAGTTGCAAAGCCATAAGAGGAAAAAGAGCCCGAAGGAAAATTTTCCACGGAAACACTGTCATTTCACGGTGGCGATAAAAAGCGACCATCGCGCAAAAAGTTCTCCAGCGATTAAGTGTGTTTAACGTCTTCAGACTTGTCGCTCAATTTCAGCCTGAATTGTGAGGGTGATTTGATTAGGATTGATATTGCTTTCGTGGATTGATGTTTCCCCTTCGTTGCACACTGCCCTGGAGTCGGTGGGTGGCGACTTGTGGCCCTCCTCGCGCCTCTCCGGCCCATCGTACAGCAGCTTTTCCAGCTGCGCCGAGTTTGCCGTGACCGAAGTGCCGAAATTCTTCATCCGTCGCTCGTCAATCACTTCGATGGAATCATAGCCATCCTCGGCGGGATTGCTGCTGATGAAGTAGATCTGATGGAACTCCGTGACGGGCGCCTTGACTTTCGGCCTCTTGAAGCTCTTCGATGACTTGCTGCGATAGAGAAACTTCTGCCTCACCGGCTCCTGATTGCAGTCCAAGATGAGGGAGTCCGGCCTCGGCGTCCTGCCCTTCTCCGATGAGTCACTCAGGTCCGTCGGGAAGGTGTCCTTGTCCTCCTGATCCAAACCCTCCTCCTCCGGCACGCACGGCTCAATGCTCGACTGGCAGGACAGAACTCTCATCGGCTCAGATGAGATCGATAATTGACTCCTGCCGAGGGGAAGAGAAGCGTGAGAAAGAGTTATAATTTTTCACAAGAGCACACCCAAGCAAGCAGAGGGACAACAGCTAATGCGAAATTGGACGTGCGATCGTGGAAAATTGCGCCATCGTATGATTGACTCGTAAATTGCTTGCAGTGGAAATTCTCTTGGACAAACATGCTGATTGCACAAGTCTATCTTTGTGATAGACAGAATGGCTGCAGGTCAATGTAAGACAGGTCAGGTGGGTCAGGTATTTTTACCACATTATTGCTCTGTCATCGATCCACTTTATCAATAGAGGAAGTTGTTTCAGAGCTTTTCAATCACATTCGCATCGGGATAATCATTTGCGTTTGCTGTTGTTTACCTCAAGCAAATTTCACTCTATTTATGTTTGTTCTCTAGAACTCCATTGTGTGTATTGTAGAATTTATTTCGCGTTTTCTGCCATTCTTCGCGAAATGTAATTATTCACAAATAATACTCTTTGACTCTCATGGTAGGTTCTTTTTTTATTAGACTCGTATAAATTCAATTGTGCAGAATTCTGTGTAAAACGCGTTTCATTTTACATTTTCTTAAGAAAAAACATAAAATATTCCTTTTCCTTAGAATGTCTGTGGACGCTTTAATGTGTGGAATTGCTCGAGGAATCCAATTTAAAAGCCCCTCTGAGCGAAATTGTATATGAAATGAGTAATGTTTCTCAGTCTGATCGATAAAGTCTCGCTGGTCGGAAAGGGTGATACGACCTGTGGCCGTTAAAGCGATCTCCGTGTCGCTGTGCTTGCGTAATTTAATGGCAAATTTGAACTTGAAGTGCGTCTGTGTGGTGGGAAACAAAGAAAGCTCAAAAGCTCCTGCTGTGGACTTTTCATGATAATTTCACAAAATACCGCATAAATTTGTGCGGAGAAAAAAATACGTCGAAATTTCACTCGAGGCGCACCTTTCTCAGAAATCATTTAATATTCCCTCCCACTCGATTTGTTGAGGGAAAATTCAATGGAAAGGTCATGAGAGGAGAGGTCTTCACTGAGAATATTTTGACGGAGACTTTCATGCAGAGCGATAATAAATTTGATCGAAAATATCCCAGGTGTATATCTAATTAATACATCGGGAATGTGGCACAAAAGTAGGTCAGACAAATCATCAGTGACGAAAAGTATAATACAAGACCTACATTTTCACTCCTACAATATTAATAGATTATTTTCACTTCACCGAAAGACGAGAAAATCACTTCTCATGAGTCCTCAATAAAATCAATCGCTCACGATTTATGGTGACGAAGGAAAATATATCCGTGTTTATTCCTTAAGATTTCCCATAAATCCTCCACATGGTTTCTTTTCTTAATGGTGCATTTTTGCGGAAGAGTGACGATAAAATTCACTCTCTCATCACCGATATTAAAGTCACATGGTGAAAAGATTGTAAATCTTTATTAGAGACATTCACTGAGGGATGAAATTGGATTATTGTGCAGCCAAAGTCAAGACTTGACTTGACTTTTTGCTTGTGTTTCACGCAGGATCAGAATTAATAGAGATAAATGCTATTTCACCTCACGGTTTTACAGTCCTTATAAATCAAGTTTAGCAACTCCCATGGCAAATCCGCAGCCAAAGTGACTCATGAAAATTTCCGCCAAATGTCTCTGTGGCTAAAAATGCTCTCTTCGGATGCCGCACAGGACATGAATTGCCAATTCGAGGCGATGTATAATTCCATCGAGGACAGTAAAAATGAAGCCATCAAAATAAAATCGCACATTTATGCTTGCCAATGAGTGTGAAATATTGTGATATGAAATAAACTCGTGTCAGACATTAAATTACCACAATTCTTTTATGCGTCTTCCAAACATCATCGCGCGCTGTGAGCTTTTATGTGTGGAGCAGTTATTTTTCGTAAATATCACTAAATTATTCAATTTGCACTGAGCTTTCCAGCGGCCGGTGTAATTTTTTGCATTGCTAATTGGCCATGCCGTTGAAGTGGAAAATAAATAAAAATGTTATCCCTATGAATATTCAGGTGGTGAAATTTTCCAGTGAATAATGCATAGAAAACATTAAACAGCGATGAACAAAGGGAATTTTAGATTAAAAGTTCGTCATATGATAGAATTTGAGAACGAGAAGTTTGCAGAAATTCCAATTATATGCGACATGAGAGAATCTTAGCTTACTTTCTTCTTTGTTAATAGATATTAGTTGTACAGTTCTATTGAAAGCCAACTCGCCTTTGCCCTTTTCATAGCCACAAGCGCTCTGTCACAGCCAGATGCACAGACAACAGGCACAAATGCACCAACAAACAGCATGGAGAGCAAATGAATGAATTTTGAAATGGGGAAACACAGCCACAGAGGGACAAATCATAAATTTGTGAGGTGAGAGAATGGGATTTCACGTTCTTCACTGTCCAATGCCTCTAGTAATTGGCTGCATTGTCGAGAGAATTCCTCTGCAAACTAATTAATCTCATTTGTTTGAGGAATTCATGAGGAGCCCAACAATTTGCCTGAGATAATTAAGGGGTTGAAAAGTCATGCAACACGTCCGTATGTCAGTGAAGGGGAGAAATGCATGCCTAAGTGCTGAATCATAACTCCCAAACAGCCCTTGTTTGCCGGGGGTGACATGCAAAATGCACTCGAGAGCGCGGGTAATTTGATGGCCACTCACCGGAAATCACGATCGACTGACGGGGTGGAAATCTGGGCGACCACGCGATGTGGAGTGCGTGGGCTCCTCTCGGGGCTGTGCACGCTGCGCGAATCGATGCTGGGCGTCCGGGAAGTGGACGAGGCGCGCCTGGTCACGGTCCGCCTGGACGCTGCCGAGGCGTCGGAGGTTGTGGAGCTGCGGCGCCTGATCGAGGAGTAGCCGACTCTTGGGCTGTGCAGCTCCTCTTCCCGCTCGATGGGCTTCTGGCGCGCCAGGATGCGCTTCTTGGCGGTGTCCGACCGCCTCACGTGCCCTCCCTGATCGGTGCCGCTCTCGCGACGTCCGTGGGGATTCCCCTCGTCCACGGACAACGCCTGTCGGTGGTACTGCAGCATCCCGGGGTGCAGGAAGCGCTCGCCCGAGGACTCTCGCGTGGTGCGCTGCACGAGGCTGCTGTTGCGCGAGCGACGGTGCGACGTGCGGCTCTTCGGCGACCGGTGGTGATGGTGATGGTGATGATGGTCAGCCAGATTAGGCACACTTCCACTCCGAGAGACTTTGCGTGGCTTCACGGGTGAGGACACTTCCGGCGATCTGCAAGAGAGCGGAACATTGAGAAATCCGAGAAAAGCCTAACTAAGCACGAGTTCATCTCCTGCCAATTTCCCATCAACCTCGCGGCGCTCGTGGATTAATTAGCAATCCCTCGTGTGGCGGAAAATGGACATGTGTGTATGTGGAAACACGCCGATGCCAGCGTCACTCCGCATTTGCATATCTCACAAAACCCGTAAAAAGCTCTGCTCTGCCATTACAATTTTCCCGATAACACGGGCGTCCTTTGCGAGAGCTTAAAAAATCCTTCCGCTATTTTTAGCCGCGCGGCTCCCACGGCACTTCACGAGACAGGTGTGGTGTGCAAGAGGTAATAAAACAATACCGCGCCATTGAAACAATGAACATTCCATTTCTGGATTCCTCGCATGATGTGGAGAATCGTGAGAAAAAAAACGCGTCGTAATAGCTCCTGCGAGTTACGATACCACCATAAAGATGGGTTGGGCGAAGATTTTTCCAGCCATGCCTTCTCATATGAGAATCACCGGGAAGCAAAAACGCGCTCCACACGCTGTGATATCATCATAAGTTGCCAACATTGCCAGTGAATAGAAGTGGAATCTGTCGAATGAGGAGTCGAAATCCCATGACGAAAGTCGTAAGATTTCACATCGTTGCACTTAACTATAACGAGTTTATATTGATTGGGGTTACTGTGGAGGAAATTGGAGGTGTGTTTTCCAAGAACATTGTGTATTTATTGGGTTTCAAGAGCTTTCTGCACATAACATTGCAGAGAAAATGCCAGTCTATTTGCCCCACAGAAACATATTGTAACCTGAAGATTGAATTGAGTTTTTTAACCTGTTTTCTTTCACTATATTAATTCATAATTAACAAAGGGTTGTTAATATTGAAGATTCAGATTCAAAAACAGGAATTTTGAAAGAGTGAAAGACGAATTTCTCAGCTGATAAGCTTTCAAACACCGCAATAAATAGACTACATTGCTTAAGTACCTTAATCTTCAATCGGATATTTACGGTTTTACAGAAGGTTTCACGTTAAAAACGTTTGTGACACTGGATAAACTTTCTAAGTTTTGCAAAATCAAGAACCAATAAAAATGCTAAAACCGTAAAGAGTTCTTTAATCGTTCAGTATTAATAAATTCTTCTTAAAGTTTACCACATAATTTTCTTTATACCTTTCTCTAAATCCCGGACATAAATTCTGGGGTTCGTCATTGTGATCCTATTTTCTAGGATGTGTGAATTTTGAATGAAACTTTCTTCGAAATGACGAAACATTTTGAATGCTGTGACACTCAAAATCTATATTAACAACCCCCTGACAATTAATGGGATGAATCATGAAGTGTTTTCGGCACATTTATGTGTGATAAATCATACGACTTGCAGAAGTTGTCTTTGTTCTTCTTTTTTCTGATGGATTTAGGGAATAAATTGAAGCAATCCCGAGTATTTCTGTGTCTTCTGGGCATTGAAGCTCCACGAGAGCTTGAAAAGGCTCTTTAGACTTCCACACAAGAACGCCTGGAAAGAAAACTAATGATGGCCTTTGTGTGAGGAGAGTTTGCACTAGCAAATTACGGTAATTTTCTCATGAGGTAATTAATGGTATGCTCATGATTGACGATGAAATTTCAAGAACTCGAGTTCGTCATGGAAAAGTTTTAACTGAAATTGAGCCTCGACCGCTATTCAATGTTCTCTTTTTTTTTACATGGAAAATCTTTTCAGTGCTGATTGAAAGGACCTCGAAATTCAATTTGCCTTGATTGTGTACAAACAGCCGACTTGCAAGCGACAGCAATTTGAATCGTTAGAAACAGATCCGAAAAGCCTAATTTCATTTGTAGTGAAAATTGAATTTTTTCTGCTCTTTCTCTGTTCTGTAACAATCCCATCGGATTCTCTTAAAAGTCAGTCGATGCTAAATAAATCAGCACAAACTATGACGGAGAAGAGTGTTTACTCAACTGACTGAGTGTTATTTTAAAAATTAACTGAGCGATGAAACTCGCTATGAGATAATCCCTTGGGTAAACTTTACGAGATTGTGATACACTTCGTCATTGTTATAGTTTGAGTGGAGAAAATTGAAATTCATCTTCGCCCTTGAGACTTTCTTAAGAGGGAAACTGTGCGAGAGTGAAAGATTCCGAAGCAACAAGAGTGATTGTGCAAATAGGCCAGCTTTTGGGCACACGTGAAGGCACATTTGTGGTCATGCTGTGCCCTTTTCTGGCCACCTTTGACATTTTCAGGCACTCGTGCGGTTTTCACTGGTGGAAACTCTTGCACGTGTTGAACTCCGCAATCCAACACCCTCTTATTTAATTGTCCATCGCCCTAATGAATCGTGCAATAAAATGCTCGTTTTTTTTCAATTTCCCTCCTCAACCGACATTTCTTTCACATCTTTATGGACCAAAGAAGATGCCATTGCGGGCGTCTCAGTGCCACAATGGAGTTCAGGTGGGTGAAAAATCAATACGCCTCACATGGAAAAAAAAGAAAGAAATGTGAAGAGGGAAAGTGATTACAGTTTATAAGGAAGACGATTTTTCGTGAGTGCGTGAAAAAGGCAGAAGGATATGAATTTGGATGAGATATTCATAAAGGATCCTCTTCGGGGTTTTTTTTCTTCATCTCTATCCCCTTCCCTTTTCCTGGGGGGTTGAATGGCATGCGGAATACCAAAGATGATACGCACCCAGGAGTCTCGTGAATGTGTGATTGGATTATTTGCAATAGAAGCGAGGATTACCAGTGAGATACCGTATGGTTTTGAACGTCTCACATGTTGAGTCCTGACGGCAAAATATCGCCTGCGGACAAGGAGTTCAATGTACAGTTCGCAGTGGGGCATACATATATAAATATTGGAGAAAATGGTAGAAAACCCAGCAAATACACTCTTGGGGAATAAATTTATAAAGGATCTCCTGCCACATTTTAATCCAAACATAAACTTATATACAGGGATTAACTGCCGTATTGTGCACACACTGAGGTAATCATAAGAAGGCATAACACGAGAAAAAAAAACACACACCCGAATAAAGTCCCCCGTTTAATCTTCATATTTAATGAGAGTTGTTTAGGTGGAGTTTTGCAGTAATTTGCCACTGAGAACCCCTTTTTTCCACCGTCCCTCAGACCAGAAAATTCCTCCACCCAGACAAAATCTGATAAAGTGAAAACCAAGAACACCAAATCCTTACATTCATACCCTCAGTTTTCTCTATAAATAGATTTCATGTGAAAATTGTACGAAAAGCGGAGATTACAGTTCTTAATTAAAGACGTGAAAGCTCCCAGAGACTTTCACTGACTGGAGCCAGAACACACTTTACGGATGACTTCATTGTGTGGAGAGACTTAAAATCACAGGCAAAATAAGAAGTGTTGGAAGAAGATAGACTCCAGAATAACAAAGAGTAAACAATTTCAGTAAATATTCAACAGGAAGATTATGCAGAATTGATGAGCTTTCGCTTTCGCCTTCTTTGAAGTGATTATTTTATGTGATTATCATAATGTTTCCCGACTGTGGCGAGCATCAATATTTTATTGACTCTTCGATATTGCCTTGTATGAATGCCATCATTTGCCTTATTAATGACTATCAACATTTCTAAGAAAACCAGGGTTTCCTCTTCACAATAACACGATTATCTTAGCAAACTTTGAATTTGCCATCCCCCTATAATTAGACCTTTTCTCACATTTTCCACTCTGAATCTCTAATTGATGTGGAATTGCATTCAACTGCATCACAAGCAGTTGCAATAAAGCTACAGTAGAAGAGCTTCGAAGGATCTCACTGAAAGGTGATTAAGTTTTTTTCCTTACCACTTTCCAACCAAGAAAAGTTGGAAAACTTTTCAAACTTACCCCAGAGTTTTCGAGAAGTGGATGAGCGCCGCCGTGAGAGCCTGACGACTGGGTGCTTTTTCGCCACTGCTTCCGGCCGTCCTGAACAGCCCCATGTGTTGCTCCCACCGGTTGGGGTTGACTGGAGTGGGCGTCGCTGCCACCCCTTCGGAAAGAGAGCTTTCTCAGCCTCATCGACGAGGACATAAATTTGCATCAAGGGGGAGATAATATGTCTTAAATCTGTGAGAATTGTAATCTGTTTCCACAATCATTTCCAAATTGTAATAAATCTCTTAAGTTTCCATCCGATATTTCTGCAAGAATCTCCATTAAACCGCTTTTTTTAGTATCTTTTCCAACATTAACTTAAAAATATCACTAAGAGAGCTATAAGGACTTCCTTTCAGAGTTTTACAGATCACAAAATAAATTGTCAAGAAAGTTTTCTAAATAAACACTTTAAACGTTTGAATTACGATTTTAGAGGTTATGTTCAATCCTAGGACAATTTGCAGTATTTCTTGGCATTCAAGGTTCAGAATAGAAACGTTCATTGCATGAAAATGCTTCATAGAGCATAAGAATTGATGTGCTAGAATGCGAATTATTCACTAAATCTGTCTTTAATTCGTTACATAACCCAGAAAAAATTAAACAATAATTGTTTCCACGTAGAAGTCAAAAGAAATCCCAAGAATCGCAGGATAATTTGTCAGTTTTTAAACACTTTTGTCTATATTATCTCCTCCTTGATTTTTATTGATGTCCTTACCTGTGGCGCGGCGCGAGGATGACGCGCTGCGGCCGTTGCTCCTGCTGCCGCCGCCAGATCCGCTGCCACCCATCTTAAAGCGCGCCGGCACCACCTTGGCCGCCGAGTCGCGCGCCTCGAAAGTCATCACGCACGCCGCCACAACGATAAAGCCTGCCAGGGAGACGTTAAATCAATTAGAGAATTCTCGGGATTCGTCCAATTTGCTCTCTGCCATCTGTCGCAATGCTTATATTTCGCAGCAAATCTTCTCCGATTCCTTCAACACTGCCTTTGTGTCACTCCAAAAGTCTCCGGACAGGCGAGATAAGTGTCTGGTGATATTCTAAGGACTCTCTAAAGTGTCTCCACTTTGTGCTTCCATATCAATTAGTGACAAAGTCCTGTTCAATTATTGCACTCTATTCTCTTCTCAATTGTTAATTCACTTGAGCACTGTGAGAAAGAATAATGCTGAAGATCCGGAATTATATTATCCCACTTCATATCTCATCTCATCTGCTTTTCCGTCACCCCTGACCTTTTTTGTGATGCTTCTGTGAGCAGAACTGCGAAGAATCGATATAATTTTGGGGAGAAATGGTAAAAGTTGTATGAAAAAACAGACATTTGTATGTCATTTCTGGCTGAAGAAATACACTAAATTAAGTGAAATTACGCTTCTTTCTCACTTCACATGCACTGCATAGTGAATTATTGTCGTTGAGAAACAATTTCCATCTCTAGCAGTTGCAGATCTTGCATAAATTGTAACAATTCCAAGACTTGACGAAGCTTTTTTTCTTTTTCTGTAATTTAGATGTCATTCAGAAAGTTTACACGAGGTTTGCTATTTGTATTATACATAGTTTATAATCTATTTGTCTTCTGCATGCTCCTCGCAATCTCCACCACCGTATTGGTATGATTATGCGCAAGAAGTCACCCTGAATTTGTCTCTTTCAATTTCACCCCCCCCATGAGACTTGGTGGGAAATGCTTTTTCATGTTATTCGCACCCAGTGTTATATCGTGAAATTGTTTTCGCAAAGAAACTTTCCAAATTAGCACATGTTTCATCGTGTTTGTTCAACATTTCCATCATCAAGTATCTTATGTAAATTTTGCACAACCGCAAGAATTACTTCCTGCTGTCTTTGTAATTTCTCAGCAATTTCGCCCTCCAATTTCTCCCCAAAGATCAAATTACAAACGATTCCAACTCCGCCAATGTTTATGCGCCACAGCAGAGAAAACTTATTTTGTCTCTGGCAAAATTGAGAAAACATCCTTGGACACGCATAAATTGGTCTCTCTTGGGAAAATTCTTGGAATGATTGTGCCAAGAGGAATTCGCTCTCTTCTCAGTGGGTGATTTTTTTTCTAGCCATTTGGTCGGCATGAAATTCGGGGAATTGTTGAAATAGTTTTGAGAAAGTTCATGATCCAAAAACCAACCATTCTCATTAGAAACAATTACACAAATTTCTGCAAGTAAATATTGCGAAAAGGGACGAGGAAAATGTCGAGTTTATTGTTGATGAATTCAATTGTATAACTTCCATATTTGCCGAGATAATTTAATTAAAAACTTCTCCTTTCTGGTCTTTCATGCGCTACAGAAAGTTATAAATTTTTATTTACCTCTCTGGATAAAATTGTTTTTCACCATTGTACACATATTGGACATTACGTAATAATGGGTGGACAATTCTGGTGTATAGAGAAACGTCTTGTGGAAATTCAGCAAAATATATAATACTTTATTGGACAGTTTTATGACAACTTCCAGCAATGATTTCTCATGATTTTACCCAATCTTGAAAGACTTACAGAGGTTCTCATCTCTTACAATAAAAATGTGTCATTGGAAATGTGATTTTTTAAATAAATAGTGGAATGGAAACTTTTGGAAATTTCAATTCAATCCATAGTAGAATTGCTTTAAAAATTCGAAGGAAAACTTTAAATCAACTCGTCTGACCATCAACGGACAGCAATTCTTCACTGACGAGTAGCTAAATGATATATTTTCCTGAACAGTTTGCAATTCTCTGGACCACTAATGGAAAAGTGGAATTATCGTCGCAATGAGCTAATCTGATAATCAATCTCGAGCAGAGCGCCTGTCATGGCGCTCTCGCCGACGCTCCGGCAGTGGAAAGAAAACAAATGTGTTTTATGACAGTGGCGAACAAATGATCCAACTTACCGCCAAATCCCATGATAATTGGACCGACATAGGATAAATTGTTGAGATGAAATCCCCTCGATTCGTTCTTAACTCGAATGGTGGCGTTGCCGCGCACCTCCTGGCCGATTGACAAATGCTCTGCGTAGTATCCTGAAAGTACACCCCATAGTGTGAATTCCACTGGGCGAACTCATGTGGAAAATTGCGCCCCTCGTGCGTGACTTCTCAGTGTGTGCGAGAGAGACAGAGAGATGGAATGGGAAGAGAGGCTAGAGATGCAATTACCTATGGTGGCCATTCCGGCGCCTAAAAGCATTAGCACAATGCCCAAAGCAAGAGCGCGACATGCATGCCACAAGCAGCGGGAGGTCATTTTCGCTCGGCCGACCTCGATATTGAAGGTGGCTCCGGATGCTGGACAGGCCCGCCTCACGGGCCCCATCGACTTCATCCGCGGCTGCCATTGCGCGGACCCGCGCGAGCTCGGCATCCCGCCACTACCACCGTCTCCGGCTCACTCGCTCCTGGGGCGCTCCCGGACTGTGTCTCTGTTTGTGTGTCATTCGTGGGATTCTTGTGGCTGGACACTACAGTGAGCCGTGTCTTTCTGTGCTACCCTCACTCTTTCACTCAACTGTGAAATAGAGACAATTATTTTAGACACTCAGTGTGTTGTGTGTGATGTTATGTGGTTGAGCGTGAAAATATGTGCTTTTTGGCCTGTCATCCAGACACTTCTGAACGCTTTAAAAAGGCATTTTCCATCGCTTTTTTCGACTCATTCAACTGTTTCATGCACTCATTTCTAACTTATCACGCTGATCACAATCCAATCCAGGTATTTCCACTTCAAGAAGTTAAAGCTCTTCGAATGCTTAGATTTAAGATAATAAGAACTGATCCTAATGAAGCAGGATTTGTTCATGACAAATTTCTGCCCAAATTGTGAGGTTATGAATCCGATTAAATTCTTTTTCGCCCAATTTTAATCCTTTTAAAGCTGGAAATTTGTTAATATGGTTTGACTTTAATACTTTAAAGCACAAACAACGTTAAAACCTGAGTAAAGAAACGTTCTTCGAGACTAAAACGATATTTTTGAGGTTATGATTTACTTGTAAGCTTTTCTCGACTAATATGAAGTTATTTTGCACAAAATTGTCAAGTTTGTCAAGAAAAAGAGAAATATTTCCAGATTTTATACTAATTTGATGGTTTTGAGGGTTATTTTATTACCAGATTCTGTTTTTTAGTTAATCACATAACCTAGAAAAGCCAAAAAAAGTGATTTTTCGATGCAAAATAATTTAGAAAGTGCCTCAATTTGTTGAAATATCTGCCCCTTGACCTGCAGTGTATTCTACTGATGTGAATTTAATAACTCGTTTTATTTCACTCGTAAACACAGCCACTATTTCACTATTTCATCGGTACTCGTTAGTGGTGTGAGAATTGCTTCATGGCCAACTGAGTTTCTATTAAAAGTTCCACTTTAGTAATGTTCTTCTAAAACTACTCAATTTGCCCCATCATTCCTCGCATTACCATTTGCTTTCTCACTTTCTGCAAAAAATCCTTTCTACACTTCACTTGCTTCGTGTTCTTTGTGCTGGAAAATTCAAATTGAACTCGAAAGGAGTTGATATAATGAATAAATTCCTCCCGATGCGATATCGAGCCGAAAAGTGAGCAAGAGAACAACTATGAGAGAGAGGAAGGAAATATATAATGAGATGCTGGCGTGAAATGGGAAAAGAATCATGCACAGAAGTATAAAAAAAAGGAGAAAAGAACCTAAAGGGCAGCAATAACAATCGACTCTCAATCGCTCAACCGTCCATGAAATATCCCTTTCCGTTTTTCTCTTTCACAATTCGCCTTTCTATTCCCCAAACAGCTCAGGATGAAATTTTTAGAGAGAGGATCTTTTCGAGAAAGAATAATCTCTCTGTCCTCAACCGATTCCTCTTCCTCACAGTTTCCCGCATAGATTCGTATCGTTTCTTCTCTTTGCGTCTTCCAAAGTCGTGATGGGAATACGCGATGAAGCCATGGAAGAATGGATATAGTGAGGAAATCTCTAATTTCTCCTCTGACATCTTTATCTACTCCCATTAAATCACCTTGAACAGTTGAAACCCTGAGAAATGCATTTCATTACCGTTTGCCTTTCATCTCAACACATTTTACTTCATCTGAGAGTCTCGTCAGAAGTGGTTATTTTGCGAAATTGAATGTGTCAGGGTTTTGCTTTAAAATTGAATCATTTTGTACTTATATACTTAAACCTGCGAAGATCATGGAGAGAATTTTATGGAGGTGCTTTTCTTTTTCATCAATTTCCCAGAGGAATTCTTGTAAAATTAAATTCCTCCAGAGAAAAATGTTCTCTGATGTATGTGAAAATTCACATTCCAAGTGATATTCTCGCACACACCATGTGCGGTTTGAGCAAGAGGATGCAATTCTAAGATGTTTGATTGAGCCTTTTGGCATCAATGCACCACGCAAAAGGAGTTTCTATCAATGCAAATACGGGAAACTTACAGTTTGCTGCATCATCTAAGATTGGCAAAATGCAATTGAGATGTCGTCTTGAGGATTTCGAGAAGATAAATGTACATAGCAAATGTCCAAATGAAATTTTAATCAGTCTAAATGGATTTCAATTCAATTTATTCACAGATTTGCATGCTATTTGAAGGAATTTGTCCAGATGCTTCATGAATTTGTCGTTAAAATTGAGAAACTTTTATCAATTTCACCCACATGACATATTGTATGCGGAAAACTGAGTGAAAAGGGGGTTTTAAAGTGTCACTTGATAAAAAGTTTTGAATTTTCCGGATTATATTTGTTGCTTCTCTTGTTGCTTTTGTCAAACATGCAGCATAAAAATTCCTGTTTTTATTTTATCACTGGGGCTTTCATCATCAACATTGCATATCGATTGATAGAGAATATATATATTGGAAAATCCCTCGTGAGCATAACAATGTGAGAATGTTTATTTTTTGCTGGTGAGACAATATTTCTCCGATGAAGCCACTCCATCACAATCGGAAATGCGTTATTGATAGCAAAACTCGAAGCTATGCTGAGCACAATATAATACACCCTACATACATGAGTATGTATTGAATGCACATAAATTGATTCTCGTGCCTGGAATTGCATGGAAGATGACACTGACGCTTGGGAGTTGAGCAAACATTTTGAGTAAACCTTTGGCAGTGTTGATCGATATAATTGCGTGGAAAGTTGAGCAACATCCACGAGCGCGCCAGGCGAAAATTCATTATTCACCTGGGGAGAATTTATTCACGATGGTGGCGATATGGTGGAAAACACGTGGAGAGAGCTATTTCGAGGGAAACTTTCTCATTTCTCACGCCTAGAACTTTTCATTGAAAGTCACTCTTTACACGCCGAGGTGACAAAATTGACAGAAGCAGCGAGAATAATTGATGATGTTTTCTTCACTTTGGGGATGTTTTGGTGAAAGTCACACCGAAAATACCAGGAATAATTCGCATTTTTGCACCCACTTTCGTCTCAACACACGTCTTTGGAAGTGTGCGGTTTAATTTCCTCTCTCTCTCTCTCTCTAGCATTTATCGAATCCTTTTCCACTCTGTGTCTTGAGATGGGAAATCAAAGTGCGCTCCTTCCACTTGGCATATTTGATCACGTTTCTCGGAATCCCAAATTATGCTTTTTGCGAAGGCAACTCCTTGATTTATGATGGGACAGAGTGGAGAGAGAGAAAAGTTCCTGAAATATAGCAATTTTCCAGATGACCACATCCAATACAGAGACACCCTCTTCAGCGTAATTCTGTGGCCTCTCACCCATCGGGATGGCGTGCCTTTTTGTCTCAGTGTAATTTTCACAACAACCTGTTCAATGTTTGAACACATCAGTGGGTTTTATGGCGACGGAGACCCGCCTTTGTTCACTTGACCCTTTGCCATGCGAGGCCCGAAGGGTTAGCGCTGTGTGTCGATGAAAATTTCACTGAAACATTGGCAAATATTTTCAATTTCAGCTAAGGAAAGCAGTAATTTTAACGCATAATTCTCTCTCTAAAATTCAACCACCGCCGAAGCGTGAATTCCACAGCAAAATGGAGATGTGAGAGAGATGAAAATTTCTCAATTGGTCTGCAAACAGTGACCAACAAACCCCTTTCATTCATCCAGGGCTCTAATGAAAACCCCTTCCACTCTCCCCATATATGCCATTTAATATCTCAGCACGCAAGAATTCGCCCCTTTTGCCACACATTGTCGACATATTTTTTTTCTTCATGTATGGAAGCATTTGGCGAAAGATGAGAAAGCGGCGAGATTAAATTTCCCATCGTCAGACGTGTAGTTTGCGTGGGAAAGTGACGAAAACCACCCCCACCCCCCCAACCAGTTCTCCATCAAGCTGACTTTTAAGCCTAGACGCCCGGGAAATCCCTTAATTAAATTTTCTGATTGCTCCTGAGTTTGGGTAAATGCCGAAGCAACGTTTTATCAATTAGCGCATGAAGGCTTTCTGTCCGCCAGTGGAAAATTCAAATGATCCAATTTGCGCAGCAACGATTTGGTCTCCCAAAACTAATTGTGTGGAATAAATGGTTGATTGTGTGACATTTTTAGTGTGATGAGGAAAATTAGATTCAACAGAAATAGACTGAGTTTAGATGATTAGATAGAAGTTGAGCTATTTTCAATATTTATTGATTGGAATGGAAATTGAAACTCAAACATCAAAATAATCCATCGTTTTATCTCTTCGCTTTATATTTCCCTGTGAATATCAGCTTCAAAAACTCGTCTTCCAACTTTTCCACCCGTGTCAAACTTTGTCTTATTTGTGGATCATGAGAATTTTCATTGGGAAATAGTTCTACAACTGTTTTCAGATATATTACAATCATTCTTTTTTTCTACCTTTTGAAGGCATAAAAACAATATTTTACTCATGAGAAACATTAATAAAATATGTGCAGGTCTCAAAGCTGTTACTTTCTCACGGAAAATGATGAAATTTAATGTTGAACAAGATGTTGAATAACAAAAATAAAAGCTATGCAAATGGAGTTCATTTATACGTTTTTTTTGAAGCCTTGCCTAAATTTAATTTTCTTTTATGGTTACCCACAATTGAGTCTCTATATAATAATGGTTATTGGAAAATCTTGGCACAGTTTCATTTCCACTTTGCATGGGCAGATATTAAAGAGGGAAAGCTTGTGCAGGATTTCTTTTTTTGCCTTCTGGCTGAGAGATTGTGGGCATAGCGGAAAAATCTGTCTGGAGGAAAATTCTTGCATGTTCTCGCTCCACGATGCGATTGTCATTTCGAGGGTGATGAAAGAGGCGATGTGTATCATTACGGAAACAGATGTTTCGTGGATGGCAAAGAATTCTTTTCTCATGCTCGGCATATCTTGAATTTGATGTAAGTTTTCCCAGATTGAGCAGCACAGATAAAACACTGTCTGTCTAACTTAATTTTGAAGTTCTCCTTGAGGACAAGAGTTGGACAAAACCCTTGAGAAAACCATGATGAATGAACTGTAATTTCATTGTGTGCATTTATCACGCACGACTACAAATGCAACATAATGCAACACAGCGTAAAAGAAGGCCGAATTATGTTTCAGACCTTTCGCAATTCGCTGATAAATTGTACTTCGTACTAAAGGCAGTCGAACTTTCTCCCCAATAATTCAGTTAATCAAGTGCCTTGAAAGAGAGTGGACAAAATGATGTCAACGTTGAGAAGTTCATTCAGTGCTCGTCAAGTGAGGTGTTTTTCTGCAATTTTGGAGAAAACTTGCGTTCTCAATCCACCTGAGCATCACACGATTGAGGACAATTGGAGCATGGCGAAGCCTTACGAAAGCATTCCCGGACCGTCGGCTTTCAACATGATCAGGAGTTTCATGCCAGGCGGAAGATTCAGTTCGCTGCAATTTTCAGAAGTTAGTCGCGCCTTGAGCGCCGAATACGGGCCGATTTTCAAGATTAAAGGTGCTTTTGGACGGAAAGACGTGATTGTCGTTGTGGATCCGAAGGACTTTGAGACTGTCTTCAGGACTGAGGGCAGTTTTCCACGGCGAAATGGATTTGAGTGTCTCACTTACTACCGGAAGCACTACCGCAAGAACTTGTATGCCGCCTCTTTGGGCTTGATGAGTGAACAGGGCCAGGGATGGTATGATCTTCGACATCAAGTCAACGGCGTTATGATGAAGCCTCAAAGCGCGAGAAGATACATTTCAGTCATTGACGAAGTCAGCAGTGATTTTGTGAAGAAGTTAGGATTCTGAAATGATTTCTTTGAGGTTTCTTTAAACAAAACCCTCCCTGTTCAATTGCAGATTGCACGACTTGAGGGACTTGAATTTGGAAACACCGGGCAATTTCTTCTTCCACCTGAATATCTGGGCATTAGAATCGATCGCTCATATCACGATGAATATGCGACTTGGACTTCTGAATGAGACCAACAGAGATAAGAATATAGATCAACTCATGGCAAACACTAAAACATTCCTCCAATTGCTAAACGAACTCGATATCCGACCTTCTGTATGGAAATTGTACAGTACACGAAAATTCAAGCAATTCGTTCAAGTCAATGATGAGATTCATGAGTGAGTTGATGAATCAAATATCTGTTCTTGTTGAGATTATCTGACTTTTCCGTTTTCTTTTGAAGTGTTCTAGAGAAATTGGTGGAAAAAGGACTGAAAAATTTGAAAGAAAACACTGATAAAAGAGCAAAAAGCTCTCAAGAAAAATGCGTTCTGGAAAGATTATCCGAGATCAACAGAGACGTGGCAATTATAATGGCATTTGATTCTCTTCTGGGTGGCGTTGATACTGTAATAATTATATTTACATTTTGTGTTGTGTAAGAAATTCATACAAATATTTTCTTAATCTTCCAGACTTCTTCTGCTGTCTTCAATCTCCTCTACAACTTGGCAACAAATCAGGCGAAACAGGACATTCTGAGGGAAGAATTGCTGAAGATTCTGCCTGAAAAGGACACGCCATTGACGAAGGAAAACATGAGCAATATGCCTTACTTGAGAGCCTGCGTGAAGGAAGCTCTAAGAGTGACTCCAGTGACAATTGGAAATATTCGATCCACCGGGAGAAATATTGTTCTGCAAGGCTATCAAATCCCTAAGGAAGTATGAGTTTTTCCTATCATTCTGCAAATTTGATCTGCTAATTTCTCGATTCTCCCTCAGACTGACATACTAATGCACACTCAAGTTGTTCACTTGGACGAGAAGTACTATTCAGATTCGAAATCCTTTCATCCCGAGCGTTGGCTGAGATCAGAGGACAAACGCGAGAACTACAATCCCTTCACGTTTCTTCCTTTTGGCTTCGGGAGCAGAATTTGCGTTGGACGCAGATTTGCGGAACTCGAGATTGAGTGTTTGGTGGCGAGAATGGTGAGGAAATATCATCTGGAGTGGAATCATCCGCCGCCAAAGATCCGCTTCATGGCCATTAATATGCCTCACGGTGATCTGAAGCTTCGCCTCCGAGAAACACTTGCCTAAATCACCTTCTTAGAGCTGGCCGAGGGTGGTTGTGTTGTGTTTGAGTTTCATTGTGAGAAAAGTAGGTAAATAGAGCATTTAGAGAAGTAAAAAAGTTTTCTTATCAAAAATTTCTCAGCTGAAGAGAGAGTCAGAAGCGAAGTGGTTAAAATTTTACAGGCATTTTCACAGTGAAATATTCAGAAGATTAAGAAAATGATGGTAATTGGTAAAAATAAAAATATCATGGTGACTCTTTCTGTATTTTACCTTCAGCAATTTGTCTGTTGGGTGAAATTTGGGCGATGCATCAGGTTGTTCTCACTCGGAAAATAGAATCTGTAAATTGGTAGAAAGCTATCATTAAATTTAGAGGGAAACTGTGTGTGACACAAATTCCCCATCTAGTTGCTCATCCATATAATATGAGGAGCAATGAATTAACAGGTGAGCTCAGCTAGAAAACACTTTTCTGGACTGCCAATTAAAATTTCATTGAATTGTTGAGGATTCAGTATCAATTATTGATTTGAGCCATAATTGAAAATTTTCATTTCGTGTATCATTTACACTCCGGAGCCCAACATTCTCCCGTCGGTGTGAGATTTACATGTTCATGTTAAATGTATATTCTCTGCCCTACACACAGGCCAAAACCCCATGTTCTTCGGGGATTTTTGTCACATCCCTTCCAACCTCTCCGCTCAGCAACAAATTGCACCCCATTTCCCAACAAAGTGAGACACAGAAAATTTAATACCACGAAAGATAAATTCCCTCACTCTCTCAGATTCCTATATACATATATATGAGTACGCCAGTTGTGAGGAGGAAATTGTGGAGAAAAAAAGCAAAATAATTCACTCACAGTCCAACAGATAAAATAAGAAGACGCGAGAGTAAATCATAAGACACTGTTTAGGCAATATTTCTCACTCACTTCACTACACTCGATGGATTTTCCACACTTGCTGAAATTCAGTATGGATTTGTGGGGCAGAAAATTGTGTGGGAAAGCATCTGAGACGCTGCTTGATGGCCCTTATCACTCTCGAGGGATGTTTCTTGTGCGAGAGCAACTTCCACACTGGCTCGCCAAGCGGAGAGCTTTGACTTCGGATGCTGCGTGAGTACCGGATCTGCTCGTCCATGTGGAAGTGAGAGTGAGAGAGAGCTTTCCCAGAGGCGCCAAGGAGAGAGGCAAAGCGTTTGGCCAAATGCTCTGCAGTCAGGAAAGATATTATGCTCATTTCTTACAAAAGGAATATATGGAGCAATTGGAAAAATTTTGAAATTTGCTTAAATAATTAAAATTCAATTAAATATTGAGTAAAATCACAATAAAAAGAATATACTGAAAATATCTTTCATGTTCATGCTTGAAAATTAGAGCCACAATTGCAGATTGATTCATTTTAGCAAGATATTTGCAGATTCAGATCTGTCACTCTACTGGTTTAAATGGTTTAACACATGTGTAAACAATGTAACACATTTTTTTTTACATATCTTGTGAGACTGAGAATTGCTCCATTAGTCCTTGATTTAGTCTGGATTTCCTTGCATTTCTTAGTGGAAAATCATGAAGAATGGAACGAAATTTCTTAATGTCTGTTGTGTTCTTCAAGCTGCATTGCTTCATTGCTTCTTTTTCTGGATGGACAGCGAGTTTGGCCCATAAAAAGTCAAGCCAAAAGGGTCTAGAGCCTTTCTCTCTCTCGCTCTGTGGATCTCCAACTCTCATGCACTGTGTTTTGCCTCTCAACACGAGGCTTGTTTTCATTTTCTCATCACCCAATTCTCCTCCCTCTTCGTGGAAATTGTATCAGAGACTTCGCTTTTTCCACCATCAAAAGTCCCCAAACCACTCTCGGCTCGTCTGAAGGCACTGCTGATGGATTGAAGATGCCGAGGGAGTGATCCGGAGAGCGGCAGACAAAAAGCAGTATCAGTAACTTCGAGCCTGTGAGCTTTCCCACATTTTCATCTTCATGGCATCAACAGGTGACATGCGCGTCATTATATCGATTTATGGTTTTCTATACTAAAATTGAAGAATTCCACCACATTTATTCCGCTTCCTTTTCTGCAATTCCCTCGCTGCAACTGAGTGAATTGCACTCTTCAGCTCCTTACTTGGAGATGGATGAATAAAAAATTGTTTTCTACATAATTCCAAAGCGACTTAATTGCTTCAGGAAGTTTCTCTATGGCGAACAATTTGGACTCTCTTAGCCAAATGAACTGTGAGATGGGAAGAGGATTTGAGTGAAAACTTCCCACAAAGTGAACCGAAGTCAAGTCTTCGGTCAATTAAGTCCTCCTTTATTCTGCCTCAACGAAATTTACTCAGCTAGTGAAGCCAGCAAAAATTCCTCTTGTACAATAAAATATTCATTAGAGTGCTTAAAGGAGTTAAGAATATATCATGAACAAGTTATGAATTTCCTGGGCTTAATTGTATCTAATATTTAAAACTTTTATAGATTTTAATGCTCCCAATTCTTCTGGAGTCTCCGTATTTTTAAATTAGAAATTAAGAAGTCACAAAGACATCCTGAAAACTTTTCCCTCCGATGCTAAAGTCTGAGAGAAATCTGACCTTTTTCAACTCAATTCCATTGCAAGTTTATGCATATGTCGAAGTGAAAGTTTGGAAACTCCTCCAGATTTAATTTGATGCCATTCGATCCACAACTTGGATTTCAGCAACTCCTTCTCAACTTCCTCTTCGCCACTCTGCCAAAGACGCCGCCATGGCAACATGTTGAGTGGCAACAAACAAATTCACTGGCGCATAAAGTGTCGAGTGTCTTGACTAATTGGGTGAAAATGCAGCTGAAGTTCCTGAAAACCCTCGTGGAGGCGCAAGAGAAGCTGAACCGAGTGGCGGCGCTGTGCTGGTCGCCGAACAACCACAAGCTGGCCGTGGCCACGGCGGATCGCATGATCCTGCTGTTCGACGAAGGCGGCGAGCGCCGGGACAAGTTCTCCACGAAGCCCAGCGATCCGGGCAACGGGAAGACTTCCTACGTGATCCGCGGCCTGGCCTTCAGTCCCGACTCAACGCGTCTGGCCGTGGCGCAGAGCGACAGCATCGTGTTCGTGTACAAGCTGGGCGAGGGCTGGACGGAGAAGAAGGTCATCTGCAACAAGTTCCCTCAGCCGTCGCCCGTGACGTGCCTCGTGTGGCTCACGTGCGGCACGATTGTGGCCGGCCTGGAGGATGGCCGCGTGCGTGCTCTGCACAGCAAGAACAACAAGTCGCAGAACATGTACGGCGCCGAGAGCCTCACCGTGTCCCTGGTGGCCAATCCCCGCGGCACAGGTGTCCTCAGTGGCCACGAGGACGGATCGATTGTGCGCTTCTTCGTGGTGGAGGAGTTCGGAGACGTTTCCGGCCGAGTCACCCAACATCCCGTCTCACCGGTGGCCCTGGCGTGGACTCACGCGGGCTTCATGGCGGCCGGATCGGACCGAAAGGTGTCCTTCTACGACGACCAGGTGAGGACGTGTGGTCATCTGGAGGGCACATATTTTAAATAATTCTCTCATTGGGATTCAGGGCAAACCGTCACGTATTTTCGATTTCTCGAGGGACGATTCGGAGAGGGAGTTCATGATTGCCGCTGCCAGTCCTAATGGACAGACTGTGGGCGTGGGCAGCTTCGACCGGGTGAGAATCTACACCTGGAGCTCCCGGCAGAACACCTGGAACGAGACCGCTGTCAAGGAGATTCGCAATCTGTACTCAGTCACGGCGCTGGCTTGGCGACGCGACGGAGCGAGGTGAGAAAGCCTTTTATATAAATTGAGCCAGAGTTGGAAAATTGTCAAGGGGTGGATTTTGAAGATAAACCCAGAAAATCAACTCAATGTATAGAGAAATTGCTCAAGGGATTTATATTCCTTTCACTAAATCTAGCTAGAGAAGCTCAAGCTTCTCTATGAGCTTGCAATCCTTACAACATTAATTGATTTATTGCCTAGAATAAAGCTTCTATTAAGGGATTATTGAGATGCACTAAATTGGATTTATTTCAGATTAACTATTGGATCCCTTTGTGGCGCTGTCTTGACTTTCGAGTCTGTCCTCAGGCGAACTTTGTGGCAGGACAAGTTCGAGCTGACTTTCGTGGCTCCTAGTCAGATTCTGCTCAAGTCCCTGCAGGACTCTTCCGACACGTTGTCCATCGAGTCCGATCTGGGGATGGAGATTGACGATGTGCGGATTATGGGAAAGGACAGCTATTTAGTGGCGCGAACGGAGGAATCTCTGATCCTGTGCGACATCGTGCGCGGTCTCACAAGTGAGGTCGCCTGGACAGCTTCCGGCAGACACGAGAGATTCTACTTCGAGAATCCAAACGTCTGCCTCGTGTTCAATGCTGGCGAACTGTCCTTGATCGAGTACGGCGATCACTACATTCTGGGCTCTGTCCGGACGGAGTTTGTGAATCCGCATGTGATTTCTGTGCGATTGAATGAACGCGGCACGTCGAGGGACAACAAGAAGTTGGCTTATCTGCTGGACATGAAGACCATTTGCGTGGTGGATTTGGTCACTCAGTCCACGATTACGCAGATTTCACACGACTCCAAGATTGACTGGATAGAGCTGAATGAGACGGGACACAAGCTGCTCTTCCGCGACAAGAAGATGCGCCTGATGCTGGTGGACATCGCCACGAGCCGCAAGCAGACGCTCCTGGGCAAGGTGTCCTTCGTCCAGTGGGTCATCCAGAGCGACGTGGCAGTGGCGCAGAGCGATGCCAATCTCGTGGTTTGGTACAACATCGACATGCCGGAGCACGTGACGATCCTGCCCATCCGCGGCGAGGTGGTGGACGTGGTGCGCGAGGACGGGAAGACGGAAGTGCACTCGGTGGAGGGGCCCACAAATCACGTCTACCCACTCGACGAGGGACTCGTGGAATTTGGCACGGCGGTCAATGACAGCGATTTCGGCCGCGCCATTCTCTTCCTGGAATCTCTGGGCGATCGACCGGCGGCCACAGCAATGTGGCACAATTTGGCCAATATTGCTCTGCGCGAGAAGAACTTGAGGGTGAGTATGAAAATAGATTTTGTGCCACAACATTAAAGTCCCACGCCAATTTAATCACATAAATAATCATGAAAATTGCTCTCTAAAATCTAATAGGCAAATTATTTATGTAAATTCACAGCGTCATGTGATTAATTTCATCAGTTGAGCGAACAGACATTGAACAAATACACGAATTTCAATAACAAATTACGGAATTGTATAATTTTCAGCGATGAATTAAATACGGTTATCAAGCATGTTTTCATTCAGGAATTCAATTAAAATTTTATTGATCTCTATTACCTTCGGGACAACCTTAATAATAAACACAATTTGTCGAGAAACTTCATAAATTCCATGACAAATTGGCACAACCTCAAGTTCAATTCTCATTTGGCTGCAATAAAAGTCCCCAAATAGCCAGGCTATTGAATCCAGATGTTAGAGACAAATAGATAACAAATTGCAAGAGAAACTGTGGAACATTGTGTCTCTGCCAATAAATTCTCCCCCCAAAAGTAGAGCCCGTGAAAATGTCCGACAATAGATTCAATTGAGTCAAGTATTTGGGCGAGAAAATATCATATGACAATTCAGCAATGCTATGCATGAGAGACGAGAGAGCTTTTCCAGGCAAAAAGGACTCGCTTTATTGAGTTTAATGGTGAAAATGTGTTCTGACCAAAAAAAATGCTGTCGCAACTTTTAATGTTTGCAAAATGACTATCAGAAAATCGATGGAAAAGTGCTCGCGAGGCAGGAATAAATTGAAATAGAGACAATTACGCGGGTCAAAAGTTAATGAAACTAATGAATTTGCGAGCTTTTTTGGCTGCAAAAAATATGACAATAATTTGTGCAAGAGGAATTTCATTTAATACCTGTGAATTTTCATTATTCCACCCATTTCTCACCCACTGTTCTTGCCTTGATTTAAGGCAAACTCAGCTTTTAAAATCACCTATTAATCCAATCATTTCTTGCTCGAAATATTCCTGGGCGTGTTTTCCAATTTTCCAATCTATTTGGAAATCGATAAAAAGTCGTGATTAAACAGAATTACCCTCCCAAATAATCATAACGATGAAATCATCATTCGGAATTATTGCAACTAAATAATAAATCAACTTTTAATTACACTTGGAATATTCGTGCAAATTTTTCATTGGTCATTTGGGTAAAAACTGTGTGCGGTAAATGTGGATTTTTCATCCTTTTTTGGAGAGTCCATAAAAAGCACGCGATTAATTATTGCTGGCGCGGATGTGCGGTGAAAATATTTATGCTTTAGCCAAAATATTCATTATGATAAGTAATTCACGGTGGAACAAATTAATTAAATTATTGGAGTCAATCAAGTAAATTGACGGAAAATTCCATCACAGGTGGCGCAGCGATGCTTCGCGGCTCTCGGGAATGCGTCGAAGACCTTCTATCTGGCGGAAGTGATCAAGATTGCCGACAAGTACGAGGAGAGCCACCAGCCGGGCTCCGGAATGGAGTGTGCAGAGGTTCGAGCGCGACTGGCGCTGCTCTACGCGGATCTGCGGACGGCTGAGAGGATTTATCTGGAGCAGGGCGACATTGAGTCCGCTCTGGAGATGTACAAGAGACTGGGCAGGTGGTCGGATGCCATCAAGCTGGCCGAGAGGAGGGGCTATCATGGGCTGAAGGAGCTCGAAGAGGCTCAAATGGCGCATCTGCTGAATTCCGGTGAGAATCATAACTTCAAAACAATAGACAGATTTCACAGATTTACATTGATTCCCCATTCCGTTGTTCCAGGCCAAGAGGAGGCAGCTGGGAAGGTTCTGGAGGATCGTGGTGACTGTGACAGAGCTATGACACTCTACCTGAAGGCACGAAAGCCCGCAAAAGCTGCGAGATTGGCACTGAAGCACACTTACTTGCTGCAGAATGAGGAACTCATGTCCAGGGTTTCGGCTTCTCTGGTCAAATCGGAGCTCTTCGAGCTCGCTGGTGATTTGGCTCACAAGATGGACAAGGCGGAAGTCGCCCTGGGACTGTACAGGAAGGCTGGGGCTTACGCGAGGGCGATTGATTTGGCGCGCTTCGTGGCTCCGGATGAGGTGACCAACTTGGAGGAGAGTTGGGGTGATTGGCTGGTGGCGAAGCGCCAGATGGATGCCTCAATCAGTCACTACATCGAGGCTGGAGCCACTCTCAAAGCCCTGGAAGCGGCTGTGGCGGCCAAACAGTGGCGGAAGGCTGTGCAGATCGCCAAAGTCCTGGACGATCCCGTTGAGATCAAGAAGTACGCACTGGACTTGTCCACACACCTGGCGAATGCTGGCGACATCGCCGGCGCGGAAGGTTTGCTGGTCAGGGCGGAGCTGTACAAGGAAGCCGTTGAGTTTCTCAACAAGCACGGAAAGTGGGAGGAAGCTTATGAGATTGCCGAGAAGTATCTTGAGCAGCAAGAAGCCAGGAAGATGTTTATTGATTTGGCCACGAAACTCGAGGAAGAGGGCAAATTCAGGGATGCCGAGAAAGTTCTCGTGGCCATTGAGGAGCCCGATCTTGCCATTTCCATGTACAAGAGACTCGAACACTACGACGCGATGATCAGACTCGTGGAAAGGTATCACAGAGACCTCCTGGAGAACACTCATCTCCATCTGGCCAGGCAACTGGAGTCCAAGAACCGACACAAGCAGGCGGAAGTTCACTTCCTCGCCGGAGGAGATTGGAAGTCAGTTGTCCACATGTATTGCACTGTTAACAAGTGGGAGGACGCTTATCGCGTGGCCAAGCAGAAAGGTGGCGACGGAGCCTCGAACCAAGTGGCTTTCATGTGGGCCAAATCCCTGCCCGTCGAAGGAGCTGCCAGGCTGCTGACGAAGATGGGCTTGCTGGAGAGTGCTTTACAGTTCTCTTGCGAAGCAGGACAGTTTGACTTTGCTCTGGAACTCTGTCGCCTCACGGGGAAACCCACTGAAGACATCCACTTGAGAATTGCCATGGCCCTGGAGGATGAGGGCAAGTTTCACGAGGCTGAGAAGGAGTTCATCCTGGCCAAGAAACCCCGCGAAGCCATTCTCATGTACAGCCATGGAGCAGATTGGCAAAGTGCTCTGCAAGTGGCTGAGAATCACGTTCCCGAAGCCATAAATGAGGTCCTGATGAATCAGGCCGCGGCAGCCTTGGATGCGAGGAACTACACGGAATACGAGGCTCTGATGATTCGGGCGGAGAAGCCCGATTTGGTTCTGCAGCACTACAAGGAGTACGGAATGTGGCATGACGCTTTGAGGTAAGATTCCTTTAAATCCCCCCTGAACAGGGAATGCTTAATCATGAGTTTTGATTGCAGGATTGCTAAGGAATACCTTCCGGCTGCTGTAATTGAGATTCAACAGTTGCAGCAGAAGGAAGCCAGAGCCTCATCCTCAGCAGACTCCAAAGCTCTGCTCACCAGAGCCACTGAACACGCGAGGAATGAGGAGTTCAGGAAGGCTGCAGATTGTCTGCTGGAGATAAACTCCTCCAACGCCGATCGCGTTACCGAGGAGAGGGCTATTCTTCGCGCAGCTGAGATCTGCAATCAGTTCCTGGAGGGCTCTGACTCTGTGGAAGTGGCTCGGGAATTGGGACCGCGACTTGTGGAGCACGGCCAAATCGGTCCGGCGGCACAGTTGTATCTCGCAGCTGAGATGCCCAAGGAAGCGGTTGATGTGTTCATTCAGAGTGAGAATTGGGCCAAAGCCAGGCGCCTGGCTAAGGAAATAGATCCTCAGCTCGTGACTTATGTGGAGCAGCAGCAGAAGAGTCGGCTGAAGAATGAGGGAAATGTGGAGCAATTGGCTGATATTGGTGAGTAAAGCGACGTCTTGATTCCCTGGCGAGGACATTAGATCATTTGCCTCTTGCAGACATCAACGGAGCCCTGGATTTGCTGGCCGAGCAGGGCCAGTGGACGCGATGCATAGAGAAGGCGAAGCAGCACAGCACTCCCATCTTGCAGAAGTACCTGGCCTTGTATGCTGCTCAACTGATCCGGGATCAGGATTGCGTCGCAGCCCTGAATCTCTACTTGACACACGGCGTGACAGCAAATGCACAGAACTTCAACATCTACAACCGCATCTCTGTGGAATGCCTGGGCTTGAGAGAGCCCGACGGGCAGCCCATTTGGAAGAACCTGCGGAACTTCCTGCATCAGCTGATTCAGGTCCTGCGAGCCACTGAGGGCACAGAGCCAGATGTCCTGGACAGATTCGACCTGCTACTCCTCATTGCTCACTACTACACCACAAGAACGGCCTGTCGCCAGGTTCCGGCCCTGCAATCTCTGGCAGTTAGGATCTCAACGGCGCTCCTGAGATACACCGAAGTCATCCCAGTGGACAAGGGATTCTACGAGGCTGGCATGGATCTCCGGGGCATGGGTCGAGAGTCAGAGGCCTTCGTCATTCTCAATCACTATCTGGACGTGTGCGAGGCCATCGAGGAGGGTTCTGGCAATCTGGTGGACCATTCAGACTTGGCCGCCACGGACTTTCCCAGTTCGGTGCCCATTCCGGCGGATCTGCACCTCAAGAATGAGCTGCAGCTGCACGAGGAGGTCAGGGAGTGGATCCTGGCCGTGAGCATGGACCAGAAAGTCGATCAGTCCCTGCCGACGGACGACCGGAACCTGTACGAGTCCAGCCTGGGCCTCTCAGATCAGCCCTGTATCGCGTCCGGCTATCCCGTGGCGGCCAGGCAGCCCGTCATCTTCCAGCGCAGCCACCGGATGGCCAACAGAGACGCCTGGAGCAAGCTGACCGTGGCCGCGAAGATGGCGCCGCACTCCGATGTGCCCAGCGTGATTGAGTTCGTGGAGAAGTGGTGCGGCCCAGCGAACTTCATCTCCAATTGAATAGAAACTATTTATTCATCTCTGTCTAAACCACCCTTGAATTTGTCCACTGTGCTGACCTTTTAGTCTTCACTTGGACACAATTTATACAATTTTCCTTGTGATTCTGTGCACAATTTTTCACACAATGAAAAATTCACTCCTCAAATCGAAGGGAAATCTATCGATTAATATGCATTTTGGAAAGAATAACATAAAGTTAGGAAATATCTCAAGACTTTTTGCCACCCAATTTGTATGCAATGCCACAAAATTACATATGTTGATCCTAAATAGAAGCGTCATAGTCGTCAAAAATTCTGTTAATTCTGGCTCATGCTGTTTTGTTGGTCGTGCTGCAATCTTTAACACTTCCTCCGCCCCTTCCGCGGAGTGCTTTAGTGAATGTTGAAGAGATCGCCGGCAGACGGCAACGGCGCCAGGCCACCAGTGACGTCAGGCAACTGAGTGAGATCCGGGAGGTTCTTCAGGTGATTCCTAATCTCCCGCTGCACCTCCTTCATCTTCGTCACCTTCTTTGTGTACTCCTGAAAGGAAGAAATAAGAAGAGTTGCAAATCACTCGTGAAATCGCACACAGAGAATTTTCTCTTACATCTAAGCGACTCTCTGCCTGTGTCAGCAGTTCTCGCTGCTCCTGCTGGAAGTCCTTCAGCATGTTCTGCAGCTTCTTCCTGTCCTCCATCTCCGTGCACAGTCTCGCATTGTACTCGTTGAGCAAATTGAGGGCGTCGTTGACTTCGCGCGAGAGCTTCTGCGCCGCCTCCTTGTCCTCAATCTTGCTCAGCATGGACACCTCGGACAGCTCCGCCGGCAAGTTGGCGATTCTCTCCCGCACGGCGGCGTCGCTGGACGCCGAATTCTCAATCTCAATCAGCGCCTTGATCAGCTCCTCCGGCTCCGGAGGATCGCCCACGGGCGTGTGGGGGCTCAGCGTCACGTGCGTCTCCACCGTGCCATTCACCTCCACAGTCTCACTCTTCACGTGCTCCTTTGGTTTCTCCACGGCCGCCGGCTTGGGGCGCTTCGCGGACTTTCCGTGCTCTTCAGACTTGCGCTTCTTCTTCGGCGGCTCCTCGGCGGGCGCCGCTGGCGCCGAGTGGAGGGCCGCCTGGTACGCCTGGATCACCTCGGCACCGTACACGCCGCGCTCTAGCCAGATGTTGAGGATTCTGTCCAGGCTGCCGATGGTCTTGCCCTCCTTCGTGCAAGTGTCCGCGACGTGCTTGAAGGCCGCCTCCAGCGCCTTCGAGAACTCCGAGCCGTACTCTGGGCCCTTCTTCTTGCTGTTCTGGATCACATCGTTGGCCAAGTACATGAAGGTGAGTTTCTTGTGACCGGGCGCTGGAAAAGCAGCCACAAATCGTGTGAGGTTATGTCAAAAGGGTCTCCGGAAGCCTCTCACTCAACTCACCTCTCTGCAGCTCACGCAGCCACGTCTTCACGATGGTGACATGGTGCTTCCGGTGGTGGATGAGCCACAGCGACAGCGTCTGGATGCTCTGCTGGCTGGGATTCAGGTCTGTGAGCTTCTTCACCAGCGCAGTTTCCGTGAATGAAGACATTCTTCTTCAGCAATTTCCCCACTCAAGATCCCAGAGATTCCACAAGCTCTGCACTCTTCACTACACTCTGTCGCGGCGGCAGTACTGAAACATAGCAGAACCCAGAGGAAAGTGGGAGAAAAGTTGAGTTTTCCCGAGGAAAAAATATTTCACAGCAAACGCGAGAAATGTCAACAGGAAACTAAACGATGGCTCATGCTGTCTCGCTCTAAACACGGAACGATTAGAAGTTCAGTGGGAGTGAGCGAGATGGCTATTAGTATGGCTTTAGAGCACTTTTATGGCACAGATATATCGAGAGAATACTATAAAATATATCGATATTTTGGGTTCAAAATAAAAATATTAACTGTTTTATTATTAAGAGATTATGGTAAAGAGAAGATCTTGAAAGCAACTAAAATAATCAAAACTTCTAAGAAATTTAGTGTCAATGTATTTATTTCTGCCCGTAATCATGTGAAACCAATAAAATCGTTAAATATTTCACATGGATTTTTAATATAAAACCTCTTTTTCAAGTTAAGAGACTCTTTCTTGCTTTCCTAGTTAGCAGCAGTGTGACAGAGGTCTCTTCAATCGCTGCATGAATTTTTGAAAAAGCGTCGCCATTCGGCTAAGGAAGTGCATTTTGACCAAATTTACGAATAAAAGAGTTGGTGAAATTTAGAGAATAGGCATCGAGGAATAAGTGGAAGAAAAAAGTGTGAAAGGAAGAGGAAATAAAGAGTGAAAAGTAAAAGGAATTTGAAGTCGAAGTTTTAGACGACTTCTGCAAATGTAAAACGTCACGAGTGGCAGCATTGACGGCGACCAGAGCGCCAACTGGTGAGCGCGTGGGTCGACAGCACATTGAGGCTTTAGATGTCGTGCCAAAACTCGAATCGTCGATGTGTCTAGGTTTCCCAAGAGATACCCATTTACGGAACAAATTGTCCCTCCAAGCGACATAATCATTCTAATTTACGAGAAAGTAGAAGAAATATTGCAGTCCATAATCAACGAAAAAACAGTTGATTATCTCCTTAAAAAATGCAAGAAAACTGAAATTACTTCTTCTATTCTCAAACTCCTTGAACATTTTCCTTATGAAAATGATCTAACTCATTTCCTCGAAAATATAAGCCACTATGTGAGCATTATAGTCTACATAGCAGACTTGTATTTAGGCATAAGACTGCTCAACGAGTAAAAAAAGGAATTCCAAAACATCCCTACGAAAAGGTTTAAGTACAAAGATTCATTTTATGAATATGTGAATACTGTAAATATATAAGAAAAAAACCTATGAATGAGAGAACCGAGAGAGAACTATATTTATTTTATTCTAAGACAGACATCTTATTTTTCCTCTGCCATGCGATTTATTCACTTTTGTGGTCCTTTTGAATTTTTCTGTTCTTCATACAACGTTTGATGGCATTCGGAAGTGCCAAATAGGCGTGCAGAATCTGTGCTGAGCAGTTCCACTCGGCACGCATCTTGACCTCGAGTTGGCTTCCCCCGGACCTCGAGTGCACGGAGGCCGATCTGCTACTTTTACCACCTCCAAGACACTCTCCGTGGACTCAGTCTTTGGTGAACCGTGGTAGCAGCAAGATCGCTCGTCTCTGCAGTCGGTGTGGTATCATTGGAAAGTGATCGTGCGAAAGTCTCGCCGATGTTGAGAGTGTGACTCACAGATTTACACCAAATTCAAAGCCGCTGGAAGAAGCTCACGCTCAAGATCACTTCAAGAGGATTTTGGCTAAGGAAATTGTGCAGCAATGAGGCGGGTGTTGGTGTTGATTCTGTGCATCTCGATGGCCACAACTCAACGGAATGTCAACAATATTGTTAAGGAGCGCGGTAAGTGGACAGTTTTCTGCATATGCAATAGCTCAATGTTGTCTTCTCCTCTGGTCGTCGTTCGCCCTTTCAAAAAGCGCGAATCATCGGCGAAAGTTGAATGAAAATATCGCTGAGACGTAGGCTGAGAATCAAAATATTGTTGTGCACTTTTCGGTGTTACACAATGCGCGCTCGTCTCAATTGGAGACTTTCGAGAGGGACAACTCACTTCATTCTGCTGAGACAAATTGAGTGGTTTACAAACTGAAAACTATGGCGTTTGAGCACATCTCGAGCCTTGACTTTTAGATGGTTTTTTAGGTGTGATTAAGAAAAACAGTCATCTGAATCTTAAGATGAATCTTCATCCGTTGAATCTGGATTCCCATCTTTTTTGTGTGATTGCACATTACGTAAAAAAAACCCGTCGATTGGAGACAATATAATTTTATTTGTGCATCTCATCTTAGACAAACACGTTTTCCTCTCCAACACACATAAATTCTTCACTCTCTCGTGCGGTAATCAATTGCTGATCCGCCACAAGCTTATCGATGCATTCCTTTCTTTTGTGCAATATTTTCAATTGCCTCTTTATTGACATGGTGACATTGGAATGCCTTCTTAAATTCTCAGTTTTGGAGGTTCAGACTCTGCGTGTCTTTACCCCATCGATGTCTGCTTCTTCACCAAGTTCACTGGATAAGGTCAAATGGAAGTAAAGTCACGTGAAATGTGCCAATTGTAGATTTCTCTCCACTCTTAAGGATGGTTTAGAATTTTCTACATTGTCTAATAAATCCACTGCAAATACGTGCGAGGGTTAAGTGAGGCCATAATTAAATTACATCCACCAAAACACCTCGAATTCGCTGGTTTTGCTCCACAACATCTCATTAGATGATCGGGGAAATTGCACAACGCGCGCATTTTCTCCACAAATTTGGCCATTAACTCCAGTTCCGGCAAAATTTCAATGAGAAACTGGAACAAAACGCTCCTTGAGTGACTGAAAGGTGCAATGCAAGGTGAGCACGAGTCAATGAAACCCAGGTGAAAAGTGGAGCTTTTGTGATCATTTTCGTCGCGGGAGTGAAAAGATTGGCTTAATCGGGTGTGAAGACATGAATTTCAAAATAATGCCATAGAAATTATGTCTTCCAATATCTCCTCTAATCGTTTCACTGGCAGCTCTTGTATAACATTTGGAGGCTTTGGAGGCTCGATTGTGTGATCGAGAGTGAAAATGAAAGTGAATAGTTCTCGTGCGACAACAGAGTGACACGAGGATGCCCTTAAAAGTGTCAAAAGTGGTCCAAAATTGGGTCAAGCTGAGATGAGGAATTTCATTTGTCCGTGAAATTAATTAAGACTTCTTGCATGAGGTGAAAAGTGCGCGGTGATCAATTTTGGATGGCTTCTAGTGTCCAAAAGGTGTCGATCATCCTTACCTGAGGCGGTTTTAACACATTTTCTCTGTCCAATTTTGTCTCTGCGCAAGCACAAAAAGCTCTCATTAATTTGCACCTTTCGAGTGTCGGAATTGTGCCATCCACGTGCAATCGCAAGTGGGCTTCGTGAGACCCTTTTTTTCCGTGCACTCCGGACGCGGTTCACCAGATTTATGATGTTTCCCAACGCATTTTGCAAAAATCCTGTAATTTCATCTGACTTGGCATCTTTCTCAAGTGAAGCGGAATTGCGAAAAGCCTTCATTCTGCCCAAGAAGCTCTCCGATATGCTTCCCTGGACATGCAAACAAAAGCACCTCTTTGCACAAGGCTTCCCCGAACGCATCTCTGCGATGTGCTGAGAAATGCCAGACGCGTGCAGTGCATTAAAATCGACATTTTAGAAATTCGCTCAAAAAACTCTCTCGCCGAAATATAATTTATTGGACGACTGATGGCGAGAGTTGCGGAATTTGCTTGTCTTAATTTCTTATATCACAACGATTGGCAAGAAAGTTGGAATGATTTCGACGAAATGAGAGGAATTTGCATAATTTTCTACTTATGTGTGTTATCACACACGATTTAACTTGATTCCGATAGTGTTTGTTTGGATTGTATTCTCCAAAGGGGGAAATAAGAAATTTTATGATCTTCTTTATAGCTAAAATTGGACTTTTGTGTATTTTTCTTGATCATAATTCTTCAATTAAGAATAAATTTTCTTTTTTTTATTTCTAACTCAAAATCGCAACAGTTTAGTTAAAATAAATTGAGGTTATGTTTGACTTTAACATTGTTTGAGAAAAAATATACAATTTTACTGATAAAATGAAAGTACATTCAGTTCAGGCGCCAGAATTTCTTCTTTAAGATGCTACTTTTAGTCTTAAATCAGTCACATAACCTAGAAAAATATGTCAAAATTAAATCATGGTTAAAAATAATTGTCTGAGAGTCAAATAATCAACAGAAAATCAAAACTTTGACCCAAATATTTCAATTTCCTAAAACATCTATTGATTTGTACACTACTTCTAGTCATAATATATCCCCCTTGGTATTCTCTCAATCTGAAAGCTTCGCATTAATTCGTAATGAGCTTTCATGTGAGAACAATCCGAATAATTGCGACCGAAGTGAGGTCATTTGGTAAATTTTTGATTGCAATAAAAAAGTTGAATAATGGATAAAAGATAATTAAAAATTCTTTAATGACACAAAATTAAAATTCATTGTGATCTTCAGCATTTAAGGTCTGATTCCACGAGCCGTTGACTTCAATGCTAAATGTCTAATTTTTCAAATTGCCTGCATCTTCTTCGTTTATTTCGAAACACCTCCAATTTTTTACACTGCATGGAATATGGATGAAATATAGTAAGATTTTGATTAAGTATCTGAAGAAAACTGAGGGATTCGAATGTTATTGTCTTGGTTTTTGTCGCTCCTGAAGCGACTATGCAAAGTTGTAAATTAACTGGAGAAATCTGTTTGAATGTAGCCCACAATCAGTGGCTCATATAATGAAAATGCTGAGAAATATTTCACCCCATAAAGGCATAAAAGCAGGTGAATGAAATGAAAATAGATGATAGTGATTTTATTGATTTACAAGAGATTTGGTGCACCTGTCGTGATTGGAATGTTGCTAAAGAGTGAAGCAGTTTTGTTTCAATTTTCCTCTTTTCTTGGGCACGAAACACACAGACAATTTAAACCATCTGCTGAGAAAGAGAGAGAGACTTTCCTTTTTGCCACATTTTGTACCTGGCAAATAGTATATCTGATATAATATCCATTCTATATCGCCGTTATTACACTTTTGTCTGCCAATTTCACTTTCCGCGGCAATTGTGAGCGCGTCGCGCGAGTGAGTCATTTTGGATGTTGAGAATTTGCTGTGCACACATGGAGTAATTTACTCATTTTAATCTGCAAATGGGCGAGACATTTCCGGATTCTGGCAAATTTATGCTCCACTCGACTGACACGTGCTTTCTATTAAGTCTTTTGGTGCAATTTATTGACCTCAAGCATCTCCCATGATGTGTTCACCTGCCGTAGAATGAATGTGTGACGTGATAAAGAGCTTTGCGACGAGTGTTTGATGACAAACTGCTTTCTTCTCCTTTCAGGAGATGAGAACAGCGAGTTAGTGCGCCAGAATAGAATAACGCAGAGGATCATTGCGAATTTCCTGGAGAGGCGACTCTTTCCGCATCGTCGCCCTCAGCAAAGTATTCCGACAATTGAAGAAATACTGCCATTGACCACTCAGTCACCCCAAAGAATCGCACCCAAGCTGTCCAGCAGCGAGGAGGAAGACGATGTGGAGCAGGAATCGCTGCAGAGTGTCGAATCTGAGCATTGGGATAACTTCTACAATGACGATTTTTTCGATGAAGGCAGGTGTTCTTCCTCCCCTTTTTTCCCCTTGCTTTGACTGTTCTTGTGTTTAACACTGGATCTGGACATGTTTTCTATATTTTTTTAGTGCTAGAATTGGGCTTTTTTCCCTCCTTTTCCAAAAGTGTCTCTGACTTAATCCTCCTCCGTCTTGTTTTACCTTTTATTCCATTTGCAACAAAGAGTATAAAATCACTTTGATTAGAGACGTGACAAGTGTTGCTCAATCACTCCTTGAATTGTATTTAAATACTCACTCATATTCCCCTTGCCAGTCATTCACAGAAATTTATTCATTTTCCATTGACGTGTATTTTTTCGCAGTCAATTGAGAGACGCATAAATATTTGAGTGTGTTTATTCTTTTTCCCCAACTCACGACTCTCAAAGCCTCCAAATAGTTTTCACACTCGTTTTCATGAGCTTCAATTCATGCTCGAAAATTGCATAAAATTATAGTACCGTGAATAAAGTGTTTATCATAAAACACAAGAATATTTTCATAGTGAGTTGGAGAGAGAGAAAAAATTCCCCATAATTCACAACAAATTGCCATTATATTTTATTTTCCTACATCGATGCCTCTTTTTTTTATGTAATGTGGCGACATACGGTTTTCTTTCCTACCCTCTTGACCTTATGAAAAATAATAATTGTAGTATTTTTTCGCTGGTTGCTCAATTGAGTGCCATAAAGAAGACAATTTCTCGTGAACCATCTTATGATTATTTCATTTGCTACATCAGATAAAAGCCACTTTATCCAATTCATAGTCATAATCCTAAGTGATGGTGGAGAGTTAAGAGCCCATGTAAGGCTTCTGGGTGGAGATATAAAAATGAAAGCTCTCAATTAGCCACCGAAAGCCATGGCGACAGAGTAAAAAGCGAAAGAAAGGTTCGGTGCCTTAAAGGTCACGGCTGTGGCGGCCGACATTAACCCACTGTCGCGGCCCACCCACTCGGAAGACTTATTTTTAAGCCCGATCTCAGCGATGCACGCATTGTCGCCCGATCTGCATTCCCACCGTGGGAAGAGTGACATTTCGAGAAATTCTTTACCTTTGGCCTTACGATGGCTCTTACTGATGAACCAGCAATTCAACTGCGATACATTGATTTTATTATCGCCTAAGCAATACATGATAATAAGTCTCAACGTGACATTTTTTCATCGTCCTTAAATACACCGCGACTGTCAAAGGTCAAATTGATGGAAATGTGTATATTTACCGAGATGTTTACCAACTTAGAGGCTCACTGCAAACTGTATCCATCAGTGAAGCTTCACAAATTCATATATAAGAGGTGCGAAGCGCCGAAGGAGAAAAGGTGGATTGCAAAAAGCCATTTGTATTTAAATCGTCTTGTGATGATTGGCCGCGATTCTGCCATGTCTTTCCGCAAACTTCCCCAGAACAACCTTCCAAGGACGCTGAGATTCTCAACTAATCACAGAGTATTGATTGAGAGGAATTCATTTTATTGCGTCTGGGAATGGATATCATGTCAATTACATCTTGCAAGACAACACGGATGCTTCTTTATGATCGTGAGAAGATCACAATTTCTGGCTATGGCGCGATGCTTTTAGCGTGATCTTTAAATAGCACGTGCGAACATGATTTTATCTCAAGATCGTGTTTTTTCTTCTTGTTGGGCAATATTTTAGGAAAATATTATATGGCTAATGAGCCGGGTAATCAATTTTGGGAAAATTGACATTGACATTTGCCGTTTTTTGTCCATCTTCAGCCGTCTTTCTCACCCAACATTCTTCCTCTGAAGCCTAAGGTGGGCACATATCTTTCAAAGAGCCTCTCTATTGATGTTTTTCATCTCATCTATGGCTTTCTGAGATTGTTTCCCTGACACGAGAAAACCAGTTTTGTGAGCGCGCCCTGGGGGCATTTTCTTGTACACGACGCGCGCGATGTCTTCAAAATACAGCCCAGTGAAAGTTTCCTCGCCATCTTCATCTCCTGTGCGTGAGTTTTGCACCTTGAGTCGCACAGTATGCACATTTTTTTTCACCATAATCATCAACTAATTCACGCGGAGCATCTCTTAAATTCCATGTCACGGTTCTTGCATCACCGCGATGACGCCTTAATCTCCTCGGCCCAGTGTTTATGAGACGGACAACATTCCACGTCTGACATCACACACCATGTGATCAATCAATCCCAGCCGGAATATTCCCTCAGCCATATGATCACGAATTTTGGGGTGATTTCCCAATGAACTCAGGAGAACGCTGTGGCCGTTGATTTTCGCAATACCGGCTCCCATGGAAATTTCCTATTCGCCACATTTTTAACGAGTGTCTCACTTGCCATTTCGATCAACTTCTCTGAGTTATTTATGGAGTGGCAAAAGGCAGAAGAGACTTAAATGCTAAACACGAGAACCAGAAAATTCCTTTCCGATAGAATCTCTGCTCTCCTATTGTGCTGATGATTAATATCCATCGCATGGAGTAATTATAAAGGCAAATTGGGAGAATTCGTGGTGATGAAAAATACTGCGAGATCTTTCCTGATAACATTTGGCGGAAAATATGCAAAATATGATAGAGAGGAAGATGATGAACAGCAGGGTGTTGACGGAAAGACTCGCGATGATCGATCTTGGAGCTGTTTTAACCGAAGGAACATTTAGGCGGCCGTGGTGCAGTCGGTAGAGAGCCAGACTGAGGACATCACGGTCGTGTGTTCGATCCCCATCACTTGCAAATGATCGAACACAACAGATGCGAAAAATATTAAGCCCTTCAATGGCAAATATAGAAATTCCAGCCCAAATAAGGTTGCTGTTAAATGTGCCAACTGAAGTAGAAACTTCTGTGGAAGTGTATTTCGCATCTGTCCTTACTTATAGATGGGCACACTACCAGACTGGTGTCGCCTGTAAATAGCGATATCGTCTGCAAACACGCCCAAGGCCAAGCTCTGCTAGTCTGTGAATTTGACTGGCTCACTTTGAAAGCCTTGCCCTCTGAGTGGGAAAAATCAGAGGATAACCGGGGGAGAGGGACGACATAAATAAAAAATAAGATATCAATGAAAGTCACAGGCCAAAGCTGTACCGTCTGAAAGGTAACTGGATGACTGGTTAGCTTTGGGTCTTGGCCCTTAAAATGGGAAAATTTTCCTGGGGATGCATAAAGGGCCCGTCAGATGGCCTGGATGCCGTGGAGCAAGATTTCTTGTACCACCCCCATTTCTAATCTAATCTAACCGAAGGAACAAACTCAATTGAATTGCAGGTCTTTATATTGGATTTCCTGGTTTAGTAGATCACGAGAGGAGAGAAACGATCTTGGAAGCTTTTTTGTTTAAAAATCCTATCACTAAAATTACAAACAATCATTGCAGAGAATCTTAAAGACATTCTTTTTGAACTTATTTCTCAAATTAATAGATATAATTGTTTTTTCTCCAATGTTACTAAAGAGAAACTCTTGAAGTTTCAATTCACTTTCGCACTTTTTGTTGGTTAATTTAGCGAAAAAAGCAATTTGATTTATCCAAGGATGGATTTGGGTAAAAAAAATTTAATCTGAAATTTATCACTGTTTTGGTATTTGCAATGTTAAAGGGAAAAAACTCTCACATAATCTGAAATTCAAGTTCAAATTCCCGGTTTGAAAGTGAAATGGCACTCGTGGTCGTTAATGGAGCGTCGCAAAAGCACTTCAAATTGATGATACCACCTCTAAATTTGACCATGTCTAGGCGTGTGTGTGGCTCAGGCCCGAAATTTGAATTTCAAAACACTTTGCAGCGCATTTTTTGCTCCCCATCAAAGCTCAAAACGATATCTCAGGGATCGGGTTTCTTCATCCAAAACGCCCCTCTTCGCTGGAGGATTAAAGGCTCTTTTTTGTCAACCTGTTCTTCATATATATGCCTAAATTGGCGCCCATTTCGTGAGCCTCTGACCTTTGGAGTTGATCTTCTTCATTTGCTGGCAAGTTTGCTGGCAAGTTTGCTGGATTTGCGCAAGACGCGCGCGCGCGCATTCCGCAAGAAATTAAAATCTCGTTACGCTCCCGAAGTCTGTATTTTTTCTCCCCATTCTCAAATTGCGATCGCGGGGCTTCACATTCAGGCGTGCCCTGAGATGCAGTGGATCTCGCGCAGAGATAATTGTATCCATTTGCAGAGTGGGACTTTCTCTGACGCGCTGTCGTCACAAGGTCTCTCGCAAGAAGCCGCCTGACCATGGCTCGGCTGCTGGTCCGATGGACCCGCGCCGCGGCAGAGGCCGTCAGTTGTTCGCCCACAGTGAGTTCAGTCGCATCGCAGCATCCGGCACCATGAATCTCCTCGAGATCGCGTCCGTCTTGCTGATTGTGCAGCTCGCGGCAGTGTCTGTTGGTGAATCGAAACAATCACCGCCAATAGGTTCGTGTTTTGCCGTACATTTAAATGTCCAGCATACAATTGATCACCTTTCATTCGCATCTGGAAGTGCGCGCCGCTCTGTGTTAGGAAAACATGATATGGCAAGAAGGTGGCAAAAATTCGAGGCACTTTCTCCGATCTGCAGATCTCTTTTCATCACACACAGGCCAATTTGCCGTCGTGCACAAAATTAATCCTGAAAAAAAAAGACATCTCATGACACGCCAAGACATTTCCTGAAGAATTTGTCTACACACACGTCCAGTTTCATAACTAATGATGCCTCAAAACATTCCTAAGGTCGCGACTGTTAATTGGTAAAAATCGCTTCAGTGATTTATCTTATATCTCTCCACTTCTTGTTCAATGTTGATCGGGTTTTTTCTGCTGCTTCACGACTCTCGACAATTGACGAGCAATTGTGTCAAAGAAATAGCCATTATTCTCATTTGTTGGGGCAACATGAGGCATATTTCACAATTCACCTTCCGCCTCTCTTCACACGAAGAGGCACAAAAAGCCAGTTGCTGGGTGAAAAGAAATTTCAAATTCAACAGCCACTCCACCTAATTGGCGGAAAACAATTGGATTTACCGTAAGTGTTGATGCAAATCGGTGAAAAAACACTCAATGATTCCACCTACGAGACGCAGCTTGAGGCGATATGACGGATTACATTGCGCAATGGTTGAATATAAGTGAAGGTCTTTCATAATTTGGACATTGCAGGGCGAATCAAAGGAATTTTGCAACAATATTTGATGCCATTCTGGTGGTGATTTTGATTGGCGATGACTCAGAGGGCCTAAAGTGCTCCATGTTTATGGTTAAAGTGCGCTCATTGAACTCTGATTTGTTGTGCGTTGTCTTTTGCGCGTGCTTTGAGCGCCCCTCTCTCCCCTAAATCCATCAAAACCAAGATGAAGAGGAGGAATTCCTCTTCTCTGCTGCATAGCTGATGAAACTGATTAATCAATAGCCCAAGCAAAGCTCTCTCTTTGTCACTCTTCCACTGTGGATTTTCCCTCCTAATCGAGTGGTGATGCATTCCATGAATAGACTCCTTTAAGTTATGAGTGAGTCTTTTGCATAATTGCCAGAAGCCTCGGCAGTTGCGCAACTTTCTCACTCGTTGACGCGTGCTCGAGTGTGAGAATGCCTGAATCTCCACATAATTGCAGCTTAAGCTGCACTTTGCATTCAATTAGCCATCATTCTCTCTCTCTGTCTCCACGACAATTCACCCATTCATCCATTGTCGGACAGTTTGGTGGCTGTGAATTTGTGAAACAGGGTCCACCGACTCGTGTCTTGTCGCTTAATTAGACTTGCGTTGCGAAAATCTTATGGCCAGTGATGATCTTGACTCTCTTTTCTCACCTACAAAGAGCAATTCCCTGATAAATGGTCTGCGCATTGCAAATCTCCTAGCGAAACGCCTAATGAAGCACTTTTCTACTGGTATATTGTCAATTATGTGCAATTGCGTATGCTTTATTATTACTAAAAGTTACTAAATGATCCGTGGAAAATATGTGGCGACTTATAAATCGCTTCATTATGTGTATAATCGCCTATAAATTGCGAGAGATGCGAATCATCGAGAGACGTTTCAGTTAATTGTGGACGCTTATTTGAATTACCTAATAATCGTCCATCGATCTATTTCCTGTCACATAATCACACTCGATGGACTGTCCAAGAGTGGCATTTTCTTACTGTAACAGAGGAAAAATGCCGATGGATTATGTCATCTCTGTGCGATGTTGGTCTACAGAAGTGTGCTGGAAATATAGCTTTGCCGACAAAATGCAAATGAAGCTGAACTCCAAATTCTATAAGTCATTCTGGAGTTGCGTTCAAGGGGGAGATAATACAGTCAGAAGTGGTGTACAAGATGTTAGGAAGTGGAAGTGTTGAAAAACTTACAATATTCATTGTCTGACTGTTTATTTCACTGCTTAATCCTCCAAATTCTTTAAATTTCTATCGATTTTTACGCAGAATCAATCAAAAAATCTTTTTTTTAGGTTATGTAGACATTTTTACTGAATAATTCGCATTCTAACACATCAATTCTTATGTTCAAGTCGGAGGAATCGTTAATCATTGGCAGAATTAAGCATTTGATGTCAAGAAACACTGAAAATTGTATTGAATTCGAACATAACCTCAAAAATAGTAATTTACATCTGGAAAATGGTTATTTAGAAGACTTTCTAAACTTCTTAGTTCAATGGAAAATCATAACCAAATAATCTTGTGATCTAGAAACTCTAGAAAGCTTCGAAACGGAGTTTTCGAAGATCTTTTAGTTATATTTTTGAGGTTACGGTCAGGAAAGATGTGGAAACAGTCTAAAAACTTCAGGTTTTAGAAGTGTCTGGCAAATTTGGAATTGTTTGAAAGAAGTGTACAGATTGAAGGCATATTGTCTCCCCCTTGGTTGCATACTATTTTACTTCACACAACAGTTAATCGTGAATTGGTGCACACAGAAAAGTTAACCTGTCATGTAAACAAATAGACTTGAAGGAATCTCACAGACTAACTAGCTGACCTTGCGCCATTGCACAGAAGTCAAAGTGTAATAAAAGAATAATACTCCGACAGCATTACAAATTCTAATATCTTCTGAAGCCCATGAAGTGTCGTCCCAGATTCGCACGCCGAACATAAACAACAATCCCTCTCACTTCAGAGATCACTAACCGACCTCTCCCTCTTTGCAGACTGCCCAAACTGCGTGGATGAGTCTCAATTGACGCCAAATAGATGGACAATGCCATTGCTCAAGTTGGGCGAGAAGCGCTACTACTTGGGAGTCTTCTTCAGGGTGAGTCCTCCTTGTCCGTATTCTGATGTCCAAATATTTACCGTCCGTGATGCCTCACAGCCGTGGCGGCGTAACGTGACACAACGAGGTCAAGTGTAACTTGAACAGTGGCAGGAATTTTTTTTTGCCAAATCTCACATTGGTTAGAAGCAATTTTTCGTCATTTGCACCTGGCGTGAAGTCAAATTGCGAAAGGCGGAAGCAATTGCCAAACTCCTTCCCAAATGCGCCTTTTGACAAATTGCCACGATTCACCAGGTGACATTTGGAAAGCATTGGAGGAGGTTTTTCCAGACTTATTCTGAGCCATTCAGTTTCTTATCGAGGCAATCTGCACTTTTTATAGCTCCTTCTCAAAGGTATTAGAGTCCAATTTCAATTAACACATTTCAGGGAGATAATTTGAAAATCATCAAGACGACTTAATAAATTAACCTGAGATCTGGTTCTTTCAATTCAAAGCTGTTCTTGGTGTTTAATTGAGTTGTTTAAACACTTTTTTATGGAGTCAAATGAACCTTGTGAATTCCAAACTTTATTAATTGAACGAAATTATAAATAAGATTATTTAAAATTTAAAATTGCTTCTTTCACCTTTCTTGGGCACAATTTTGTCTCAATAAACTGAACACTAATCAATCTTTGCAGGCCAATTGGTTCAGAGCCGCTCAGTACTGTCGATTCCACGGAATGCACTTGGCCAGCATAGCGTCTCAGGAGGAGAACGACAAACTTGAGAAGCACATTCGTGATTACGGTAAATATTGGTGTAGGAGAAAAAAATCACATCAAATCTGCCAAGTCCCAAAATAACAATTTCAATTAAATTCCAACATTGATCCAGGGCGACTCTGAGGAAAATGTCTTCCGGGGATTTTCAGAGTGAATTTCCAGGAAAACTTTTTCTCACTTTTTCCTCCAATGAGGACATAAATCATATAAAAAAATATGTCCCGAAGATATTTTCTCTCGCTCTCTCTCTGTTTATTATTGAGTTTCTCTAAGTGACAAAATTAGAGGCACATTTGGAAGTGCCTGAAGTGGAGTTTATCAGAGAAGCAATAATAGAGAGCATGTTACTTCCTGGAACTGATGGAATTTAATTTGTGCGGAGAAACTTTTTTGCAGGAAAATCAAATTTCCCCATCTTGTGAGAGTTGCAAGATTAATTTGAATTTTCTCCAGAGCCTCACTTTCTCGCAATTTAATGCCACCACGCGATTTATGGTTGCAGGGTTCGGAAATGAGCACTTCTGGACATCGGGCACTGACTTGGCCGACGAGGGCAGCTTCTTCTGGATGTCCACCGGACGTCCGATCACGTTCACGAACTGGAACGCCGGTGAGCCCAACAACTTCCGCTACGAGAACGGCGAGGAGGAGAATTGCCTGGAATTGTGGAATCGCGATGGCAAAGGACTCAAGTGGAATGACTCGCCGTGCAGTTTTGAAACATATTTCGTCTGTGAAGTACAATAATAAAAGAAGAAAAAAAACCGTCCCAGAAGAAGGCGAGTGTGACACTTTCGAGGAGACAAGGAGTCGCGAGAGGACAGGAGGAACACTTTGTACAGACTTCCGTGAGAATCTGCAGTGTTTGTGAGCTTTGTGTCCTCATGGAATGATGGGCAGATGTTGAGAGATGCGTGGATTAAATGTTATATGCTTAATAATTAAGTGACAAATAAGATTTTAAATGTAAATACTCGAATAGCTTGGTCCAAATCTCGTGTGTGAATAGAAATAAAGAAAATATTTTATAAAGACAAATTACAATTTGTACAGCAAAAATCGCATTCCTATGAACCCCTCGAGCGTGCAGAGAATTTCACTTTGGCGCCCGAATTGCCGGCATGCGCAGACCACTCGGGGATTTCCCAATTTTCTCGTGCGCGCGGAAAAGTCCACGGAAAAGCGAGACAAGTGCAAGTGGTCTCTCCTCATTCGTGAAGTGTCGGTCGGGCTGTCACCACCGCAAGTCAAGTGGCCCACACACAAGTCCATCCGCAGTTCACTTGTGCTCTGCCTCCTTGGCACTGCAATCTCTCTTTCTCCCCCACATTCACAAGTGCCATTTTCCCCGTGGAGCATCAATCAAACCCTCCGCGGTGCGAGTGAGTGCAAATTATGGCAATGATTCCGCAGCACCTCCTGGGTGGGGAGCTTTTCCACCCTCAGCTTTTCCAGGACGAGTGGGTGTGAGGTGTGGAGTACAGTGAGTGTTTCTTTTTTGGTGAACTCTTTGTGTGCTGTAAGTCTGCCTGAATGTCCGCAATGGCCAGATTAAGTGACAAAGAGGCAGCAAAGCACACAAAATCGATTGCAGAAAGTATTGTCGCAAAATTGGGTGGTCTTCCTCGTTGCTGAATTCGCGTGTCGCGCTTGCCAGCAACTGGATTACTCACGTCAATTTATGGGAGCGGACACGCAATTCATATGCGTGTCATGTGTGAAATATGAAGTGAAATGCATACTAATTAGTGGTCTTGATTGAATGCTGGATTTTCACCCCCCAATTCGCAGTGTCGAAAATCAAGAGATTTTCTCATATTGGCCAGCAGATGTTCAGAATATTTTCCCCAAATATACGAGCTTATTTCAAAGGCCTTAGCAAGTCTATCATTTTAATGCCACAATTGGACTCAAAGTGTAAAAGATTGTGAGTGTTTCACTAGAATAGAGTTCATCGGTGGTATGATTGAGATGCTTCAAGATTGCTTGTCGGATTGAGAAGATGAAGCTGGAAAGTAATTTGATTTTCAAAATTCATCGTCTCAGCATTATACAATTTGGTCTAACTTCACGTGCAATGTTCCGAGAATATCGTTCATTTCAAAGCCTCACCCTTGAGCACACTTTTCTGTGCCTGAGCTCGAGGGAAATGAATTGAAAAAATGCCCATTTCTTCAAGAAAGCAAATGGGTTTTCGTGTAAAAGTGATTTTCAATCATACCTCCGCATGAATATTCATGCGAACGCTTCGCAGATGAAATGAGAACTGGTGGCTTCGGTCAGAGCCTTTCCTCAGATTTATTTTTACGAAATGTGCACGTTGGATAATTTGCCCAGAGCAATTGCGTTGAGGCGAACTTTAAAAATAAGCCTAGGCGCGATGCGTGTGTGAGTGGCGGAAAATCCACCGAGAATGCTCGTGGGAAAATTTGAGGCCGGTGCGATTCTTGGGCAGCGCTGATCATCATGGCTGACCTTCAGGCCACAATCGAGTTTGTCGTTGAACTGCACAAATTCTACAATGTGGACCTCTTCCAGCGGGGGTAAGTCGCCAGCGTGACGTCACCCCATGTCCCAATTAGGCGAGAGAGATGGAGAGAGAGAGAGTCACTCGAAAAGGCCAACCCTTTTGCGTTTGTTTCTCGCAATGCTCGCCGTGTCAACAAATCCCTCGACTTTTTCTCCCGGAGCCAGGAGAATTTATCACCGCGCCCAGGCAGAAGTGCAGAGAGAAATTAAATTGAAATTTATTTCCACCAAACTTTCTCCGACACAATTTATTCCACTTTGCACAAATACACACACACACGAACCCTTGGAATTCAGCAGGACGTGCAGTGCCATCGAAAAGGGGATGAATTTTACAATGTCAAAAAGGCCGTGAGCCTCTCTTGGGCGAAAATCTCAGCAGATTCACTGGCGAAATCCACCTTAAAAGCCTTCACAATTTATTTATTTGCAACCGGAGTTTGAGTGTGTTTTGACTCCCCGGAGATGGAAATCAATACTCTCGACCCAGTGTGACTGGGTGCGAAATTTCCAGAAGCTGGAGGTATTTTCACCGGAATTTGTTGCCTCTGACAACAAAGAAGAGCGCTCAAATCGCAGGAAAAATTCATCCGATACTTTTTCCACTTCATTCACATGAATTCATTTCATGGTTCCGATTTTTTTTTTGGATACTCTGCGGAAAAGCTCTCGAAAGCTCAACTATCGCAGTTTGAATTTCACAATGAATATTGAGGATATAATATTCAGGAGATTGACTTTTCCATCAACTAAATTTTAACTTTCATCAAATGTGTGGAGTTTGATTCACAGAAAAAGCGAATAAATATTTACATGACCCGAAAAATGAAAGGTTCTCAAGTGCGAGCAAGTTGTGTCTTTGATGTTTCTTCACATCCTGTTTTACTTTTATAAATTAAAATTTAATTAGATCAACTCCCCCATCAAAAGGTCACGAAGTTTCTCTCTATCAAGCATTGTGGCCTCATTGATCGATTTTATTCACTGGTTTAGAATAACAGGGTAAATTATATTTTCTCCCGCACCACCCTCGAAGGCTCGAATATGAGTCGTCTGTGATATTAAAGCACATCCCTGCTATCAGCGAAGAAATTCCTGATTATGCAGAATTTTGCTCCTGCCATGCAAAAATCCCAGCAATTTCGTGACACTTGAGGAGGAAAATTCCTCACTTCGGGACGACATTTGCGTACAACATTTTCGCACACTTCCAAGGCGCTGTAATTAAATTTTAATTAAACAACACAAGTGGAGATGATTGCTGATATTCCCACGAGCCCATTTCCTCTCCGGGAATGCGAGGGGCTGCTGATGGGCGCATGGAAAAATGGTGAAACTCGCCAGGCAATCGATTCTCGTCCTCCGCGAAGGGAGAATCTCTATTTACGCCGGCAATAGTAAGTCTCTCTGCCCAGTGAAACATTTATCAGTTGATGGTGCCTTTGGCGGTGAAAAGTTCGCCGCCTCTATTAATAGACGACACTCGGTGCAGTGGAGGCGCCCGGTTGATAGATGATGGGACGTTTTGAGGTATTTTTTGTGGATTTTCTTTTGCTGTTTTTCTCACTTTGTTTTCCACGCTCTTCTTCTGTCCTTTTGGCATCTTTGTTACGCAAATAAGAGTAACCCAAATGACTTCTTCGGCTTGTGGTGGTCCAGGATTGCTCAAAATATCAATATGGATTTTATCAAAGTATATTTTTCATCGTAGTTTTAAGCAGAATTTTTGTACAGAAAATTTCCAAAGTGTATCTGTAGTGAATTTCCCTTGTCATTTCCTCATCGATAGAATGCCGTGTTTTAGTCATTTCAATGCCAATAGCTGTGATTCCTTCTCTAATCACCGCAAAGTGTTTCATGACAAGACAAATTGTATGGCTGATCTGTCTTTGACAGTGAAATTTTATTTTTGCCACACTTTCCGCGCCTCTCTGTTGCCATTTTCCTGCTGTTTCTCTGCACAAACAAAAAAAGAATATTCCTCCTTTGACACTCTTTTTTACATCCATTCATTCTTTCACCATCTGTGTGTTGTTTTCAATGCAAAATGTTTATCATGGTGACCGAATCGCGGGGAAAAGGAGACTAATTTGCATAAAAGAACCATTTCAGGATGACTATTGTAGCATCCAATGCACATTTTGCAATCTTCCAAATGGCATTTCTTTTGCTATTTACCACACATTCCACCACTCATAAACATTTCACTAATGTGTGCTGTATGGCTATGCAAACACTTGGATATGATGATGAATTTTCCATTCTTCCGCACAAGAAGTCGCTGTATGAATGCTAAACTTCCTGCATCTCGGCTATTCTCCAGTCTCTTCTCACCGGGAAATATGGCGAGAAGAGTGGAGAGTCGTGAATAATTCACAGGTTGAGTCAGGAGAAATGAATATTGTGTGTTGGGCAAATGGGCAGAAATATATCTGAAGAGAGAAGCACATAAATAGGGAAGAAAAGAGGCGAAAATCCATTTTGACCAACAAAGAATCATGTGCTCTTTTAGATCACAAAAGACTAAGCTTTTAGTATTACAGAGGAATTTGTAACACATCTCAGTTCTTTGGTGAAAAGGTCAGAGTATTTGTTTCCCTTCAAATTAATCTAATATACAAATTATACACAAATTCTTGTGACTCATTAAACTTGCCACCGATGTGATGCGGATGTGTAAATCTCACTGAAAGCGCCTCGAGGTCGTTGGCTTTTGTCTCTGAGCTTTCCACCAATGACGCCCTCGGAATCACAGCCCAAGAACTTGGGATTCTTATCGACATTCTCCTCGAGTTTGGCATTTGCGGAGCGCACCTCAGTGGCATCTCTGCCCGAAGGTTTCGCAATTATTCTCAGCCCGCATTGTCCGCTCTTCACAAGTTCTCAACGCGCGTTTAATATCCAAATTGAGTCACGCGGAGTGACTTACATATTTAATAAGCCATATATTCAGGACACTGCTATGGGAGAAAATAGTAATGCCACATTTACATCCATAGAGGAATTTACAACAGTGTTTAATGGGAAACGCCTCAAATTACACCGTCAATTATTCATACATTTCCCGGGGAAATGGTGTCACCTTCAGTGCTCAAAATGGCTCTGCTGAAGGAGATTTAGGAAAAATCAATTTATGTAATTGATGGTGTTTTATCGGCGAAAAGGTTGCCTTTTATGGTCTTTAATTGAATCCCTTCGCTTGTGAGCAAACATCCGACAGAAATCGACAAACACAATTCCATGCTAAATGAGGTTCCTGAAAGAGCATTTAGAGGTGGAATTTCCACCATAAAGTTTCCACCTGTCGCCAAGGCTATAAATTGCCAATTACTTTCTCATCCAAATTAAATTACACATTTTTGCTCAGACCATTTCATGAGACCTGAACATGAAATTACACCGGCTTTTCGTGGTGTGTTGTGTGAAATTTTACAGGAATTCTGGCGCCCGACAGGATACAAAATGGGGCGTCAAGCTACATATTTGCACATCCGCTTTCTCTGAAATTATTCAATTGATAAATGTTCGACTTGTTGTTCAATCTGTCATGATTATTCCATAATCTCTCGCAGAATTCCACTTGATTAATCGATATCCGCAATTCTCTATTCACTTCAATATTGGCCATAATATTCAATACAAAACATTCATGGATATTCAATAGATCCTTTTTCAGAGTATTCACATCGAATAAATTTTCAAAGTCTCACACACAAGAAAGACTTTAAACTTCTCCCATAGGCAAACTTCTTGCAATTTGTGCTGCAGTGCAAATTTCATTAGTGCACTTTTGCACTTAAGTCACTTTGTGAAATTTGTAATTGTTGGAGAAAAGTCGTCACTGAGTGAAGTTTATCAGTTTGATGGGCGAGAGAAAGCTTCTGCAAAACTTTTCGTTGGGCATGAAATTGAGCCACTATTAATTGCATTTTAGCGATAACATTACGTAAAATGCTGTGTATTTACCAGGATTTGTGCATGAGCTCTTTATCATGGTGTAACAATTGGAGTGTCACTAGTTCTCCACCACGTGATAAATAGTTTGCACATTTCAATTTAATCTCCAGATCAATGTGAAATGAGTAATTATTGTGCGGAAAATGTGTCGTTATTATTCAATTTGTAGCTCTATAAATTCTCATTACATCCATTCAAGCATTCATTAGAGGACTCATCAATGTAGAGTTAAAATTATACTCTGAATTTCGCAGGCGTTTAGAAAAAAAGAAGAAATATATGTGATAGCAATTAGATTTGCCGAAAGAAATCTCCTCTTCTTTAATTACCATCGTGTCTCTATATAATTGAAGTTAAAGAGTCTGTCTCGCGGGTGGGCCGAATCATAAATCATCCCAGATGGAGTGGAATGGAAAGGAGAAAGAGAAGTGTGAGGAACAATATTGGCGCAATTTGCCAAGATAAACAGATGTACTTTCAGTTTTTATGGATGTCCCAGAGTAAAAATGAAAGAAAAAAAAAATCACACTTTTATGACGGAAAGTTTTAAGCAACGGATAACATTGAAAATACCCATGCGAAATCTTCAGGGTAAATATTTTTATTTGAAATAAACAGTGCTTTATCAAATATTGCGAATGTTCGACAGCGCATTTTAGTGTGTAAATATAAGTAAAAATCCATGGTTTTAATTTACATAATGGCCTTATGTTCGCGAGCATTGAAATTTGAGCTGATGTGTGTGCAATTAATGGACCTTTCACGGGAAACTGGCCAATCGCACTTTTTTTCCTGCAGAGGAAACTCAATTAAAAGCCCGCTTAAATGGTTTGAATGTGGATGGACTGAAGGGTGGCAGGAAAACTCATCATATTCAATGGGGTAAAATGGCAATATTGCGCTTACTCATGTTGATTCATTGAAACGGAGATTACCCAAGAGTTCCACGACCCCGCATAAATTCCAGAAGGGGCCGTAGATTTGCCAGGGATGAAGCATGCTATCGATTTTCTTCTCTTTATCTCCCTTTTGGGGGGATTATGTCGTCCTCAAAATGAAGAAAAAAACAGACACCCTCGCACATATTTTGGGCCCCAACAGGCGCTCAAGTAATCATTCCATCTGACTCATCCGTCAATAGTCAAGAGTCACCCGATTACAGTTCGAAAATCAGTGTTGGGGAAAATTTGGAAAAGATGCTGATCTATCATTTAAGGGCAAACGACCGGAAAAGGTTGATGAAGTATCGATTTATTGCAATAAATTGTGATTGAAAGCCAAGTATGTAAGTGTAAATTTTTGAGCACATTGCCGGGAAATTGCAAGGAAAATATTATGCTTTAATTTGAGTGACAAACTCGTCTCCCATTTTCAACACACACACAATTCCAAAGACACAACAAAGAAGTCCTCTTTTTGGCCAAAATTTGCGTAAATATTGAATGACTTTGAAAGCCATTTGCCTAAGTGACTCACTGACTCTCTCTCTCTCCTATTTTGCTGCTAGAATATTCCTAAACAGGTAATCACTATTCCAAGCGCGTCCCATTCAAAAACACCCCCGAAATCCTGAACCCCCAGCAGAGTGTCATTCAACTCGATTTATTCCACCTCCTCTCTTAAAATACCGACTCGCTGATGAGAGGGTGGCGCAATAATTAAATAAATCTCCTTCACAGGCTCTACCAAGTGCGCTGCTCGCTGCGTGTCACCCCTCGTTTGCCCGTGCAGGTGGAGACGTGCATACCCGAGAGCTCCCCAGGAGCCAGCAGCCAGCAGCCCAGCTCGCCCGGCGCCGCCACCCCGTCGGCGTGCGTGGTGGGCGGCGCGGGGGCCTCGCGCGTCTTCCAGATCCTGTACAGAAACGAAGAGGTATCTCTTCGTGACGTCGTAATGTTCCGGGCACATCTTCTGGGTAAGAAATACAGTCATGGCATCTAAATAGAGATTTACACAGTTTTCCGTACATTTCTTTCGCCCACGATGAGAACACACTCTTGGCACAGTGCCACACCTGGCAGACACTTTCTCCGGGCTCGGCCTTTCTCGCCTCCTTTGAGGAAAGGAGGCGAGAAAGGCGTCGCAAGGGGCACGTCAGCCACAAGTTAAGGGTGATTTCTGCAAGAATTTGACAAGTAATTGGAGCGATTCCCAGTCAAACATAGAAATGATAAACTTCAAACATGAATAAGGAAAAAGGCTCTTGTTATTCTCGCTAAAACAGTGTCAAAATTGTAAAAATTCAAGTATTTTACTAATAATTCCATGATAAAAAGAATTTAGAAAGTCGTTTAAAAATAACACATTCAGGCGGTACAAAATAACTTAAGATGTGTGAACCAGAATGGAAAATAAGACTCATGGTTGAATTTTTTAACACAATCGCGATTTTAAACCTTACATGTGTGGCTCAGAGTAGCAAAATACTATGTTAACTTAATTTAACACACTTTTAACATTCATTGTTTTGGTGGGAATCGCTCTAAATGGTTAAAATTCCTACCAAGTAAAGAAAATTACATCAAAATTAAAGTGCAAACAAGTCAAACTCTTCAGTGATTCCTCTAATTTGTCAGGGGTTTCTTAGAAGAACATCAATTGCTCAAAATTCGTTATGAATAGCCCTTGAAATGCCGCACTTTTCTGGGTGAAGTGGAGAAAAATCATGGGACTTTTTACCATAAGGACTCTTCGAAGTCTGTGTGATGTAAGAGGAAAAGCCTCAACTCATCAACCCACTTTAGTCACACTCCCTTCAGCCCCATATCAATTTGCAACTTCAATCGATTTGATGGCATAACAACTATGACGTCAGCACTCGCTGAAATCCTCAGCTTACTTGCCACCTCCTTGCTGAGCTCGGGTGGCAATATTTAAAAAGTTTATATACCTCAAAAGGGAATTGATGAAAACCCGCATCGAAAGGGGGATTTTCGCTGCCTTGTAGTTTTTCTCCCTTCACATCGGGATCTCCATATGTCCTCCTTATTGGATTTTTGCCTTATTTATGGACTTGACACTCCTTGGGCAGAACTTGGATTTGCATTGAAATGAAAATTAAACCATTTCGCCGCGTTCATTGAACCGCGTTGGGCCGTTTCGGACAAAAGGCGGATGATAGTCAGTTTTTGAGAAAACTTTTCCAATAATTCACTTCTTTTCCAAAACATTGCACAGTTGGTATTCTCGCCTATGTTGGAGCTTTCCAGGCTCTTCGCAGAGGATTAATAGCTTCGCAGAGGATTTTTCCCTCGCATCCTTCGCTCTGTTTTGTGCACATTTCATTTATGAATCACGTTAATATTAAATTCGATTGGAAGTTTTACAAACATGGAAATTGCTTTTTAACTATGCCGAAAGCAATTAGATAATTGAAAATATTTTGCTTCTCGCATTTCACACAATTACTGCATTGTTATACTCTGCTTTTTATTCCCTGGGAATTGTGTAATACACTGAGGGAATATAGTGAATATCATGTTGGATTTGTTGGATTTTATATCATGGCAGAAGTTCATTAAAATTTCATTAGCTTCACCGAGATATTTCATGTTTAAAAATTAATTTATCGATTTCTAAAATATTCACTTTAGCGTGTCTTCTCGTTCACATCAAGTGAAGATCAATATTTTAAGTAGACTCTCGTTCTTGGAAAACTTCTACATAAGAGCTACAAATAGAAAAGTGTGTTTAAACACTTTTCAATGTGTCGAATTTAGTGAAAATTGCACGCGCTTTCCATCAAAGGGATGGAGACTTTGAGTTGTGCCAACTTCTCTTCTCATCCATTAGCATTTTAATTAAAAAGCGTTGGAAAAGAATAAAGTTCACAAGACACAGGGATCATTAAAGAAGCATCAGACATTAAGCCAAATGATTAAAGTCCCTTTTTCTCTTGTTTCCTCTCTCAAGATCAGCAGAAGGAATAAAACTCGATAATGAGCCTCTTATCGCGCAAACTTGAGTGTTTGTTGGAACAAATCAAAGCATTACATTTCACTAAGTGGCGCCCGAGAGAAACATTTCATTGTGGCCACTGGAGGAAAACAGAGAAAATGGGAAAGGAATAATAAAACACACACAACTTTTCCTTCAAGATGTTTCTGTGGGAAATCGGTGGAAAAGTGTCATATATTATTACAAATGATACCATCGCCTGTACTGCGATTACACTGGGAGATTTATGGCATGCTGAAGTGTATGTCAGTGTCATAAATTCAAGAAGAAGCACTTTCAGAAATCACTGGAAACTATAAATAAATAGGAGTTCTTTCATATTGCCATCTGGGAGAGGAATATTCAAATATGAATGCGATATTCGGTGCGGGAAAAAGCAAGGGCGCGTTATATTTCAGTCGAGTCACATTCTGTGTTTTTTCTTTCCTTTTGCTCAAGGCAGTAATTTTTTAGAAGAGCAGCAGGGCGTGGCGGAAACAACAAGAATGGGTGGCGCGTCTGAGTGGGCGGATTTCCCAACAATTTTCCTCTGCGTAGACACTTTATGTGAGGAATTCAATGATTTATCGATTCTCTGACGAGAATATTCTTCACTTTGATGTTGGCTGACAGAGAGAAAATGTCATTATTCTCCAATTATCCTTAGATTTTGCGATTCATCCATAGAATATGCATATTTCGAGATCCTCTCTACATAGATACATAGATAGTTAAATATAATATCTCCCCCTTTGTACTTCATATAGTGCTTTGAGTTCACAGTGACCAGAGAGCTCCAAAAGCTGTCAAAGTCATTTTGCTATTCGGTGGTCGAGAAAACGAGACAGAGAGAGAGAGAGAGCTTTCAGCTGGAATGTCATTTGCATGATTCACAGTGCCGGAAGTGTTTTATGAAACGAGAAAATCACTTTTATGCTTGAAAATACTTCTTTCTTTCTTCATCCATAAATTCCAATGCTAATGACCCTGTGTGGTGATGCTTTTTAAATACTTTCAGAGCATGCAAGAATGCGAAAGTAGCATGGCGAAAGAATTAAGGAAAAAAAAATACCCTTTCTTCAATTAAGAAAGTACGCACGAATGGGGTGAGAATTGTGGGTGGTTTTTGTGGGGAATTCCATGTGATTTATCGGAAAGCTAGGCGGGATTAGGCGGTTGCTTTCTCACGCTAATTGCAATTTATCCCAATTCCTTGCAGTTGACAGCCGGCATCTGAAGGAGTCGGTGGAGCGGGCTGAGTTCTCCCTCCACTTGGAGCTGTGGTTTGGCGAGCAGACGACCAACGGCACCAACTTGTCTCTGGCATCATCGCGGACGCTGCAGCTCAACTTCCACCCTGGCCGAGGTCTCCACTACCACCTGCCCGTCCTCTTCGACTACTTCCACTTGGCGGCCGTGAGTGTGGGCATTCACGCCAGCCTCGTGGCACTTCATCAGCCTTACATCAAGTACGTGACCCATGACCAATTAGCATGCTCGAGACTCGAGTCAATATTGGACACCCCATTCATGTGCTCGCCCAATTAGACTCTGGGATCACCCACAAAATTCACTCACATTGAGCCATTTCATGCCATCGCCTCAGAGTACACCCATGGAGACCATGGAGGAGATTTAATTAATTTTTGAAAGCCAGAGCCATTGTCATTCTGGGTGTCGTGTATATCGTCTTCATTAAATTTGATTAGGTCTGGATGGCATTCCGGCCTTTTCTTTTTAATTGTGTAGACTCAAGTCCTTCTCACATCATCACTTTGGCACTCGTTAGCTCTCGACACGCCATGCTTCACGCAGTCTTTGTTGGTTTACCCAAAAATAGTTTGTTTTAAAAATATTAGACTCTTTGTGACGGAGCTTTTCGGTATATCATGAATTATATTAAAACTGTGGCTCTTGTCATTTTTCACATAGTTTAGACAACTAATTATACAAATTGTTGTTAAACTGTTTCAAAGTGCCTCTTCAAGAGCAACACATTTTCCCAATCTCTGTTTTTTCCCTCCCCCATTCTTCTTTGAAAGGGTTCAAACCGCAAACAATGCAAAATGAGCTGCAATTTCTGGAATAAACTCTTGCAATTTAAACTCTGTGCATTTGCACACTGTTTCGTTCTTTTTTTTTTACTCCCTCAGCCACAGAAGAGCTTCAGGCACATTATCTGCTCTAACAATGCCACTAACTTTTGAACCTCTCTCATTCGAATAATCCCATGTCAGTTTGGGGTATGAATATTGGTGCGGAATAATCACATTCAATCACCCCACTCTTGCCAATTCTTTCGTCAGAACGGGTGAGGAAATCTTCGTCTCGTGAATCAATAAATTACAGCTGCGAAAAGAGGAGCAATTTTCAATTGCCGACCCTCGGGCTTGATTGTAAATTCCGAACACGAACATCCCTCTTGAATACGAGATGTAGCGCGAAAAAGGGATTTAACTTGCAAGCAGTTGAAGGGAATTCCTCTTGCCCGATTTTTGGTGCTTTGAGTGGGAAAAACAGAGAGGCAGAAAATGGAAAAGCGGGTCATACGACAAAAATTGTGACAATCACTCATCCACCACCCCCGCAACCAATTGCATAATTTGACTGTTCAGAGTGCGCAAGCAAGGGGTTACAAACTTTGAGATAACAAATTCAAATCCTCTGAAATATGTTTTCAATCTAACTTTTCGGGTACTTTTCCATGTGTTTAAATTGATTTTTGCGAAGTTTACAGTCAAATAAACTCAGAAAAGGGAGTAAATATGGAACCTTGACTAATTTTTTATGCATAAATTGTAGGTAATAATCGCAAAAATGCTCTGCACTCTGATTACATTTCTATTGCCCCCTCGCTACTAGGCGTCCCCATTGCACCACCAGGCGCCTCCATCTATTGATTTCACCCACAAATGCGCCAGTTCACGTGAATGGTGGCTCTATTGGTGATTCTCTGTTTCTTTCATAAATAAACACGACACACAATACGACAGTGGCATGCACAATAAAGTGAAATTGCGGCGCTGGAAAGCATATGCTCACAAGGGCTCAATTGTTGCCTTTTCTTCACGATAAAAATAAAAGCGAAATGAAGCGCGGTGTTCTCAATAACTTTTCACATTTTACTGGGCATCATTTGTTGGTGCACCCCGTAAATCTCACCCAGCAAGCGTCATCCCGCCACGTCGAAGCCCTTTTCCGTCTCACGGTGGGTGGGAAAAAAGTTTGCCGGCGTGTGGGTGGGAAAAAATGACAGTGGAGAGTGGGCGGAATGTGACGGAGAAATATTGGCAGTGGGGGAGGAAAAGTTGCGACAGAGGGTAAACCACGGGGAGGAATAAAAACAAGAACACCACCATATGTGGTGATAACAATAAAGCTGCCGGAGATAGAAGGACCCGACATTTTTACAAGGAAGAATGCCCTCAGCAAGACGAGAGAAACTGAAGAATTCCACCTCATTCATCATCGTCAAATCGTGTTCAGCCGAGAGGCTTTTTCCCAGACAAACCCTCTTGTCAGCTCCTCTGGAAAATCCCCCAATTCATCTGTGGATACCGCTGCTGAGGACCCAATAGGGCATTCACTTTTCACCTTTCACCTCCCCCGATAAACAAATAGATTTCCCACCCACTTGGCAAATATTCAAAATTAATTACCCACCTTCCCTCGCCTGGGGGTGGCAATGTTTTCAAAAAGAAACCACCAAACGTGGGACTTTAAGACTTTCAACTAATTTCCGTGTAAGCACACTTCCGTTTTCCACGTTTTCCATCTTCACTAAGAACATTTTTACGTGAATATCCGCCCACAAATTCGCGGAAAATGAATGATTTTGTGTCCTTCCTTTCTTGCAATCGTGGCGTATTCCTCGCACATTTGTAGGATTGAGTTCAGGCCACAATGATTCCGAGAATGGGATGGGCGGCGAAGAAGTGGGAAAACTTTCGAGGCTCTCTATGGAAATTGTGGCAAACTGTTACGTCATCGAGATACAAATGCCTCCCCCTGCCACCCCAACAAGTGGGGTGTGTCTGTCGAGAGTTCCTCGAGCGTCTGGCTGGCATTTCCAATAAAAGTCAGCAAGAGTGGAGCTTTAATTCCGATTGAGGATGATGACGCAAGAGCCACGAGTGAATATCAAACGATGACGTAGTGACAGGGTGGTTGCGACGATGTATTATTGCATCATAACTCACAGCCATTCTATGTGAATTGAGAGATGACTGGTCGATGAAAAGAAAGCACTTCGCCAATGTTTTAATGAGCAATTGCTCTAGTTAATGTCGAGAGTTGCTCGTTGAAATTCTCTCTCTCTATTCAACACCACCCAGTTATTCACCCCTTGATGAGCGCCAGAAGATATTAATTAATGGGGAAAAAAAAATGTTGTCGAGAGGAGAGAAGTTCATTCGTGTAAATAACTCCGTCATGTGTCTCATTTCATGTTTGCTTTCTCACATGCACGCACATTCGCAAGGAAAAGCCTTTTGCATTATGTTCAGAGTTGGTAAGACATTTCATCCATTCTCTCACATTCAATTTCCTCGCTATCCCACCTCCATTATCATCACAAGCGATTCCATTGTGGATATGATTCTGAGTGGAAGTGATTGTGCGAAATTGAATCACTTAGGAAAGCTCTCTTGTAGTGCACCACGGAGTACGAAGCCATGGATAGGCAGTGGCAAGCTCAATTGTCGTGGCACCATCTCGCCCGGTCCACTGGAAGCGGTCTTCTTCGGGCCGCAAGTCGGCATGGGGAAGGTGGGTGGCAGAGAGTCAACACACATTCCATAATCCTTCAATATTTTGGCGCTCAATCGCAAATTCAATTAATATTTCAGGCAAAGTGCGGCGGCGGAGCAGCTGCTCGTCTCACACAGGCGAGAGAGGTGAGCTGTGAGACGGTGTAATTGAAGGCGATGGAAGTTTTGACCTTATGTATTTTCCTCCCCCCTCAAATGCAAATAGATTCACAAGGAGATTTGTGCCTTGCTTCTGGGAGCTCTGGAATCCTTGAAACTCACTCTGGGTGAATTCAGCACCGTTCTACCGCATCAGTGGGCCGTCCTTATGGGCGTCTCCGCCCAGAGTCTCACATCTTCCGGCGAAGGCGATCAGAGGCTGAAGAAGCTCGTGGAACTGGCCAAGGTGAGTCATCGGGATGGCTTCAAGCCATCAACATAGCATTGATGGCTTCACTCATTTCAGCTCTGCGACACTGAGGATGACTTCACAGCCCGTGCCAATGCTGACATCGCACAACTCTGCGCTGAGTGCATCCTCCACTGGCGCCGCGTCATGTCCTCAGCCGGTCAGCCCAGCGTCCACAGTCTCCTGGCCAAGAAGCACCACATTCTGCGCGTGAAGCGCTTCTCCGAGGGATTCTTCGTGATGGAACACCCCAGACACACCACGGCCAGCTGCTATGACACGCAGTACCAGAGCTACGTCAACATCAGCGAGATGGCCAGGCGATCCCGATACCTCTGCTCCCTGCCACCGCTTCCAGTCCACTGCACACCGCTCGACGGAGACGCCAACTCGCTGCCACTAATCTTCGAGGACAGGTATCAGGACCCACTGGAGTATTCACGGCGACGGATAGGCAGCGACCCTCACATTAATGGGAGAGAGGTAGGACGCAAGGGAAACCCGTGTGAGATGTCCTGGGAGAATATATTTTTCTCATAAAATGGAGAAGTCCACCGGGAGCAGAAATCATACAAAATCCCCTGAGAAAGCTGTGTGTGTGATATGAAATATGGCAAGTCTCGATTCTCCACACACATTGCGATGGCATTACAGAGGGTTAACAGCGTGATGCCGCTGTTTCTTTGAAGCCTTCTTATGCCATTTCAATTTCCAAAAGGATTTGGTGTACTTTGAGAAAAAGAAAATACCGAAAGGTAAAAAAAGAAAATAAATAGCACGCGAGAAGAATTGATTTAATGCTTCAAAATTTTTTCCGTCATGATAAGAGAGAGAAAAAAGGTATGAAAGTTTCCAAGAATTCAATTTAAATGGAAAAGAAGGTCTCCATAAAATGTAGCACAAAATGAATTCCGACAGTGAATTTTGAAATATTTCCCATGAAAATTACAAAACATCATCGTGAATGCTCTTTGATATCTCATAAAATTTAATAATCTTGCAACAACGGGCATTCCATTCTTGATATTAAACAATATACTAATGCATATTTTGACTTTCAAACAAATTTCTCGAGTCAATTTTGCTGAATATGTAGAAGCATTTCATATAAATACCTTCCACTTCAACTGATGAATGCTTCTTGGAAAACTTTTCCAGTTAATCCTCAATACGATGCACCACGGCAAAGGGACTCTGTTCAATGCGAAGGAGTGCTCGTGCATAATGCCACCGCCAGAGGCTTTTAAGGGCAACATCATAGGGATTCTCACGCCAAAGCTGGCCCTGGGCGGAGAGATTCTGCAAGCCAGTCTCTCCATAGCTCCTGCCGCCCATAAAAATCACATTCGCTACCGGACGCTGTCGCGCCACTCAGTCTCGACACTCCTCGAGGGTGGAAACCAGTGGGATCCGCCGCACAGCACCATTTGCTTGGGCAACTGCTCGACTCTGCCGACGAGACACAGCAAGAGTCTGGACCAGCTAGAGACGCCCTTCCAGACCGCAGCGGCCAGTGATGCATGTCGAAGTGGGCACGACGAGCCCAGATTTGCGGGTTCACAGCCAAACTCCCTGTCCAGCTCGCAGCGTCGCAGGAACAACGGAAAGACGACAAAGAGCGCCGAAGATCTTCTGCGGAATATCAATGAGTTCAGACAAAAGTACAAAAACCCTGGCGATCCCACGAAGAAGTTAACACCACTGGGCTTGGCGCAGTTCATCAATGGCTACGTCAACGCCATGCCAGACAATCACGCGGCCACACTCAACAGAAACCACGAAGCCAGAGACGCGAAGGATTATGTGCACGAGATGAAGCACAACATCAACGGATGTCACTACAACTCTCTGCCGAAGGGCACGAGCATGGGTCTCCCGCCGAGGAACTCCTACCCGCCAATCCGGGTGAAGAAGCACAAGCTGGTGAACGGGAAGGAGGGCGGCACTATTTCCAGGCGGAACTCCAGAAGCTCCAACAGCAGCGCCAGGAAAGTGAATGGGGAGAATCACGCTCCGGACTCGTCCAGTTCCGACAGCGAGGAGTGCAGTTCGAGGACACGGAAGAGACAGCGACGCCTCCTGTCGTCCGCCAGCGTGCCTTTCAAGTTGGAACTGCTGGAGTTGGATCCCTCAGCCACGCCTGGCATCAGCGAGAGTCTGCCGAACTTGGCGCCGCCACCACCGGAATTCATCACCTCACCACCGATGCGGAAACGCACCACGAGCCAGTCCACATCCTCGCTCAGCGACCAAAGTGGATACGTGAGCAGCCGCAAGAGCAGTCCAGGAGAATCCAGTCCTGAACCGGAGAAGAACTACGACGACCACATTCTGAACGGCGAGCAGCTGAGGATGAAACTACAGAAGCTGTTGAGAGAGGAACCCAGTCGCGAAGTGAAGCCAAAGAAGTCAAGGGAACAGAACGGAGATGTCACGGTTCACAAGAAAACCTCAACAGTAACAGTTCAGTAAGTATTGTGAGTTTGACCAAACTAGCTTAGATTTTTCATATCCACAAACATTTGCAGAGTGAAAACGAAAGCGCAACAGCTCAAGGATGAGTCTAAGGTGAGCAATGGAGGGTGGTTTGAGGTGCCGCCCTTGCAGAACGGTCTCCATCCCTACATCAGGAAGGAACTTCTACCTCCCGCAACGGGTTCGCGCAGAGCCTCGAGTACAAAATCAAAATCCGAGTTTGATCTCACGTCAATGCCGGACAATCATCCGTTCGAGAATCTACAATTACCGCCGCCCAAGCAGTTCATGGATGCTCTCCTGCCGCCAGACGAATTCCGCGATCCGCCATCGCGAACGGAGGAAGCGAGCACAACGAGAGAGTCCAGTCCGAGAGATGGCGAATCCCTCAAATCACCACCCAGATTGCCAGCCAGTGCCATCGACAATCCCTTGTATCACATCTGCGAGGCCATCAAGACCCCCAAACCCAGGCCCATGCTCAAGTCTCAGAGCAGCACGGAGTTGACCGTTGGGAAGAATCTCGTGGAAGTGAGCAACATGAAGGGGAAGACGAAAAGTGAGCAGACAAATGGCACAAAGACACCGCAAAACCCTCCGTTTCAGCTGTTGGAGTTCGAAAAGTGTCGCGAGGAATTCCGGAAGCAGATTAAGTACACCGGCGCCATTTACTCGGACTTCCCCAAGCTCGCATCCGACATGCCATATTTCCACATTAGCGATGAGTATCGCGCATTTTCCCCAAATGGCCTGCATCTTATCATCTGCGTGCACGGCTTGGACGGCAACTCGGCCGACTTGAGACTCGTGCGAACCTACCTGGAGTTGGGTCTTCCGGGTGCCCATCTGGAATTCCTGATGTCGGAGCGCAATCAGGGCGACACATTTTCCGACTTTGAAACCATGACGGATCGTCTGGTGGCCGAAATTATGTATCATATTGAGACATGCGGCCTAAATCCGGTTCGCATTTCCTTCGTGGCGCATTCTTTGGGCACAATTATTGTGAGATCAGCCCTGGCGCGCCCCCAAATGCGACCCTTGCTGTCACGACTGCACACCTTCCTGTCCCTCTCGGGACCACACCTGGGCACGCTCTACAACTCCAGCGGATTGGTTAATATGGGTAAGTGGAGTTGTACATTATGTACAACTGCATATAACCTTCGATTTTTGCCCTTTGAAATTTAATTTCACATGACATTTGCCATTATTGTTGCCAATCGATGGTGGGAATATGTGGAGAAAATCCCCCGAGAGTTGAAAAGAATCGTGACTAATCCTCATCCAATTTAAAGAAATCGATTTGGAGAGGAAACTCACCAAGAATTTTCACCGAATGACAAAAGTTGTTCAACAATCCGATAGGGATTTCCTGTACAAAATTAAGCGCTTTAATTTAAAAGTCACTCAATTTGAGCCAAGAGACGTCCAGTTAAGGGTAAAAATGTCATATTGACTCTTTTCTTTTCTCTCTGTCTCTCCCAGAACAAGGAGAATTAATTTTTTCCCCCTTTTCTTCGCCAATGAGAAAACTTTGCAATACTTTTCACTTGAGAATTGTTCTCAACAGATGGACAATAAGGACAAGTTCGCTTTCTTCCTGGGCTGTTCATTTGTTTGAGTTTTTTTTCTTTTCTTTTCTTTTGTAGTAATGTGACGACGTGTATAGGTAGAATTTCCTTTCATCGCATCCCTCAATGACAACCCATTTTCCCAGGAAGTCATTTTACCCGAATAGAATTATCAGAGACATTTTCAAGCACTGGGAATAGATTATTTGATTATGGCAAAGGTCGTCCAATTGCCCCACAATCGTCGTCAATCATTCAATTTCCTCGGCACGGATGAATGTGGGTGGCAATAAAGCTCTGGGCTTTCTCTTTCCCCCCCCCACACCAGGAATATGGTTCATGCAGAAATGGAAGAAGTCTGGCTCCCTCCTCCAGCTGTGCCTCCGCGACACCGCCGACCTCCGGCAGAGCTTCCTGTACCGCCTCTCGCAGCGAAGCACGTTGCACCACTTCAAGAACATCCTGCTCTGCGGCTCCAGCCAGGATCGATACGTGCCCCCGCACTCTGCCCGCCTGGAGCTCTGCAAGGCCGCCATGCGGGACACGTCCACGCTCGGCGTTGTTTACAGGTGAGATTGAAGGGAGGCCTCTCTTCCCTTTCAGCAGTCCCGAGCACATCGTGCTCTCACGGTGGTTTCTTCTCCGCAGAGAGATGGTCCACAACATTGTCGCTCCCATTATGGCCAGGCCGGAGCTCACTCTCGTGCGCTACGACGTTCACCATGCCCTGCCGTGAGTGTCTGGTGAGGGAAAGGGTTAATTGGCTCTCATCCGAGCTGTTTGTCTTCCAGGCACACGGCCAACGCGCTGATAGGCAGAGCCGCTCACATCGCTGTCCTCGACTCTGAGCTCTTCATCGAGAAGTTCCTGCTCGTGGCGGGCCTGAAGTACTTCAGCTAGCCTACAGACGCAGGACACACAGCTGGCGCGGTGACTCACATTGTGGAACTGAGGATGAGGCTGGAATTGCTACTGAGTGAGATGATAAATGAGCCGCAAATTCATTAGACACAAATGGGTGGCAATTAAAAGGGTGTAGTTTAGTTGCTGAAGTTCAATTAATTCACTTCCCTTTGGGTTTATAGTCCTGATTAGGTAACATTTATAAAAATCCTCCTCAACTTCTGAGCGTGTTGTTTCCTTTTTTTTCGCCGTGATTAAATGGTGGAAAATTTATCATCACTGTTTTGGGATAAAAAAAAGTGAATTTTTTCAGCTTCTTCTTCTTTCGGGGGGTTTTTTTTGTTCTTTAATTCACTGCCGTGTCTTATGGAGAAACATTTTTGAGTGTTGAACCTTTGGAGAGAAAGAGAAGAAAACCCTCTAATTTATCACTCTCAGAAGAGCAACTTTGGCAGACGAATTGAGGGTGTGTGGATGAAAGTGGGAAGAAAAACGAATTAGGATTGTTCAATTAAATCGCTTTGGACTAAATAGGAGAGACTGACTTTCAATTATTCGAAGAAAAAAATACTCAAAAGAAAAGCCCAATGATTTTTTTGTCTTTAAAATCGAAAAAATACCCATTTTTCCTTGCAAAACTCAATTCGGTATTTCGGAAATTTATAGCGTGTAGTTAAATCAAGATGAAATTTTACTCTTCTTATAGATTAATCAAAAAGTAAAGAGAAAAATCGATAGGGAATTTAATGAGAAATCAATTACTGAAATGCGTAATTCTTAAAAATCAAAAGAAGAAAAAAGAACATTTATATTTTGTAGCGATGACAAAACTTTTGCATGAGACGTGAATTTTTAAAAATAAAATCAAATTGCATCTCGAAATGCGAATGACTCGTTTTACTTTTTTAGTCAAAAGTGCGCGCAAAATTTTTGTGTAGATGAAACAAAAAAAATGCTATGAAGTCACAAGATTGAGGGAAATATGATATAATTATGAAAAACTTATGATAGCAAAGTTTTAATCTTACCGATATTGAACAAAGTGGAGCCGAAGTGCGTAGAATGGAATTAGAAAGAGATTATGAACAATGTTGTAGAGTTTGAGGGAATGCTATATATTTTAGAAATGGTATGAAAACAAAACGAGTAATCTCTATTCAGTCCAATTTTAGGTGAATTAACGGAAAATTGTCTTATAAATACCAAGAGATGAATAGTGTGGGTAAATATCGATTATACACCATTAAATTATTGAAATTTTCGAAGAATATATTACATGAATTGTCGTAGGAGAGTCTGCAGAGAAATATGTCGTGTTACTGATAAGTAGAATTTTATGAATCCACGAATTGTGTTAAAATAAAGTTTAGTGAAAAAGATTTAAGGAAAATTCTCAGGAGTTTTTACTTTGGAAAGTTCTCGGAATTGATTCACCCTGTCCAACTGACATTCTCTGATTCGAAAAATGCCTCTGCAGCGACACCAGCGCCCTGGCGGTAGAAACTCACATCACTTCCCACACATTGAATTCCATTGGAAAGTCAATTGTCAATGTGAAAAAGTGTGTTTTTCTTTGGCACAAAGCGAGTGAAAAGTCGTGAAAATGTCCGCTGTGGTGCGTCTCAGTGCCCTGAAGGTGCTCCGGAACAGAATACAGAGTGCCTCGCTGCTGACGCGGGCGCTGTCGACGTCGGAGAAGAAGAGGGAAACGGGCACTGCTCTGGGCGATCACGTTCCCATCTCACCCACGACTCCCTATGACACCAGCAAGTTGGACGCGGAGCTGAAGAAGAACTGGCAGAGCTACGGATTCGAGCACCACGATGAGCAGGCCGATCGCACCCAGACGCGCGCCAGCTTCTTCTTCTGCGTGACGCTGTGTCTGGTGTGGGGCGGCTTCTACATGGCCTACTTGCCCGACTATCGCATGCGTGACTGGGCGCAGCGGGAAGCGTATCTGGAGGTGCGGCGGCGCGAGGCTCTGGGCCTCCCGTACGTGAATAAGGACTACGCCGATCCGGCCAACTTCCCTCTGCCCTCGGACGAGGAGCTGGGCGACACTGAGATCATCATCTAAGGCGGAAGAGAGGCGCTTTTCTAGTTAGAGAACTATTACATAATTTCCCACTGTTCTCGTGTACATAATGTGCGTCTCAATTGCCGGAGATCGCGCGTCGGGTGGCTGAATAAATTGCTAGTGATTTCACCGAAAGCCTGGCCGTCTTCATGATTCTCATGCTCCATATTTATTCTCTGCCTAAAATTAATACATCGTTAGTGTTGCACATTGAATACAATTCAAAATTGCGTTGATTCCACCGGCAGGAGGGTTGCGGAGCCTCCTGAGCCCCTGTTGTTCGTCTGGCGTGGCGCAGCTCAGTTCTGGGGCGGCGTGAGAGGCGTCGCGGCGGCCGAGAAGGAGGGGAACAGCGCCTGCGGCGGGATGGTGGCGCTCACAGTGATGGGAGGCATGCCGGGCAGTGCGATGGGCGTCGTGAGGGCCGTGCCCACTTGCGGATACGTGGAGACCGTCTGCAGCGGCGGCTGGGCGTCCATGAGGGGGAAGGCGGGCGCGAAGTGCGGCGCCGTACTGCTGAAGGCCGGGATGTGGTGAATGGGCGCCGGCGCCGGTATCTGCTGTGTGGCGTACATCGGCACCGGCGCCACGCTCGCGAACGGGTCCGGCGCTGTGCTGGCCACGCCGCTGAACAGCTGGCTCGTGTTGATCACGCCGGGAATGGCGCTCGTGGCCACCGTGGGCGCTCCCAGGCTGCTCACGGCCGGATTCACGGGCGTCGGCACGCTCACTGACGTCACTTCCGCCGTCGGCGTCTCCCCGTTCGTCGTGCCACTCACGTTGGGGAATGTGTTGGTGAGTGGTGGCACGAAGGGGATCGTGGGCTCCGGCGAGCTGGGAAACGCGGCGGCCACGAGCGGAGGCGTCGTCACATTCGTCGCGGGAACACTCTCCACGGCGATTGGCATGCGGAAGAGCGGTTTTCGCTCCTCCGGCATCGTCCGCACGGGAATCCTGTGCAGATAGCCGTAGCCAATGCCACATCCCAGACTGCCCTCGCCGCCCCACTTGGTGTTGGGCTTGATCGAAACCTCCCGGCACGCGTCGTCTTCTGTGTTGTACACGTACATCTTCAACGGACGTCCCTCGTGGGACTCAATCAGCGTGAACAGATCCTCACTCTCGTGCAGCACCGAGTCAGCGCCGATGATGTAGTCCGAGAAGGACCGCAGACCAGCCTCTTCCGCGGGGGATGAAGGATGCACTTCCTGCGGAGAAATACACAATCAGAGCGAATCCAGGGAAAACCGACGAGATTCTCTGCACTCACTAAAATATGCCAAACGTTCTCGTTGACTCCCTCGAAGGAGCAAAACCTTATACTGACGCCCAGCAGTCCTGTGCCGCCCCACTTGGCGCTCGGTGTTATACTGACTTCCCGGACTGTCTGGGTTTTGCTGCTGTACACAATCATCTTGATCTCCTTCTCGGCGTTCACTTTCAGCAACTCCTTGAGTGTGTCATTATCCTGGTCCAGTCGTGTGTTCCCGATGGCCACGATAAAGTCGAAGAAAGCCTCCAGACCCGCTCGCTCACCTGGCGAGTTGCTTTGCACCTGCAAGGAGAGCCGTTTGTGAAATTGTGTCTCCCGGACAGCTGTCAGACACGTCACTCGTCCGGCATGAGAGCCGCTTTACCCGCAATACGTGGTATCCCTCGGTGCCTCCACCGGGCACGGAGACGCTGTGTGTCACTCCCATGATGTTGGTGCAGCCGGAAAGGGGATTTTCAGCAGATTTGGGGGTGAAAATCGGGATTTCGACGTGGCAGGTCTACTTCTCTGGGCACTGGAAGTTTATTGTGATTTCCAGTGGCGAATGTGGCGAATATTGACAGCCCAATTCTCACCACTCTCTCTCTCTCTCGCCTCGCTCTGAGAGCGATAGGGAGAAAGCATGGCTGCTCTCTCGCTCTCCCTCGCAGCACCGCATGACAGCCACTCTCACTCGCGAGCTCTCTCGCTCTCACTCTCTGGGAGAGGCTAATTCACCACAGCTGTCCTTCATGGTTGTCAAAGTTGGAGAAAGAAATTTGTTTTCTGTGAGTCTTCAGGCAGCTTTTGAGCCACTGCCGCTGGTGAAAAGTGTGCAGTGAGTGTGAAAATGTCGTCGTCTCTGGGCGTGGAGTGTCCATCCACTCCCGAACACCTGGATCTGCCACCGACTCCGGACAGAAATGATGTCCACGACTTGAACTCACCACAGGCCTCTGACCAGGAACCCGAGGAGACACCAGCTTCGCCGCCACCAAACTGCGCTATCTGTCTTGGCCAGTGTCGCAACAAGAGCTTCACGGACTCCTGCCTGCACCAGTTCTGCTTCAAGTGTCTCCTGGAGTGGAGCAAGGCAAGATGGCTCCTGTCAAGCACACACGGAATTTCCCCACGAAACTCATCTCTTTTTTCTTTGGCTCATTTCAGGTGAAAGCCGAGTGTCCGCTCTGCAAGCAGGCCTTCAAGTCCATCATTCACAACGTGCGCAGCATAGATCAGTTCGATGAGCACCTGGTACACCCGCAGCAGTCAATCCTGCAACGCCTGGACTTCCTGCTCTCCGAGCCGCCGCGCTTCAGATTCAGGTGACTCTCTCGATTTATCCCCCCCGGGAAGAGTGACAGGTTGACTGACGATTGTTCTTCTCCCCCCGCAGTGCCACTCTTCAGGTGGGTCCATCCGAGAATGAGGCCATCCAGCGCTTCTTCGCGCCCACCGGGAACAGATTCGTGCAGCCCTACCGCTTCCGGCAGCTCGTCTACGCCAACCATCTGTACGCCGAGCCACTCACGGACATCACGGGGCGCTACCGGGAGTGCACGGCCATGTTCTACAGAGACAATCCGGCGCAGATCCACCGCCTGATGCCATTCATATCGCGAGAGTCGCGCAGCCTGCTGGGCACGGAGGAGCAAGCCTCGTCGGCGGTGTCACAGATCCTCGTCCTCCTCACGCTGCACGACATCACATCGCCGGGATTCCGCAGTCGAATACGCCACATCTTCGGCGAGAACACGGATCACTTCATCCACGAGCTGTACAACTTCGCCCAGGCGCCCTACGATCTCATCGGCTACGACAACCACGTGCGCTACGTCGGGCGCAACGGGGCGACCAGCTCCGAGTCCCGGCGGCCGCACAACATTCCCCTGCGACTCAGTGCGCCCTTCGAGGACGACAGCGTCCGGATGATGGTGCCGCCCGAGGATGTGGCGCCGCCGCCGATTCTGCCGCAGAGCAGCAGCCAGGCCGCGGCGCGCAACTCGGTGATCTTCCAGTTGGGCAGGAACATCGAGATCAGCTCCACGTCCGCGTCGGACAGCGACGATTGCCAGTTCGTGCTGGAGCTGAAGCCGCCTCACCTGCGAACGCCCGAGCTGGTGAGCCTCAACTCAGAGTCTGACAGCGATGTGGTGTTCGTGGATGAGACGCGGACGTCGCCGAAGCCCACGGCGGCGGCGGAGCCTCAGCAGGGACCGTCGGGGGACAACCCGGTGGCCTCGTCGTCCACCCAGACGCCGCTCACGACGATGCCGCTGATCCCGAAGCTGCGCATCCGGGCGTTTCACACGGCCCAGGCGCGCATCTGTCACACGGACGACTCGGAGGGCGAGGAGGTGAAGCCCTCGGGCATTGTGCTGCAGGACGAGGGCAGCAGCGAGAGTCTGCTGGGCGCGCGCGCGAAACCATCCACGTCGCGCCGGCGACTGAGAAAGGCGCGCACGCACAGACTGTCCTCCTCGTCATCGGCGTCTTCGGACTCGTCCACGGAGGAGTCGTCGTCAGACTCGAGCTCCTCGTGTGACAATCGCGTGGCGGCGCTGAAGAAGCGGAAGCACACAATGTCCACCAGCACGTCGTCAAACTCCTCGTCGCTGGACGAGTCGAGTCACGAGGAGTTCATGGTGACGTCGAAGACGCGGAAGAAAAAGCACTTCACGAGCTATCGCAAGAAGCGCCCTGTCCGGAAGGAGGAGTCCAGCGACGAGGACACGCTCAGGAAGACCACGAAGGCTGGCAAGAGACGCAAGGCTGATCGTCGGGCCTTCAAGCGCATCATGAGCATGAGGAAAACAGCCCGCAAGATTCCCGACAGCGACAACTGAAGTCCAGGCAAGTTCATTCTGCGAAAACTCTTCACATTTAGAGAGAGAAGAAAAAAACACAAACTCAATCTCACGAATGACAATTTATTATACATAGAAAAAACAAATGGAAATTCCGCGTGAGTGGCGCGCGTGCGTGAGCAATATTTTGCTACTTAAGTGAAGAAAAAATGTTGACTTTTCTGGGAAATTTCATTGTAATTGTGAATTAAAGGACAAAAACTTGAGACGAGTTGAATTGACAGTTTTCTTTTTGGTGGATAAAAATTATATAGAAAAGCATTAAAACGGAAAGGAGATTGAGAAATAAATTGTGCAACATTGATGAGAATTCTTACATTTTGGCGAGAATCAATTGCGGTGAATCAACAAGTGATGCAAAGCTTTCAATTTATCAGTTTTCCTCACAAATAAAATTCTCTACTTTAATTTTAAACACACAAACATTTTGCTGGTCAAGTGTTGAAGATTGGAAAACCAAGTAAAGATTTTTAAGATGAAATATCAGAGGAATTGTAGAAATTGTAATTTTTAGATAAAAAAAATAGATTTTAATTAATATAAAAATTTATCTTCAACATTTGACCAAAGTTGAGAAAAGAAAAAGAAACTCTTTTGTGAGTTATTTTATCGATTTTATCCCAAATATTTTCATCCAATTTGTCTGATAAGAGTTAGTTTAACAAAAAAAAAATCTCCAGTTTTATTTCACAGAGAGATTATTTAATTAAGTGTATTGTATAATTTCCATTTTAATGTATCAAAATATAGTGATTTTTAAGGGTAAATGATCAATTTTTCTACTTGATTTGATTTCTTTCTATGATTTTGCTGTGTTTTTCTGTTAAATTAGAGCTTTTTTCACCCATTTTCTCTAACCAAATCTAGACTTACCTTGAGAAGAATGATTTAAACTTCACTCTCGACGATCTTATCAATGATAAGGAGCAATAGAAGAGGTTCTCAGGCTTGAATTCAGCGGTCAAATGAAGGAATTCCGCTGGAAAGAGAGGCCCAAATTGGGCCCTCGAGGCGCGAATCTGGCGTTGGAAGTGCCTGACGTCAGGTGTCCGCCCCACCAGGGCGGCCGCGGAGAGTGAAAGTTGCTCCTCAGGTGTCAAATCGCGCGCAGTTTCGCCCGAGAACGCGAAAATGCTACGTGTGTGCACGCTGTGTCTCCTGCTGACGCTCTGCCATCGCCTGGCGCTGGCCTACGATCCCACGGACAAGGAGATCGGCTCCGTGCTGCCGCCCGAGGGCACCTTCGAGGCCTTCTACCCACGCGAGATGAACGGCATCCCCAATGGCTCGTCGCGTCCGCCACACGGCCACGGGAGCTTCTTCAAGTATCGCAATCCAGCGCTCATTGACACGAAGAACGCCGCCGCTTACGGCTTCCGCTTCGACGGCATGCGCAGATTCAACTTCGATTGAGCCACAACGCATTTATTCCACATCCAACCCAGCTTACAGATACAAAAAGAAGGTGAGGAAGAGGAGGATGTCTTCCTCCGCGGATTCTGGAGCCAGAGCAATTCACGGTGACAAATAAATGAGCGCGGTTTGATTGAGTGCACAATTTGCCTTGTTTTCCACACGCCACAAGATTGCGATCCACCAGCATTTTGGGCTTCTTTCCCTTTCCTTAACAGACAGACAGAGACTAGCTTCTGATTACGATCGTGACAGTGTTACGTGAGATTTACCAATACAACCACTCAATAAATAGTGCTATTAAATAATTGAGACGCTTCACAACATTTAAGTATATTCCATCGAAGATCGCAATCTTGGACTCTTTCACTGGCCTTTTTCTCTTGAATATATTTCCTACTAAAAGTGAGCTCGCGCGTCTCCGTCTAAAGTGTCGCAATTTGTAATAATACTGAAGATATGATTAGATGGAACAAAGGTAACTCTCAAATACTGGAAAATGCATTATTAAACAGTCCGCGTGAAGTAATAAATTCGTTTGATTTCCACAATCGACCGAAGGAAAGAGTATCAATTTTAGTTACTAACAAATAATGTGAATTCCTAGAAGATTCCGCTATCAGAATCACACTAATCCTCCTTTTAAGACGTTCTTTAGTCACTTTGGTTACTTTTTGGCTCAATTTTTCTTCCTTAAACCCTCATTTTCCTCAAGTAATGTAGCTCTTTTAGTACAAAAGCAGGAGGCCAATGCTTTTCTAGGCGCTACAATTTCATCTTAAGCCTAATATTCTAGAAATAAATTCATTCCGAATTCCATTAAGAGACATTTTCCAGTCGATTGTGATGCAAAAAAAGCTGACAAATCTCACTGACTTGCGACACTTCAGCACTGGACGCACGCCCAAAGCTCTCATGCCCAGAATCCGGGCGCTAATTGCACTTCATCTCGCGACAAGAGAGTTTGTGAGTGCGTGCCGGAAGGTGAGAAGAGGGAGATTAAACTTAAACCAACAACAATGGCATTTGGCATTCCGCATTACGTGTCCCTGCACACGCGCACCGTCATCTCGGCCAGCGGCTCCAGCTCCTTGGGCGACACCAGCTCGAACTCCTGCACGAAGTAGTAGAAGTGCTTGTAGCACGTGTTCACGTGCGCCTCGGCGCCTATGCTCACGATGCGGTCGAAGTGGTGGATGTACACGTGCACGAAGACGCGGAAGAGGCGCGTGAGGATCTTGCGACAGAGTGTGGCGAAGGAGCGCGGAAAGGGCACGTCCGTGGACACGGGGAAGAGATTCTCATTGTTGATCTGGCACTCCACCCAGTCCATCAGCAGCTCGATGTACCGGGGCGCCGGCAGGGCGGTGGGCTTCCTGTACTGCACCCCATCCGCCCACAGGTACTCATATCGCGGCCCGCCAGACATCGTGGCGCACGAGTTCACCGTGCAGAACTCCGACACGGTGCCGTAGATGAGATTGATGCGATTGAAGAAGTCCACCACGTGAACGGCCAGCCAGTCGTTCATGTTCTCGCCCTGCGGCAATCGCACGACTTGTCTGCAAGGGAAAGACTCAATTCCTGCCCACAATTGCGCCTCAGCTCAACTCTAACCTCAAATTGATGCCCGAACTGAGACTCGCCTGCGCCTGCTTGTGCAGCGAATATCTGATGGTTCCCTGTGTGAATCTCTTCTTCGGCCTGAAAGTCTGCTCCGCACACAGTTTTCACGGTCACCAGATGTTCCCGCGCGCACGGAAAGCAGAGAGAAAATAGCGAGGCGAAAGGTAAACAAAGTCATATTGATTGTGGGTGGCGCAAATCATTCGTCCTCACCTTGCCCTTCTGGAAGAACTCCAGGAAGCCATTGAGCGCCATGGTGAGTGGCTCCGGTGCTGTCCGCGGCACCGCCCTAGCGACAGCGGGTGCAAAAATGCGCACAAATGCTGCGAAAAACTGACCAGAAAGCACGATAAGAGGCAGGAAACTTTGGACTGACACTCCACTGATCGGTGACGTCATAGATTAAATTCAACGAAGACTCGCGCCATCTCGCTCACATTTTGCCAACATGTGCGAGAGTGAGGGAGACAGCTGGCGGGGAAGGCAAGTGTCACAACAATCTCCGTTGCGATCGCAGCGCCACGCGAGGTGCATTGAAAAGTGATTGTGGCATTTTTGCTCCGTGTGTTGTGCAAATTTTCTCGATTTTCCCACTGGAAAAGTTCATAATTGTGCGTAAAAGTGATTGGAGGTAACATCCCGCCGCGCGTAGGAGACAATGAGAGGGTGAGAGGTGAGTTTGGGGTTGAGAAAGGTGGCAAAAATGCCTTATCAATGGCAATCACATGGCAAAATTTTTCACCTACTGACATTTTCACCCCCGAAAAACGCCTTTTTTCGCAGGCAAAAAATCTCGGAGGATTTTACAGTGGCACACTGGGACATTGTCAAGCAAGCCGCGGTGATCATTGGGCAGGGAATCAGGCGCCGAGATGAGTGATTTAGTGGAGAAGTACGTGGGGGAGGACAGCGAGGCCAAGGATGAGAACTACGACGCAAATTTGCCGCTTTGCTTCTGCAAAAAACGTCACACGCAAGCCATCCAAGGCGTCGAGTGCATCACCCAGAGCTGGCGGATGAAGGAGCGGGTGAGTGTGGGCAGAGGGGTGCTCCAGGGTGTGCAGGGAGCTGAGGAGGATCTGTAGGGTGGGATTTGTGGGAAGAACAGGACATTTCCTCTTCCGGAATTGGGAATTTAGGGAACTTTCTTGATGAGTTTGTGATTCCTCTTGGGTGATCTTGAGGATTTGGGTAGTTTTTAGCGCCTTTTATCATCTTCAGGCAGGAATTCTCCGGCCGGAAGTGAATTTTGGCAATTTTTGAGTCAATAGAAAACTGTTTCTGCAAAGAGTCTCTTATAGTTTAGTCTGGACAAATACCAAATTAAGCTAATTTCTCTTATAAAACCTTTGAAATTGCTTTTGGGCTTGAAAATTTGATGATTTTGACTTGTGAAATAGCAGAAAGTTCATCGAAAAGCATAAAAATGAGGCCTTTTACGTCCTAACTGCATCCGGTCTCTTAGCATTAAGAGAAATCTTACAGTTTGTCTCTTGCTTCGCCTTCCAGATGAAGACAGTGAGCGTGGCTCTGGTGCTGTGCCTGAACGTGGGAGTGGATCCACCGGATGTCATCAAGATTCAGCCGTGCTCGCGCCTCGAGTGCTGGATCGATCCGTCGTCGATGAGTCCGCAGAAGGCGCTCGAGATGATCGGATTGAATCTGCAGAAGCAGTACGAGCGGTGGCAGCCGCGCGCGCGCTACAAGCAGTCGCTCGATCCGACTGTGGAGGACGTGAAGAAGCTGTGCACGTCGCTGAGGAAGAATGCCAAGGAGGAGCGCGTGCTGTTCCACTACAACGGCCACGGTGTGCCGCGGCCGACGGTGAATGGGGAGATTTGGGTGTTCAATCGCACGTACACGCAGTACATCCCGCTGTCCATCTACGATCTGCAGACGTGGATGGGCGCTCCGTCTATCTACGTGTACGACTGCTCGAATGCCGGCATCATTGTCAACTCCTTCAACACATTCGCCGAGCAGCACGAGCGCGAGATGGAGCAGATGCAGGCGCAGGCGGCGGGCATTCGCAACTCGCCGCCGCTGCAGACGCCGTCGTACAAGAACTGCATCCAGCTGGCCGCGTGCGCGGCTAATCAGATACTGCCGATGAATCCTCAGCTGCCGGCCGATCTCTTCACCGCCTGCCTCACCACGCCGATCAAGGTGGCCCTCAAGTGGTTCACCCTGCAGCCCACGTCGAAGCTCGTGCCGCACGTGAGCTACGATCTCATCGAGAAGATCCCCGGCCAGCTCAATGACCGCCGCACGATGCTGGGCGAGCTGAACTGGATCTTCACTGCCATCACCGACACCATCGCGTGGAACACCCTGCCTCGCGACCTGTTCCAGAAGCTCTTCCGGCAGGATCTACTCGTGGCGAGCCTCTTTCGCAATTTTCTGTTGGCGGAGCGCATCTTGCGCTCCTATGACTGCACGCCGATTTCCAATCCGCCACTGCCGCAGGGCTTCCGCCATCCGATGTGGGCGGCGTGGGATCTGGCGCTGGACTTGGCGCTGTCACAGCTACCGGACATCCTGAAGCACGGTGAGTCGTTCCAACACTCGCCGTTCTTCGAGGAGCAGCTGACGGCGTTCCAAGTGTGGCTGGATCGTGGCTCAGAGGAGCGCAATCCGCCCGAGCAATTGCCGATTGTGCTGCAGGTGCTGCTGTCGCAGGTACACCGATTGCGTGCCTTAGAGCTGCTGGGACGCTTCCTGGACTTGGGCCCGTGGGCCGTCAACCTCGCCCTCAGCGTCGGAATCTTCCCGTACGTCCTCAAGCTCCTCCAGAGCTCAGCCAAGGAGCTGAGGCCACTGCTTGTGTTCATCTGGACGAAAATCCTCGCTGTGGACAGTGTAAGTCAATGGCATTTTCTCATTCACATTCCGAAGGCCTTTTTTGCCGCCTCGCGCGCTGGCATTTCACACGAGCGAGTGTTTTGCTGTGAGAGAGAGAGAGAGAGAAGTGCAAAGAGAATCGATTAGCAAGAGTGCAAATGAAGTGATTTATCGGAATGTGGAGTGATACAAATTGGGATCATTTGAAATTCCAATGAGAAGAGGTGCGAAGAACTTGGCGCGATCGTGTAAAGAGAGAGAGAGAGAAGAGAGATTTTTTTTGTTCTGTTTCGCAAAGATATATTTCGTTTGCGTGTCTCTCGCGGCATGCAAATTAATATACTTGTGCGGTGTGTGTATGGAAATAACGTGTGTAATGATCTCTTCGTGAGGAAAATCTCATTATTTTGATTACTGAGGGGTGAATTGTGAATTGAATTTTCTTTTTGGGGTTCCTTTGCAGACTTGCCAAGTGGACTTGGTGCGTGATCAGGGCCACAAGTACTTCCTGTCTGTGCTTCAGGATTCAACAATATCAGCAGAATATCGTACGCAGTCGGCGTTCGTGCTCGCGTGCATTGTGCACAATTATCCTCAGGGTCAGAACTTCGCTCTTCAAGGTTCACTCGTGTCAATTTGCCTTCTGCAGATCTGCGACTCAAACTGGATGCTGCGACAGTGGCTGGCAATTTGCCTAGGGCAATTGTGGCAGGACTATGACAAGGCTCGGTGGTCGGGTGTGCGTGATTTGGCGCATGAGAAGCTGCTGCCGCTGCTGCAAGATCCTGTGCCGGAAGTCCGCACGGCGGCAGTGTTTGCACTCGGAACGTTCATCAGTTCGGTGAAGAAGAGATCCGATCATGCCAACAACATCGATCGCTCCATCGCCATGACGCTGCTGTCCACTGTGGGCAATGATATGTCACCGCTGGTGAGGATGGAACTCGTGGCAGCGCTGCAATGGATGGTGTTGCTGTTCCAGAAGCAGTTCACAAGCGTCTTCCTGCAGGAGCCATCGACGTCGCTGCACAACCAGACGCACAGTCTGGAGCGCAATGTGAACATGAAGCGCGTGTCCAGCTCCAGTAGCATCATGTCAATGGGTGTGTCCTCCATGACTAACTATGCCGCCTCCGGCACAATTAGTCTTGTGGGCTTTGGCTCGATCTACATGAAGTTGTGGCAGAGCTTCACGCAACTGGCACGCGATCCTTATCCCACGGTGGCAACGATGGCGCAGAAGGTGATGGACTTTGTGCGCAACAATGCTGTGGTGGAGATTGAGGCCAAGGAGGCGACATCGGAGAAGTTCAGCTACAGCCTGCCGCCGAGTCCCAATACGCGTGTCAACTATCTGGATGGCTCGTCGCCGCGGCAGCTACCGAATGGCATCGCCACACCAAATGCTACTCAGTACCTGTCGACTGGTGCCGGACAATCGGCTCAGGGGACACCGCCAACAGCCTCACCAGACTCCCGATCTGGCCTGAGAACGCCGGCGAGTCACGCTCGGAGCCACAGCAACGGTCGAGCGCTGCAGAATAGGATTTCCGAGGATGGAGAATCAACGAGTTCACAGGTGAGTTGAGGTGAAAGTTTATTGCTTCCGAAAGAGTGACTCAATTTCATGTGCTTCCAGGAGGATCGTCCGTACATCCCAATTGTCACGACGGACTACATCGCATGGGCTGTGAGTCAATTCTCGCGGCCCACGCGAAGGACAGGCCTTGGGGCGGATGTGACTGAGGATGATGAAGCGATGCACGATCGCGACGCGCCGGAATATCTTGAGCGCGTGCGACGATTTAAGCGCAACGTGAAGTTGCGCCACGAGGCGCGCGAGCAGCAGCGCCGCGTGCCGTTTCTGCGATTGGAGACGCAGATGTGGGTGGGAAGGACGCAGCATACGCCTAAGATTGTCAAGTTCCATCCATACGAACCGCAGATCGCCGTGGCGTACAGGGATCGCATCACGATCCACGACTGGCACACGCAGGCGGTGAACTCATACGTGCCGGAGGTGCAGAAACAGCCGACGGTTGGCGGCGTGGCGACACAGCCGCGGTACGCTCGTGCCACGAGTTTGGAGTTCATCAATGCGCACGATCGGTCACTAGTGCTGGTGGGATATGAGGATGGGTGTGTGAGATTGTGGCGTCCGCCCGAGGGCGAGGTTGAGGAGCCGCGGCTCGTGAGTGCATGGAGGGCTCTCCTGGTGGAGAGCGGTGTGCAGCATTCCAGGACTGCTGGTGGCGTGGGTCTCGTGACGTCGTGGCAGCAGAACTTCCACACGCTGGTGGCGGGCGGAGACTTCAAGGTGCTGCGCCTGTGGGACACGGAGAGGGAGCTGAAGCTGTGGGACATGCCCACGGACGCGGATTCGGCTGTGCACACGATCTCGAGTGCCCCGAATGGGATTATCGCTGCCGGATGTGCCGATGGCAGTGTGAGGTTGTTTGACAAGAGATGCTCACCGCACGATTCGCGATTCATGACCTACATGGAGCACACAGCGCCGATCCTGAGTGTCTGTCTCAGGGATGACTGCGAATTTCTCATTTCCGGATGGTGAGTCTCTTGTGCAATTATTGTGAAGACAGATGTACTAAAGCGGAGTCTCTTTTGCAGCTCTCAAGGGAATATTCGGTGCTATGATATTAGACAGAAAGGATCTGTGCACAATTGGTCAACGGGTTCGAATGTCACTGCAATTTCCATCCACTCGATGGGCGACATTGTGGCATGGTGAGTATGATTGCCGCGAGTTTTCATGTAAAGCTAGAGGTCTGAATTTTTCCACCAATCTTCCCTCATTAATAAGTAATTACCATGCCAAGTTTGAAGACAATCGGCCTAATCCTTAATCCTTTTATGGTATCAAAACTGAATCAAAGCAGTAATCAATCGTCCAACTCAAATAGGACCACCTTGAATTCTTGCCATTTGAACATGTTTTGGGTTCTAATTGAGATTTAAATGTATCCAGAGTGTCTTCAGGATAAATGTCCTGTTGATTTTTATATTTTATCTGGACTTTAAAGGTGTTTTATATCAAAATTTGATTAAGTGAATATCAGGTTTTGGGCGTGAGATTTTTCGATGGCGCAAGAAAGGACATTTAATCAGTGAAATTACAAGAAGGATCTCTTATCCCAGCAAGCAAGTTGAAAAATGTCGCGGATAAGATCGCGAATAGAATTTTCAATCAATTGTTGAGTTGTTTTGGGCGAATTCTGTCATGTTTTCTTCTAAGATTCATTAGAAATTGCTTCCTAATGTCCCTCTAATCCTTTTAAATATCAGGAGGAACAGATTTTATGAGAAAATATGAATCTAGGGCATCAGGAAAATGGCAAAACGTCCTGTATTTTGATGATAAGACATCTTTTTGGCCCCTTAAATACCGAGATGTTACCCTCAAGTGCACCATTTTGATGTATTTTGCAACCGAAATTCTCTGTCTTCCTCCAGTGGCAGTCACTCGATCAACACGTACGGCTTGGACGGGAGGAATCTGGGCACAATTCGCAGTCACGAGGGTTTCATGGCGTCCAAAATTGGACAGACATCGTGCCTGGCTTTCCATCCGCATCGCCTGAGACTTGCCGTGGGTTTTGTGGACAACATGGTGGCGGTGTATAGAGATGAGAATCGCAAATATTGAGAGCCTTTGGCTTTACAAGCTTTTGTTGGGGGGGCGCGTCACAGAGGCTCTTTTGCAATGTCCTGGCAACCATTTGAGATTATATCCTGCAATGCGCGAAGATGCGGAGGTGACTTTGCTAATGGCTTTATTTCTTGCTTCATCATGCGTGAGAGTTTGTACATAAGTTATATTACCATATTTTCTTTATGATTATTCTCCAAACACACAAACACATATGTTTATTTTTTCGTTGTTGTAAAAATGGAAGGATTCTTAAGGACACTGGGAGGAGTGATGCGATTGTGCTGAGGATGTGAAAAAATAACGGGTTTACTGAGAATTTCCGCGCATTTCGTGGATTTGTCTTGCAACTATTAATTGGTAGGAAAAAAGTGTATAAAGTTTTATTTTAACTCGTAAGAGATCGTGTATATTGATATAGAGGAGTTTTATCTCTCAAAAGCCATAATTTAGTTCATGTTTACTTGTTAGTGTCTATATTCATTGTCATTTATATTGCTAATAGGATCTTAAGCAAAAGTGAGACGCTAAAGAGGTTTTTATTCCCTACGAAGAGAGAAAGAAAGAAAGCTTGCTGATTTAAGGAAATATATGATTTTTGTTCAGACAATTGAATTCACACGTGTGAGAAGAAAAGTTCTGGATTGATATAAAAAGTATAATTTTGACGTGTGAGAAAGAATTATTATATTGAATTTCTTGCTTAATGATTTGATAACATTTGATTTATGTAACAAACGAGATATTCTCGATGGGCTTTATAGATTTGTGAGGATGAAGAGAGAGAGAGAGAGAAGAAAAAAACAGAGAGAGAAAGAATGTGAAGAGAAAAAAGAAATGGTGAAGAAGAAGAAGAAAAAAAAGAACTCTTGAGGCAAAATGCGTGAAAACTTTTACTTTCAGCCTGAGGAATTACAGAAAAGAATAAAAAAGTGTTTTGTCGATAAAATATGTGATACTTTCTTTCTGACCAGTTCAAAGACCACGAAAGCTTATAAATCAAGCGCTGTGTGAAGTTCGAGGAAAAAAAAACACGTCTTTTTGGATGAGGAAACATTTTTTTCTTGGTCTCATCTTGAATGCTTAACAAGAAGCATTGAGTGTCGATACGAGTTGTGTGGGCGTTGATTGATTTGTTCGTCAGATTGTGGCCTTTTGTCAGGATTGAAAGGGAAAATTGAGAACATTTAATTGGATTTTCTCACATGTTTTCTGGACACTTCATCGTCCATTTCTCGGAAAAATGCAATTTTGCGTAGGTGTAAAACAAATCTTATCTTGTGAGGAATTCTCTTTTATGATTGCATTGCGAAATTTACAAATTTCACGGTGAGTAATTTTGTGTTAAATAAATCCACTCATTTGTAATTTCAATGCACATTTTGAATTAATTTGGTATTAATTCGCGAGCAAGTGCAACTTATTAGGAAACAAGATCATGGAAAATTCATTTCACTTTTATATTTTATTGCCCAGAGAGTATTTGGATGAAAAAGAGTGCGAAGGGAAAGAAAACAGCGCGCCAACAATTGGTAATCAGGTAAGAAATCATCGTGTTATGCGCACTTTCTTAGGATGTTTCTCGAGGAAGGTGAGGCAAATAAAACAATTTAGTATTTCCTGCCACTTTGGCGGGCGTGTAAAATTCAACTGCAAGAGAGGCGCAAGTGTGATTAATTTGTCCAATTTGGAAGTTGTGGCCAAGAAGTCGAGAGAGAGAGAGAACAACGCTAGAGAGATTCAAAGTTTATTGGTGGAATGATTTATTTCACCCTCAGAACTTCTCAAGAAGCCACAAGAAGCGATCCAGCGTCAAACCCGTTTCTCCTGGGCGGCCCATTAGTCGCTGTGTGGAACGCACGAAGACGCCAAGTGGACAAAGTGATAGCGTGAAAAATAAATAAACAGTTATAGGGGAAAATTGAATGCATCTGCCAGAGAAATTCTCCCACAAATTGCAGGTGATTTCCATTCATTCCCAATTTATTCCAATCACAGTGACACTCGCGGAGGAAGCGGCAGTGAAAGAGTCTCGCTGTAGACAAATGGGAGCGATTTATTGGGATTCTGGGCAGCTTCTTCGCCTCCACAGAGAGACACGTGACGCATTTCTCTCATGGGAATAGATCAAATGATCGCTGAAGTAATGCATATAATTTGGGAATCTGATCTTCCTATCGGTTCGCGCTGATAGCGAATACTTGTGAGAACTTTTATGACTCTCTTGAGTGGATTTTCGTCTTCTAATCCAACGATTCAAGCTTCAGCTTAATATTCCTCCTAGCTTAATATATTTTAATCGACGAGTGAACAGAAGACTATGAAAAGACGAATTTTCATAGTTTACGTCTTATGTATTTAAGTAAGTAAGTTAAGATTTTAATTTTTAATTGTTGTTAATTGAAAAAAGTCGACTATTTATCGTTTACACCGTATTTTTCTCTAAGAAAACTTTCTCAAACTGCAGCCAAAAACATAAAAGATCTCTTTGATAAACACATTAATTCTAGATTTAAGTATTTTTCTCAAATGTTCTTAGACTCTGAATGAATTATCATTATTGAGTATGAAAAGTTTATTTTTTAGAACTTTTTTGAATTAAATGTACTCGAAGATTATTGAAAATGGTCTTTGAAAAGTAATATTTACAGTTTATCTATTAATTTAGTGATATTTCAGCCAAAATTTTGAATCATTTCCAATAGAATCAACATAAAAATTTACACAATAAATATTACAGAGTAAAATTAGCATTCTAATGATCGTTTGGAAGGTGTTTTGAGGTAAATTTGGTTAATTTCACAGCAATAATTATGCTAAATTATGAATTCGTTCTGCTGAAAAATTACGATTTTGGACTTTAGGTAGTTCTCGAGGCACCCGTCGATTTTTAGGCCATTTCTCTGCTATCAGAGAAAGTGTTTTAAATTCTTCTCGATTGATTTGCATTTCAAATTGATTCTTATATTTTCCGTCCTTGATCTGTAGCTCAGGATAAAAGGGACAGAAAGAAAAACGCATGGCGGGTATTTTTGTAAAAATAAAATCCGTTTATTTCAGGTGAAATTGTACAGAATTTTCCTTGCTATTCCAGTCTTGCACTCGAGGTAGTTTTGCGTCTGAAGGAAGCGGGGAGAGAAGAGCAGCGCTACAGCTTGGCGTCCGCGGGCGTCTGTTCGGACGCCGCGTCCGTGGCGTTCATTTCGTCCGACCGCTTCTCGGCGGGCAGTTCCGCTCCCATGCTCACGGTCACTGGGCACATGCAGGGGACGAACTGCACCTGTTGCACGCTGTAGGGCGCCGGCGGCGGCGCGTACTGGTAGGTGAAGCCGTCCTGGTTGTTGTACGGGTTGGGCCGCGAGATGAGCGGCTGCTGCTGCGGCTGGGGCGGCGGCGGGGTGTTGGTGGGCAGCGGTGCCGGCGGGAAGTCCTGCGGCGGCTGCGGCTGGGGCTGACTGGGCTGGACGACGGGCGGCGAGCTGGGGAACTGCTTGGCCTGGTAGTAGCCGATGGCGGGCGACAGTCTCTGCGGCGTGGCCTGGTAGCTGGACGGGAAGGGCGGCGCCGAGAGGGTGAAGGGGTGGTATGTGTAGGTGCGGAAGTAGCCGACAGGATACTGCTTCAGTGTGGGCTCCCTGGAAGACAAGAGAGAGAAATGTTTGCCCAGCCGCTTAGCACTCTCCCGCTTGGCACTCACTGAGTCTGTGAACTCCACCAGAATCCATGGCACGACACAAAGAGGCTGAGCAACACCTGCGAAGGCATAAGATTTCTATTGAGAAGCACACTCTTTTCCTGGCAACGCCTCGCGATCCCACTCACCACACAAGACTGAACTTCCAGCATTTTGCACACTCCCGATCCTTCTCTCTCTCTCTCACACACGCGATGGTATCCCAAATCCTCAGGAGGACACACTGAGCACACTCGTCCGAACACACACTTGAGAATCCACGGCAATTGTGAAATGGTCCCGGATGATGAGACTCTTTTTATAGCTTCTCTCCCCACCGCTTCGGGTTCTCACGCAATCCTTTGGGATGATCGCGGCGCTCAACTTCACAGCGATATGGGAAATCAATTAAGGCAACAGGTTTCTGACCATTTCGTTCCATCTGCCCTCCCTTGAGCCCTTTCCCATCAGCGTCTCGCTCACACCAAGATCGTCGGTGTTAAATTACACCGCGCTTGCATCTCTACCTTCGTGGATCGGATTATTGTCTCGAGTCATCAAATTCACACTTAATTGCACCCACCCGACAACGACCACAAGAAGGAGAGATTCTGACGGTGTGGACTTGAATTTATTCACAAAAGTAGAAATGCTGTGAAACATCTGCTCTAATTTCATGTATTTTCACACCAAATCGCAAGAAAGTGCTTTATTTATCCTCACGGGGTGTTTTAAGAGTTCAAGTCAAATACATTTAACATTGAATGAATCTATAAGTAATCATTACATCATATCTTTAACTTGATCTTGAGATGAAACAACAGTGGCAACTTTTACTTTTACTCCCACAGTAGCGACAAATTGCTCTTCTTCCGCTCAATGAGTTCGCTCCAGAGTTTCTTATAAATCGCTAAATTTTAACGACTCTCTGTATAGAAATAAAAGCGCCAATAAAACGCACTGTAAACATTTATTTACGCACCCCGAGGGCAAAGAAGTGAGACGTGTAATTTACCGACACTCTCCTGAGGTCACGATGAATTGACTTCTTGGTGCGCTTGTCCGATGGAGGAGATGAGTTTATTTGAATGCAATTACACGCATTGATTCAATATAAACACGCCAGTTCGGGTGAGATGGACAAATTTCCATGTGGCTTCCTTTCTTCACTCCGCCCCAGAGGAAATACAATCCGCCGGCCGTCGTGTGTGGATTACAAAAGTCAAACAGACAACTTTCTGGGCAGATGAATTGGGTTAATAGTGCGCCGTTTCGGGGGTATTGTTTGTGACCCAGTCCACTTTTCTCCGAGCACACTTCTTGTTCTTCTGCTCCTCTTTTCCCAGTGTACTTCTTGTGGCATTTTGTAATGACCGTGCCACGCACAGAGGAGAGATGAATGAATCGCGCCAAAAAGCCACCTGGAAATGTTGGATCTTTCAGCGCAAAATGTCTCTGGATTTCCTCGAATGGCTGTGATTCCATGGGGTGAATGACTTAAAGTCTCCTGCCGCGAAGGAGAAATCCTCTTTTGGGTCCTCTGGAATTTCTTTCCGGCCACCATTTGAATAAATTAGTACCCTTTCCTGGATGATATGGTGGAGTCCCTGAGCTCCCGCGCGAGACGGGGAATTAAGACAGAAAGACGATGACAGAAAAAATGTGTGTCTTTGAAGCCGTGAGAGAACATTATATTGTAATTATCGTGACGTGTCCCATGTCTTGGTATCCCATCGTCAATTTCTTGTTTCACATAATCCCATCGGACAGGAGAGCCAAGAGAGAGAGAGAGGAAAAAACACTCATTCATGGTCACACCATCAAACTCTTTAGCCCCTGCCTCATCACTCAGACTCCGCTCTGCCCATCACGCTGATCTACAAGGCATCGAGAGTCACAACATATGAGGTAATTCCTATTATCACGATTTTCCTCACTCTTATCTCCTTCGCGGCGGCGCGGCGAGCGGAGGAACAAGAACCATCAATAATAACTTAAATCGGCCCATTAATCCATATAACAGCGTACGAGGGTGCTTCTAACGGGGCCTCCATTGGGGAAATCAATTACCTGTCGGAATATTAAATAGGCTCTCTCGCTGACCCCTTCAAACAAA